AGACTTGCAGATTACTCTCCCATTTGGACTATGATATGGCAAGACAAAATCAGCTTTTAATACCTAATAGTGATGTGATTTGGACATTTTACAGAAATACCGATGAATTTCTTATTCATGCTCCAAAATATCGCAAAAAAGCTGGTGAAGAATTATTAAATAATACAAACACATACCGCCTACGACTCCATGATATGAGAATTTTTGTTAAACAAGTTGATTTAAGTATGTCACTAAATAATGCTATTGCTAGACATTTAGAACAGTCGCCTGCAAAATATGCCTATAGAAAGATTGAAATTAGGAGCGTTTTTCTTGGAAAAGGTCGCCAGGAAATTACACATGCCGCGTTCACAAGTACTTGTCCGAGAAGGTTAGTTATTTGTTTTGTAAGCTCGCCTGCATATACTGGAAATACGGCGTTGTCACCGTTCACTTTTGAGCATGCGAACCTGCGAACTGTTTCAGCAGAATTTGGCGGCTTCCAGTTTCCCGCGGTACCTTATGATCTTGATTTTTCGAATGACAGCTTTGTGCGTGCTTTTGTAGATATGTATGTAGGTATGGACTTAGATGCTTGGCCAAATTCTGATCAAAGAACTTTAAGTATAGGGATGAAAGAATTTTCACAATCTTCTTGTTTCTTTGTTATACCTATGACTTCAACACTTGAAGACACTAACGGACTGGAACTTATTAGACAAGGAACAACAACGGTTCGTTGCTTGTTCAATCAGCCAGTAAAGGATGAAGGATATGAAATGATAATCATGGGTGAATTCGATGCAATAATGTCCATAAATGCAGATCGTGTGTTAAGTACTGATGGATCTGTCTGATATGAATTCTCTACAAATCGAAAATCTAATTAAAAAATATAAACCTCTAAAAAATAAGTTTCTTGGTGTCTTTTCTTCTGATAATATCCCAAATGTGAAACGGACAAAGCCTTTTTGTTTTATTGTAAATAATATGCGCAAAGGGACAGTTGGTGAACATTGGATTGCTTGTAATTCGGATAGTTCTAGTACGCTGGAATACTTTGACTCGTTTGCAGAAGAACCAAATTGTGACATGAGACAATCTATGCTTGGAAATTTTTCTAAAGTAAAACAGAATAAATTTTCTTTGCAATCCCCTTTGTCAGATACTTGTGGCCATTATTGTATATGTTTTCTTGTATTGCGTTCAAAAAACAATTTTTCTTCAACATTACAAAAATTACATTCGATTCCCCCAGAAGCCCGTGATGCCTTTTTAAGACGATTTATTCAGCGCCTTTCGTATATAAGATAAGTTTTAATACGTATTTTAATTTAGCTACTAAAATGATATATTCAACCTTAATACTATTTTCACTATTTTGTGTAATATTATCCCAAAATGACAGTAATATTCTATTTCCTTTACATGGACCTTTTCCTCCGAATGTAAATGCTTGTTTTGCTATTGACGCGGGGCATGCACTTTCTATTGGTCCTGCTATAACTCCAAACAAAGATATTCTTCTTATAATAGCATATATTTTAGATTTGGGTTTATTATTTATCCTGGCTTTATTATTCAAACTTCATACAAATATCCGTAAGAAGGGAAAGGATGGGATGACAAATATTCGATTTGCTAAAGGCCCTCTTGGTATATAAGAGGCATAGTTATTTATTATAAGATAGTTTGCTATTTTAAAAAATGCGTACTAGCGACAACATGTCTGAACCAATAAGTTCTTCACCTCAAGTTCAATTAACACCTCTTATTCAAATACTTTGTCGTTTCAATGGAGGATGTGCCCCAGAATCACTTCATCGCGAACTACGGAAAAAATATAATGAAAATATCAATTACTTGCAGACTCTTACTAGTATGACCAATGATGATGTTGCCATTTCAGGAATTGGTCAAAGAAATTTTACTGAACCTAGAAAGAAAGCTCTACTCACAAATCATCTAAAGCATCAACAGATGGAAATATATCCAAGCAAGTTAACGAAAATGGGTGCCGATCAGATATTTGCTCTACGTGGATACTTACGTGTTACAATTAGACAATATTTTTATGTTCGACATCGAATTGATATTGCGTATCCGCAATTACCACTTATTTGTGTTGCGGGAGGAAGACGACATCAATATTTTTACCCAATTGAATGTATAGATGTATTGGAAGCAGTAGAACAATCCGAAAGTCTATGAAAATATATAAGTGATATGTTTTATTTTCTCATAATTGTTAATAAAAAATGTTTAATAAAATTATTTTTATTTTTATTTTTGGGTATGTGTACTGTGAATATCGAAGAATATGGAAAGTTGAGGAAGCTAAAGTATCCTTATTTCGAAGAACGCCCAAACCGAGCAGTTTCCAGCATGTTTTACATTTACCCCCTCAACCAAATTTTAAAAATATAACTTGGACCCCGTCTGGTCATGTATGGTTTATTTACGATGAGAAAAAAAAAGAATGGAAACAGGTATACAAACCGACATTTACAGTAGTGTACCACGAACCAAGTGTATTTACTTCAGCTTGGCTATTTGTAAAAGATACATGCTCAGATATTGTTGTTGCTGTAAAATCATTTGTCATTGAATCGGCAAAACTTACATTTTACCTAGGTCGTAAGCTTATACCCATATAGGATATAAACTTGTATTATACATAAAAATTTTTAAAAATAAAAAATACAAAAAAACATAATAAAAAATATAAAATACAAAAAAAAAACAAAAAAATACAAAATGCCAAAAAATAATACTAAATATAAAAATTACTAAAAATTTCATATTTCTTAACTTATCTGCCTTTTTCATTTTAACTTGGCCCTATGGGTTTTGGTTTATCGAATAAATTTTTAATTTTACATTAGTTTTTATAAGACATGGGAACGAAATGTTCTTAACCTATTTTTGAAAAGTATTTATTTATACTGGGGTTTTAAAATATTTTTGTCAAAAAATGTTTTAAAACTCCGGTATATACTACTTAGCACTTCTTTTATTTTCTTCATTAAATTTTATTTGAAGATTGTTAAATTCTGTATGTAGCTTTATTAAATCATCAATTCGTTTATTTAGCTTAAAATGCGAAATTTATATTTTATAAATTAATTTATGAAAAATTTTACTTTTAATTCCAAATCAGAATTTAATCCTTCTTCAGCCATTTTATAGGAAAATTTTAAATAAATCTCAATATTCTTAGGTGTTAAAGTATATATTAAATTGAAAAAATTTAAAAAAAGTACGAAATTTTGAACTGTATGTATTGACCCCTTTTTAATTTTCCCTCAAATCTGTGGCAATAAGTACTCAGCTCTGCGTTTGAAAAATTTGGGCCCGTAAAGTAAAACCTATTGAGCGTCATTTAATTTAAATAAAATAAAAAAATACAAAGTTAAATGTAAAAAAAATGATTAATTTTAAATTTTTTTCTTAATCAAAAATTTAATTTTTTGGAGAAAAATGATAAAGTAAATGAATAAAAAATATATAAATTCATATATTGAAGTTTCATTTGCCCAGACAGTTTTATTGTGAATATTTGTTGAGGAAAAAAGCAATTATTTGTTTGTTGAGGGAATATTTTAAATATAAATACAGTATACGCTCAAATAGTGTTATCCCAAGGTATAAGGTACTTGCTTCAGAATTTCCGAATTTTTCTAAATTTAGATTTCCCGGTATACAAATTATAAATAGCAGGTAGCCATTGATTAAATAATTTGATTTAAGTATTTATCTGTCAGACAAATAAAAATTCAATCTCTATTTTCACTTTTCGTAATTTTAAGAATATTTTCGGAGAATAGAAATAGATCTAGAGAAATGAAACAAAATTGCGAACAATTAAAATTGAAAAGAGATTTCAAAAATTAAAAGATAAAAATGATGTATATATTTAAAGGAAAAGGATGAGAAAATTAATTTCTACATAGGTCTGATTACCCTTTTAATTGTGGATTGAAATATAAAGCTGTCGGCCGCTATTAAAAAATTCGGCTTGTATGTATTAAATCCAATTTGAACTTTAATTAAAGAATATCAATGTTGCTTGCTAAAACTTTGAAATAATTTAAATTTACTCGAAACATTTTCTTATCTTTTATTTTATAAAATATCAGTAATTTAAATATTATATTTTAATAATTTCAATGTTTTACGTTCTATCAATTTTTGCCGATTTCATTACGAATTCAAATTATTCCCTTATTCCAACTTTCAAATATTTTCCCTTTGATCTTATTTAAATTGATGCCCTACAAACCTCCAGTTCCTTTGATCTATCAAATACATTTTCCTTCTGTTTTTATCTTACCGCCCTTCCCAGTCCTTATATATAGGTAATTGTTTCATGTTATTTATTTTCCTTGCTCTTCGGTACACCGCAGTTGATTCCAGATCCGTTTGCTTTCCGAGCCTAAAATTTGATAGAGAATTAAATACACTTCAAGATACGAAAAAAGTTAAGTTAGTTTAAGTTAGTTCACTTTTAGAGTTAGTTTTGAGCTTAACAACTTTTTACGTACCAAGAACTAGAGTACGTCGAGTACCGAGTAAATAGGAAAAACACGAGCTCGAATATGCCGAGTTTGAAAAACCTAGATCGAGTTCTACTTTTTAGGTCGAGCTCGAGTAATCAAGTAATTTTTATAAAACAGTATTTTAAAATAATTTTACTAAAAACTATTGGGCATTTGTTGGCTCCGGAGTTTTCAAATTATTGGCTCCGGAGCAGCTCCATATTGGCTCTGCGTGGAATATCAATGGATAATATTATTTCGGAGGATTTGTGTAGATTAAGCAAATATTGAGCTTCCATCCTATTAGCTTAATATTCCCTCCGCCCTGTTAATCACTCCATCCAGTAGAGATTGAAACAATAATTAACCAGAGTAATTATTTCATTATTTCAGCATAGCTTTAACATAAAATTTATTACAACAGATTTTGTTATTTTATTTTAATTCTTTCTGTTATTTTAATTAAAAATTCTCTACAAAATGTCTGAAGAAGGGTCATCGTCATCAGATTCTGATTGGATTTTGATTGAAAAAGAGATAAATGATTTTTTTAAACTTGAAGCTAAAATTCAAAATCTTCAAATAACATTTGTTGAAGTGAAAGAAAAGACTGTTAATTTAGAAAAGAAAAATGATTATCTTGAAAATGAATTTAAAGTTTGGATATTTTTATTAAATTTTTTAAAAAATTTATTTTTAGAAAATTCAAAAAACAAATTTTGATAACAAAAATGAAATTGATGTAATTAAACATAATTTTCAAAAATTAATTGAAGAAAATATTAAAAAATCAAAAGCTAGAAATAATAATTTTTTAAAACAAAAGTGTGAGAATATTAATTATTTGGAGGAAGAAATTAAAAAGGTAATTTTTTAAAATTACCTTTTCTGAACCGGAAATACAAGACACCTTTTTTTATTTACTCTACACTAGAGTTGTCGGTTTCGAACCGAACCGAAAAACGAAGATTTTAGGTTCGGTTTCGGTTAACTGAAAGTTTCGGTTCGGTTTTTTTTTATTTTTCCACCCTCACGCTGGATTAAAAACGGCTAAAACGTTAGAAGTTTATGGATTCATGTGGATTTGGATGTGTATCGGGCTTTGGAGGGATTAGGCCTTGATATCAGTGGTTAGGAGTGGAAGGGGATACCAGAGAATTTAAATTATCTGGAGATGGAGTGTAATTTAGAAAGTAAGGAAATAAGGAAGATATCATGTATTAGGTGGTAATCAGGGAATTCAAGGGATTTGGGGAAGATATCGGTGTATTATCGATGGATTTTATTTATTTTGTTTTAATATATTATTCAATTCTTTCTCTTTCCTCATATCACTGATTCCCCAATCGATTTCAATTAATTATCCCTCAATCCTTTATCGCCCAAATCTCTTTTTCCCTTTTTATCAATTGATTGAGTTTTTTTAAATTTATTTTCCTTAATTACAAATTATGAAAAATTTTTGTCAGAATTAAAATTTAAAAATATGTATTTATTAAAATTAATTAAAATTTAATTTAATTTATAAAAAGGCAAGTGATTCATATGATAAAATTTTTGGTGATTTAATTAAATTAAATAATTTGAATTTTCATTATTATGTGGTTAGTTTGTTAATTAAAGTAAATAAATTACTAAATTTTTTAAAAGAATTTTGTTAAAATTAAAAATAAATGGGGTATATTTTGTCGTGGATACTATAACTGCTGCAAAAAGTATTGTAATACAAGAAAACCTTTTGGTAAATGTATTGAAGGAAATGGATTTGGGAAATTAATTGATGATGAAAATATTAAATATATTAATTGTGATGAAGGGAAAGGAGGTAAATTGAGGGAATCCACACCCGAGGACATATTGACTCTGAAAACCTCTAACTCTTGAAAGGGACTATAGAGGGGTTAAGGGGGATAAATACCCTGCTTTATCAAGATAAGTATATATTATGAATACCATGATCTGTACATTACAACTTATGATACGGTGTTTTGAGTGTGAACCATTTTGAGTTTAGGTCTCTATCCGAATCACTCTAAATCCCTCAATATTCTCTTACAAAAGTTTTGGGTTTTCAGTGTCAATAGGTCTTCGGTGTGTAGGTTTAGGGTTGACACCGATTATAGACTTTTTGAATTATAAAATATACATTTTAGGTTACGATCATTGTGTTTTTGTTTACTCAGAAAAAGCATTCTACAACCCCCAAAATAGTCTCAATCATTCTTTATATTATTTTGAAATTAAATGTAAATTTGAAAGAGAGTTAAATAGTGGCAAAACATGGATGGTTATCGGTCTTGAAAATTTAAGTACAAAGAGACTTATTTGGTATTCTACAAAGGATGCTACACTTTTAACCGATAGATGGGAAAAATTTAAACTTTCGTCAGAGTTCAATGATGGTGATATACTTGGTTGTGGATTAGTTTATCCTCCAGCTAATGAATTTCCTTATGTGTTCTTCACACAAAATGGAAAACAAATTGGTAAATAATTACATTAAAGTTGGGCCAAATATCTTCGGAAAATCGAAAATATCCGCATAAATAAGCACCGAATAAGCAAATATGTATTTATTAAAAATCAGGTCCTAAAACACTTGGATCAATGTAAAAATACAATTTTTGATCCACATTTTGACCTCCCTCATTAATTAAAATTATTCAATTAAATATTTTTAAGGTTTAGCTACGTTATTATTGGACAATTACAACTCATATAAACCATTTATTTACCAAACATGTTGTTCAGTTGAAGCTAATTTTGGGAACGATTTGGAAACTAAACCTTTTAAATACGATATTTCAAAGCATTTAGTTCTACAGAATTTGATAGATTTTTTTCCGATTTATTCTATTTTTTGAATTATTTTTATCAATTTAAATTATTAATTTTTAAATTATTTTTTTGAATTTGTTAAATAAAAATTTTGTTTGTCGTCTGTGATTTTCTTAGTTTTGTAGGTCTCCTCGTCTAAGTAAATTCATTCCCCAACTTATGAGCAGACCATTTCAGTCAAATCCTAGCCAATTTTGATCACCTAAATTTATCAAAAATCTAATAAGACACTTAAAAATCCAGAAATTTTCGCTTTGTGGCGCTTGTCCCTCTGTATTTATTAAAAGAACACGCACGAAAGATGTTTTATCCAACTATTCAAATTTTGTTGTAAAATGCATTTTGATCATAAAACAAATTTTCATTTGAATTCAAGAAATAATTTTAGATAAACTTAGCCATTACAAAATTGGAAATAATTGTGTTGTTGATTTGGTTTTGCGCCAACAAGGGGGGTGAAGTGTATTAAATATGGAAATTGATTTAAATTAAATTTTATAAATTTACAATTGTGGTACTAGAAATATATTTTTTTATTTCAAATTATCTTTTGGTTAACAAAAGACAAAAAAATTGAAAATAAATTTTTAGTTTTCCATAATGACTTGAAAAAACAAGAAAAATATTTTTAGACCACAAATTTTTAAATTATTTGATTTTTAAAAATGCTCAACACAAATATTCTTAAAGAATTGCTTTTAACAAAGATTTACTTTTTATTTTATAAATAAAAAATTGTTGAAAAATTCGAATATTTGCAATTTTTAAAATAATTCTTCAAATTTAAGAGTGTGAGAAGAAGACAGTAACACAATTATTTTTATTTTATTCCTTTCTACCTACTAAATTCCCGAAATCGGGAATTTAGTAGCAAAAGTATAGTTTTCATAATAACCTTTTTCATAATATGTATTTTGTTTTTTTTGTTAAACAATTGTTAAAACAATAGTCAAGCCTAACCAAAAAAAGCACAATTTAAATAAAAAACAAAATTAATTTAAAAAAATTTCAATAAAATTCCTTGAGAACTAAATGTTTTGAAATGTCGTATTTAAATGGTTTTGACTCCAAATCATTTCCAAAGTTTGCTTCGACAGAACAACATTTCAGCCAAACATATGGAAGGTCACAATTGTCCTTTAGTAATGTAGCCTTACCTTTAAAATAATTTTTGTTAAACAATTACAAATTTCATTTTTTCACATTAATTAAAAAGAGAAAATCCGTTTAGAAGTTGTCTAGTTTAAAAAATATTAATTTTTGTATTTTACCCCTAACTCGTGAAAAAACTTCTATGATTCTGATTTTTTTCAAAAGGTAAATCTTAGGATCATAAAAAATATAATTTGAACTCTGATGATATTTTGTTGAATTTTGTTAATTATTTAATCCGTTTAATCCAAGAGGGTTTATTATTTGTCTCAACCTAATTAAATATTTACCTATTTGTTTTCCATTTTGTGTAAAGAAAACATAAGGAATTTCATTAGTCATATTAGTTGGAGGATAAACTAATCCACAACCATAAATATCATTGTTATTGAAAGATGTTGCAAGTTGAAGTGGAAAACCTTTGTCGTTAAAAATTGTTGTATATTTTGCATGATAGTTTATATATTTAGGTGAACTCGGAATTTTAAGGCCAATATACACCCAATCTAAACCTTTATTTAACTCTCTTTCAACATTACATTTAATTTCAAAATAATATAAAGAATAATTAAAGCAGCTTTGTGGTTTTGTAAATGAATTTTCTGCATATACTAGAACATATTGATCAACGACTAAAAAATTGGTTATTTATAATTTCAATTAATTAACCTCCTTTTCCCTCCAAACAATTAATATATTTAATATTTTCCTCATCAATTATATTTCCAAATCCAAATCCTTTAACACAATTGCCAATAGGTTTATTTGTATTTATACAATTATTGGAACAACATTTATTGTATCCACTATCAAATCCACTCCATTTATTTTTAATTTTAACAAATTTCTTTAAAAAATTATTTAGCAATTTTCTTGTCAAAATATATGTAAACTAACCACAGTATTAAAAATTGAATCATCCACTTTAATTATTAAATCACCAATCTTTTTGTTAAATGAATCATTTGCCTTTTAATATAAATTAATCAAAATAAAAAAAAATTAAAATTTAAAAACCCATCTAGAGTTATGGAACGCCATAGAGTAAGGTCTGTAACCAGTTCTGTTTTTAGGCCATTTGCTTAAAAAACAGAGTTGGGTACTTATCTTATATGTAGATCCTTTTTAGTATATCCTGTGCGACTCAAATATAGGGCATTTTGGGAAAGATGAAATAATGCGTCGAATAAACGACCATTTTACCAAACTTTTAAAAATAATTACCTTTTTAATTTTTTCCTCCAAAGAATTAATTTTCTCATCTTTTAGCTCACTTCCAGTTTTTATTTGTTGAATATTTTCGTTTACTTTTTTAATTTCATTTTCATGGTCAGTATTTATTTTTTGAATTTTCTAAAATTATTGAATTAATTTTTAATTGAATACCAAAAAATTTAATTTCTCCAAAATATGCGTATTTAAAAACATTCTACAGGTTAAAATAAAATCTTTTTGGATATCCCTTCAAATTCCTTTTAATCCTTGGATATCTCCAAGGATTAAAGATGTCTTTTTATTAAATTTAATTAACAAACTTTATTCATTTCATTTAATTCATTTTCTAAAGAATTATTTTTCTTCTCAAGATTAGCAGTCTTTTCCTTCTCTTCATTAAACTTTATTTGAAGATTATTAAATTCTGTATGAAGATTTATTAAATCATCGATTCGTTTATTTAGCTTAAAAAATTTTTTCAAAATTAATTTTAAAAAATTTTACTTTTAATTCCAAATCAGAATTTAATCCTTCTTCAGTCATTTTGTAGAAAATAAATTAAATATGAAAATCGCTGTGTATTAAAGAGAGAGATTCGAGTGTAAAAATAAAAATTAATCTAAAAAAGTTTTCTTTGATTTAAAATTAATTTTTGATCGTGTCAGGCTATAACACGGAAACGACAATACAATCTTACCAAAAGAGGGTGAGATGCAACTTTGATGAATTCCAAATAACGGAACAAACAAGTCATTTAACGACCAACTCACTGAATGACTAAAACACGGAAATTTTAGAAATCAAAATTTTTCAGATTTTTTTCAATTTTGTTTTTTAAAATATTCACTGTCATTCCGTGACTTGTCCGTCCAGCAAGTATTCTGATTTTAAATGCAGAAAAATTGAAAATTCAGTTTTAAAATCCATAACTTGTCTCCAACCATTTTTAATTTATCTTTAACAAAAGTATAGAAACCCTAGACGATTGTTTTATAAATTTTGTTATAGTATGTATTAAAGGGATAAGCCAATTTTACAAAATTTATTTAAAATCTTTTTTAAACCAAAATTTTAAACTTATGGAGAAATATAATAAAAGTAAATAATCTAAAAAATACAAAGATTAATATACTATTTATATATTGAAGGTTCTTTTGCCGAGAGACAGTTTTTTGACAATATATGTTAATGAAGAGTTTTTTCGCAAAATTTAAGCCTAAGCTCTTCCTCAAAACATTTTTTTATGTTTTATTCTTTTAAAATATTCCCTCAACAAATATTCTCATATAAATAATTTTCAAGTTCTTTCCTTAATATGTAAATATTAGAGGTCGGTAAAATCGCATTTGCAGGATTCTGTAGCAGGATTGGGTTCTGTAATATTGAACAGGACAGGATCCTGCAGGATTAATCCTGAAAATCCTGCCAATCCTACCATTTTTCCAGGATTTCGGGATTTTCAAGAATATGTAGTGGCCTCCACAAATTTAAAAAAAATTTCGCCTGCGGCGTTGAAAAACGAGGGAGGTATCTAATTTTTTGAGGAGGTATCAGTTATACTTTTTAATTCAACAAAATTTAATTAAAATTTTTTCGTTTGTTCCCATAAATTAAATAAATGTAAGAAGAATAATTTCCTTAACAATAATTTAAAAATCGTCAGAATGTCTGGGGCTTTTTTTTTGATTAAACAAAAGCGGAAATTTAAACATTAAAATTGGTATTACATATTTTTAAAATCCTCATAAAAGAAATTAAATGAAAGTCTTTAAATACAAATTAAAAAAAATTATATATCGTTTGTATCAATTTAGTTACCATTCATAACTAGAAGTAGAAAGCATACTTCCACCATCTTCAGGATCATCCCTTCCGTCTCCAGAAATTCCATTCTTTTCCATAAGTTCTTCAACCATTTTATTTAATTCATCAATTTCTTTATCCTAAGAATTTTATATTTTTTTGAGGTTTTTAAGTTATAAATCATCACCAAGTTTTTATAATGGGAAACTTAGTATTGTTTAGCACATATTCTGGTAATATTGAACTGATCAGATACCCATTTTTTCCTCCCCAATTTTTCCTCTATATTTTTGCAAAATGGTTAGACTTTTTCTTTACTTCCTTACGAATTGCCTTTCTAATTTTTGTCCACAATCAGATGCCAAAAACATGCCAAATACTAGTGTTATTCACGGTACCGTATTACGGCGGTATTTTTCGGTAATACCGCCGTATTTTACCGAAAATACCGATACCGAAAAATCGCGTTTGACCAACACTACCAAATACATGCCAAAAACAAGTACTTAAAGGGGGAAAAATAGGGGAAAATTTGGGAGGAAAAAATGAGGTTTTTCCGGTTCAATATTACCCATACCCTCCCCGCTTAGTGGGTTAAAAATTATATTAAAGAGTAGTCTTCAGCCTTAGAAATCCCTTGAATGTTTCTAATAAAACTTTTCTTTAATTACAAATTTTCTTAACCTTTCCTTGAATTGTCAAATTCAAAGTTTGTATTTGTGTTTCCTTCATTTTTAAACGATATTTAAGCCCTAAAGTATTTTCTTTGTGTTCTTTTTTAATTTTTTGAATTTCTAGATTTGCTCTAAAATTTAATTTATTTTTTAATTTTTAAATAAAAATTAACTGATTTAATTGAGAATCAGCACTCTCTTTCAATTCTTCATATTTTGTAGCTTCCTCAGCAAGATTATTTTTTAATTCATTTTCACTCTAAAAGAATCTCGTTTAATTTTAGAAAAACTTTTTTACCTTTATAAGACGAACACAATGTTCTCTCATTTTTTCACAACGTTTGAATAAATAACCACATTTATCTTCCAATTCACGGATCTCATTCCTTGCTTCAGTCAATTCCTCCACTTGTCCAGGCCGATCACTTCCAGTTTTTAATTGTTGAATTTCTTGTTTTAAACTTTTAATTTTATTTTCATTTTCAGATTTTATTTTTTGGAAACCCTGAAAATAGTTTAGATACCGGTTATTATTTAAGTTTTCAGTTATTTTGGAGACTTATGCCTACATATGTAGATCTACTTTAATGCCTTTTTATGGAGTTTTTTAAGGCTTAAAGAACTTTAAATGATAATGAACGAAAAAGAAACCGATCTAATGTAAGAATTTACTAAAAGTTGCAGCTGAAAAATGACTTTACAGCACATGAGTGCTGCTAACTTTTTTTCTGTTAAAAATTAAATTAATTACCTTTTTAATTTTTTCTTCCAAAAAATTAATTTTTTGGTCATTTTCAGCTTTTAATTCATTATTTTATTCAGTTAATTTTTGGAAATTCTTTTTCAAATTTTTAATTTCATTTTCATGTTCAAACTTGAGTTCATGGATTCCCTGAAAATATAACAAATTTAGCTAGCTACTTTCTTGCAGACAAAAGTTGGAAGGTAAAGAAAGTTGGACCTATTTGAGTGTAAGTTTTGGGTAGAGGAAATCTTTCTTAATGACAAGTTAGTGTTAATGAATAATAAATTAATAATAAATAATAATAAATTAATAATAAACTTTCAACCTCCAATTTCTCTAAGCGTTGTTTTAATTGTTCAATTATACTTTGTGGTGAAAGAAAAACAGAAGAAGTGGACAATCTACTCGATGTTTCCAAATCTTTTCCTATAAATCTTTCTAATTCTTCTCCAAATGTTTCATTGTTATCAGAATTGTTTGTAGAAAATAAACTTTCCTTCGAGTGTCTTGGAGTTTCCATATTTAATTTTTTTAAAATAATTTTCTGAAATTTATTTGGATTTTTTGGTCAATACAAAAATTTTTCTCCATAAATTTGGACAAAAAATGAAATAAATGTTCGATTGTTTAAATTTATATTTAAAATCAGAAAAAATATTTTTGAATTAAATTTTAATTTTAGGCTATGAAAAGTTGGAGAGTGATATTCAATAAATGCTTCTCTCGGAAATATTTGATAATAAATTAATTTAATTTTAAATTTATTCGAAACATTCACAGAGGTAAAAAGAAGAGAAACAAAAACTCCGAAAATTATTAAAAATAATCTAAAATATCACTGAAACTTTAAACTAGAGAATTGAGAAAAATAATTTTTGGATCAAGAATTAAAAAAAATAAATTAGCGTTTTTTTTTAAATTTTTTTAAAGTTACTAAAATTTGTTACAATATATACTAGATATATTGAAATAATAATATTTCTTTAATTTAAATTTAAAAAAAGCAGGGCATTTTATAAAATAAAAATTGCAAACAAAAATGGCGATTTGTTTTAAGGAATTTTGATAAATTAATTTAAAGTTATTAAATTTATAGAAAAAATTAAATTAATTTTTTTTAAACAAAATTTAAATTTTTGGGGAGAATTTAAATTTTTGTTTAAATTATTAAAGGTAAATAGATGAATAAAAAATTAATTTGAAGGATTTATATATTGAAGGATTTTTTGCCCAGAGAAAGTTTATGTGAATATTTATTGTTGAGAAAAAATAGTTAGGGGAAAAAGGATTAATTTTTATTCGTTGAGGGAATATTTTAAATTTAAAAAATAAATTTGAGAGATAATTAAAAATGTTTAGAATTAAATTAAAAACAAATTTAAATAAAAACAAATTAATTTTTAATAGTTTTTATATTTTAAATAAAGACAGGCAAATTTAATTTAAATTTCTTTTTTTGATTATTCAAATAGTACATATTATCTAATTTAAAGTTTTGTTTAAAATATTTTTTAAGTTAAAGGTTTTATATTGGGGCCTTAAAATATTTTTTAATTTAAAGGCTTTATATCAGGGCCAGAAGCGGACACAAGAGACAATTTCCAGTAACGCAAAACTTAACGCAAGGCCAAAAAATAGGAAAATTTTTTTATCAAGTACACATTAGCCATTTTCCAATTAAAATTAAAGTATCACTAACTGTCAATGAGTCCTCTCAATTTTGATTGTTTAAATGACTTATTGTTAGATTTTAGATTATCTATCTATCCGACTTAGATTTTCTATCTATACTATATGAGTAAATTAATTATTCATTTTTCGCCCCCTGTGACTATAAAACTAAAATAATCCCTTGATCCTGACGGCCGATCAAGGAGATATTCTTGTTAATTGCGAGCGACTTTTTCAAGCGGCTAAAGTATATCAATATTTTCAACAAATTAAAAACATTCCACAATTAAAAATGAAAATAATTAAAAACTAAAAATTCAAAACAAAATACTCCCCAAAAATTAATCTTTATTACTCATAATTTTTCTTAGATTCTTTCTTCTCTTTCCCTTTTTAACGTGTTTTTGGATGTTGTTCAGAAATGTGAGTCAGCAATTTTTTATATGAACTACATTTAAAAGAACAAACATCACAACAATACCTACATAGAATTAAAGCTGAATGAAAAACAAAAATAGTTACAAACATTGTTTCAGCAGGGCACAGTTTAATATTATGCTCATTATTCATATGTTGTAAAATATTGAATGAATATGTCTGAGAAAAATGTTGAGAATTTAATTAAAAATAATTCCGGGAAAAATAATAAAAAATTAATTAATACATACATATGTATTATTTAATTAATATTATTTTAAAAAATTAATAAAAAATTTAACAAAGAAAACAATTAATTTCAGAATTAAAAATCAGAATTTTATGTCCGGATTTATTATATAAAAAATATTTTTACAAACATTAATTTTTTAATTTTTAAAATTCTGAAATTCTGAGAGAATAATTTTCAAAATTAAAAAATACCTTCCCGCACAATTTGCAGCAACATCCATCGTTTTTGTTTTGTGCTTTTTTTAGCAAATCATTAGTTACAAGATGGTGAGACATGAGCAAATGGCGCTCAAGTCCTTTAAAAAAAAATTTCTTTAAAAAATATTTGATTATTTCAATACCTTCATTAGTCCAAAAACTTTCTCGACAACGACCACATGCTACAGGCGCTCCCCGTTCCATATCCGTAGCTGTTTTTCCTTTCAATTGGTTGTGGACAGATTGCAAATGGAGTCGGTAATTATCGAGGTCAGTGCAAGTATAATCGCAAAGTTCACATATTAGAGTTAATTTTCGTGCAGTATCGGCAGGTGCTTCAAGCGACAAATCAGAAGTACCAGTGTTTGTTTTCTAGATTTCAAAATATTATTTTATTAAAGCTAAAACAAGAGAAAATATATTTATAGTATCAAATAAAAAAAATTTAATTTTTGTTTTTCAAATTAATTTAAAAAACAGTCCGACCTTTTCCATACTTTCTATTTTTTCTTGCTGTTCAATTTGTCTTCTAAATAAATAAATTATGTACTATAAATAATTTTCTAAATTATTTAATTACTTTTTGTCTTTAATTCTTTTATTTTGAAACCAAATTCGAATAACTCTAGCACTTAATCCAGTTTGTTCAATTAATTGTTCTTTAATTAGTGTATCCGGTCTTTGATTTGTACTATAAAACTGTTTTAATAATCTTAATTGTGATTCATTTAAAACTGTTCGAATTCTTTGTGTCTAAAAAATTAAAAATTTACTTTTTACTTTTTGTACGAAACAAAACATTTCATCATCTTCGGGACCTACGCCCACTGGGTCTGGAGCCGTTCCTTACCCTATCCCTTGAAATTTCCGAGTTATCAGCGTTTTTCTGAAATTTAAAAAAATGGCTATAACTTTCGGAAATTTCGAGGGATAGGGTAAGGAATAGTTCAGACCCACAGGTCGTTGGAAAACATATCTACATTTCCTAATGTAGATATGAGTAAATTAAAGTAAAAATTGTTGCTACCCCTTTAAACTAGGGTAGCAACCCGATCCTTCGAGATTGGATGTGTCAAGAATTGGGGTTTGACGGTGATGGCAAGTCGTCTTCGGTGTCGGGGTTCGGAGTCGGCATTTTGGGGTCGGGTTGCTACCCTACTTCAAACAAACATCATTTTTAGAGTCTGATTGTTGAAAGTTTTCAATTAATTTTTGTATATTTCGTTTTATTTCTTCAAGTTCATGTTTACAATTTATTTTTTGAATTTTCTAAAATAAGTTTAAAAAAATTTTATAAAAATAGCCAAACTTTTAATTCATTTTCAAGAAAAAAATTTTTCTTTTCCAAATTTAAATTTTTTTCCTTCTCTTCAATGAATTTTATTTGAAGATTGTTAAAATTAGTTTGAAGATTTATCAAATCATTTTCCTCTTTTCCAACCAAAATCCAGTCAGAATCTGATGAATCTTCTTCAGCCATTTTGTTTGGGGATTTCCTAATGTATATAGATAGTAAATTAAAAATAGTGAAGAAAACTGAACTTAATAAACAAAGCCTTTATCTACTCAAAAATATTTAATAATTCCCAAAATGCATATGTATGTGAATGAATAGAAAGCAAGCCTAGACATTAAAAATGGAGAAGAGTAAGTTTGTAGGTCAAAAAATACAATCGAAAAGCAAGCCAAGTAAGAAATGAAAGGCTTTGTAGACTGAAGTCTGTCTCCCCTTGCAACAAATAAAGGTAAGTAAGTAGAGATGTGCGAGACTCTTGGTCTTGGTCTTGGAACCAAGACTTTTCTTGGTTTTTTTTCGGTCTTAGTCTTGGTCTTGGGGTGTTTGTCTTGGTCTTGTCTTGGTTTTATTTTTTGGTCTTGGTTTTTTGGCCTTTTTGGTTTTATTTTTTGGTCTTGGTTTTTTGGCCTTTTTGGTTTTATTTTTTGGTCTTGGTTTTTTGGCCTTTTTGGACCTAGTGCTTGGCCATCCAAAATCCTCAAAATTTTCGCCTGCGGCGCAGAAAATGGAAGAAATCTGGCTTCTTGAGCTCCAAAATTCAAAAAATTTTCGCCTGCGGCGCTGAAAATGTGAATTTTTTTGGCCTACGGCCTTCCAAAATTTTCAAAATTTTTGCCTGCGGCGCAGGAAAAGGAAGATTTTTGGCTTCTTTGCTTTCATAATTCTTAAAATTTTCGCCTGCGGCGCTAAATCCCACGGCTATCCCTCTTAATCTTTTTATATCACTAATATCCCGTTAATCCACTCAAACCCTCTGAAATAATAACCTATTTTATTGATTTTCCACAGAATAAATTCCCCGAAATTCTGTGAATTTCGCATAAATTTTTCGAAATTATAGATAATTGTGCTGAAGTTGACTGTGATCGTATCAAAATTACAAAAAATAAACCAAAAATTTGACCTATGGGATTTAAAAATTTGGTCTTGATTTTTGGTCTTGAGTCTTAGAGTTTTGGTCTTGGTCTTGTGTCTTGGTCTTGGAAAAAATTTTGTCTTGGGTCTTGAGTCTTGAGTCTTGGAAAAATTTCGGTCTCGCACATCTCTATAAGTAAGAATGCATGTGGGGAAAAAGAGAAAAACAGAACGGTAGAGTACGAAATTATCTCGGGTTAGGGTTCGAATTTAGACATAATTTTTATGTCAAAAAAAATGCCATAAAATATAGATATTAAATACCAAATTTCTTTAAAATCTGTCAATGCAGAAAAAAGTTATGAATTTTTCAAATAGTATTTCTTAGTTGAAACACCCTGTACATTTCCTGCGGACTTTTTACGGACAATTTTTCTTACAATTTTGCGGAAATGGAATTTCCTCCATCAACTTCACTTTATTTCAGTCGTATATTCAAATGTAAAGAAAATTTCAGTCTCCTAAATTAACATTTGGATTAATGTTACGAGAATAAAGAGATTGAAATAGTAGATCAAATAAAATTTGATCAAATATTAACGTTAGCGTTAAATCGAGCGAGAAGGAATAAATTTGTGGCTTTTAAAATATTTTTTATTTTTTAGAAAAATCAAATACGATTACAAGTTGGGGTTAAAATTTATAAAACTTTTGTAGATTGAACGTAAAATAAAAGAAAAATTTCTCCCCTTAAAATATGCATTTATTTTTTTTTAAATTAATATTCCTCTTTTTGGAATTATTTTTAAATTTTTTAGAAACAGGTAAAATAAAAGAATATTTTTTATTTTAATTAATTTTTTCAAAAAGAAGTAAATTCTCTTTATTTGGTGTTAATGTAGAATTATTGTTAATTAAAAAATTTAAAAACATTAATTATTTCCAATTTCCTTCTCTTCTTCATCTCCATGTTGTTCTCCGAGATGCTTATTTAAATAACTTTTTAAGACAAATCCAAGCACAACTCCAACATTTTTTAGCTTTTTATTGGAAAAATATTTCAAAATTTCAAAATATAATTACCATTATGTGTAGTTAAATGTGCTCTAAGGTTAGATCTGTCAGAAAATTCTTTTCCACACTTTCCACAACCAAATGGCTTCTTTTTAAAAAATATAAATTTTATCTTGTAAATCAAAAAACCTGTCCAGTATGACTACGTAAATGTCCTTTAAGTAGCCATGGACGATGATAAAATTTTCCGCAAATTGGACATTTATGTTTAGCTTGGTGTGTTAATAAATGCATTACAAATGCCGGCATTGAAAAATAAGGTTTTTCACAATAAGGACACTAAAATAATTAGGTAAATTAATTAATTCTTTATTTTATTTAGTTCCTTCTCATTGTTACTCTAAACTAAGGTAGTTCAAAGCCGGTTATTAACCGGTCCTCACGGTTAATACTTTCATTTTCCGTGATGCAAGCGAAATTTTTGAGAATTTTGAAAGACCCCCCCCCCTTCTCGTGGCCTTTTCTACCTTTTTAATTTCAATTTTCATCTTTCTCATCTTTTCATCGTTTTCATGTTTTAATTGTTTAACATTTTCTTTACTTAATTTCTGAGAATGTTGTTTCATTATTTCATTTTCATTATCAAAATTTATATTTTGAATTTTCTAAAAATAAATTCTTAAAAATATTTAATAAAAATAGCCAAACTCTCAATTCATTTTCAAGGAAAAAATTTTTCTTTTCCAAATTTAAATTTTTTTCCTTCTCTTCAATGAATTTTATTTGAAGATTGTTAAAATTAGTTTGAAGATTTATCAAATCATTTTCCTCTTTTCCAACCAAAATCCAGTCAGAATCTGATGAATCTTCTTCAGCCATTTTGTTTGGGGATTTCCTAATGTATATAGATAGTAAATTAAAAATAGTGAAGAAAACTGAACTTAATAAACAAAGCCTTTATCTACTCAAAAATATTTAATAATTCCCAAAATGCATATGTATGTGAATGAATAGAAAGCAAGCCTAGACATTAAAAATGGAGAAGAGTAAGTTTGTAGGTCAAAAAATACAATCGAAAAGCAAGCCAAGTAAGAAATGAAAGGCTTTGTAGACTGAAGTCTGTCTCCCCTTGCAACAAATAAAGGTAAGTAAGTAGAGATGTGCGAGACTCTTGGTCTTGGTCTTGGAACCAAGACTTTTCTTGGTTTTTTTTCGGTCTTAGTCTTGGTCTTGGGGTGTTTGTCTTGGTCTTGTCTTGGTTTTATTTTTTGGTCTTGGTTTTTTGGCCTTTTTGGTTTTATTTTTTGGTCTTGGTTTTTTGGCCTTTTTGGTTTTATTTTTTGGTCTTGGTTTTTTGGCCTTTTTGGACCTAGTGCTTGGCCATCCAAAATCCTCAAAATTTTCGCCTGCGGCGCAGAAAATGGAAGAAATCTGGCTTCTTGAGCTCCAAAATTCAAAAAATTTTCGCCTGCGGCGCTGAAAATGTGAATTTTTTTGGCCTACGGCCTTCCAAAATTTTCAAAATTTTTGCCTGCGGCGCAGGAAAAGGAAGATTTTTGGCTTCTTTGCTTTCATAATTCTTAAAATTTTCGCCTGCGGCGCTAAATCCCACGGCTATCCCTCTTAATCTTTTTATATCACTAATATCCCGTTAATCCACTCAAACCCTCTGAAATAATAACCTATTTTATTGATTTTCCACAGAATAAATTCCCCGAAATTCTGTGAATTTCGCATAAATTTTTCGAAATTATAGATAATTGTGCTGAAGTTGACTGTGATCGTATCAAAATTACAAAAAATAAACCAAAAATTTGACCTATGGGATTTAAAAATTTGGTCTTGATTTTTGGTCTTGAGTCTTAGAGTTTTGGTCTTGGTCTTGTGTCTTGGTCTTGGAAAAAATTTTGTCTTGGGTCTTGAGTCTTGAGTCTTGGAAAAATTTCGGTCTCGCACATCTCTATAAGTAAGAATGCATGTGGGGAAAAAGAGAAAAACAGAACGGTAGAGTACGAAATTATCTCGGGTTAGGGTTCGAATTTAGACATAATTTTTATGTCAAAAAAAATGCCATAAAATATAGATATTAAATACCAAATTTCTTTAAAATCTGTCAATGCAGAAAAAAGTTATGAATTTTTCAAATAGTATTTCTTAGTTGAAACACCCTGTACATTTCCTGCGGACTTTTTACGGACAATTTTTCTTACAATTTTGCGGAAATGGAATTTCCTCCATCAACTTCACTTTATTTCAGTCGTATATTCAAATGTAAAGAAAATTTCAGTCTCCTAAATTAACATTTGGATTAATGTTACGAGAATAAAGAGATTGAAATAGTAGATCAAATAAAATTTGATCAAATATTAACGTTAGCGTTAAATCGAGCGAGAAGGAATAAATTTGTGGCTTTTAAAATATTTTTTATTTTTTAGAAAAATCAAATACGATTACAAGTTGGGGTTAAAATTTATAAAACTTTTGTAGATTGAACGTAAAATAAAAGAAAAATTTCTCCCCTTAAAATATGCATTTATTTTTTTTTAAATTAATATTCCTCTTTTTGGAATTATTTTTAAATTTTTTAGAAACAGGTAAAATAAAAGAATATTTTTTATTTTAATTAATTTTTTCAAAAAGAAGTAAATTCTCTTTATTTGGTGTTAATGTAGAATTATTGTTAATTAAAAAATTTAAAAACATTAATTATTTCCAATTTCCTTCTCTTCTTCATCTCCATGTTGTTCTCCGAGATGCTTATTTAAATAACTTTTTAAGACAAATCCAAGCACAACTCCAACATTTTTTAGCTTTTTATTGGAAAAATATTTCAAAATTTCAAAATATAATTACCATTATGTGTAGTTAAATGTGCTCTAAGGTTAGATCTGTCAGAAAATTCTTTTCCACACTTTCCACAACCAAATGGCTTCTTTTTAAAAAATATAAATTTTATCTTGTAAATCAAAAAACCTGTCCAGTATGACTACGTAAATGTCCTTTAAGTAGCCATGGACGATGATAAAATTTTCCGCAAATTGGACATTTATGTTTAGCTTGGTGTGTTAATAAATGCATTACAAATGCCGGCATTGAAAAATAAGGTTTTTCACAATAAGGACACTAAAATAATTAGGTAAATTAATTAATTCTTTATTTTATTTAGTTCCTTCTCATTGTTACTCTAAACTAAGGTAGTTCAAAGCCGGTTATTAACCGGTCCTCACGGTTAATACTTTCATTTTCCGTGATGCAAGCGAAATTTTTGAGAATTTTGAAAGACCCCCCCCCTTCTCGTGGCCTTTTCTACCTTTTTAATTTCAATTTTCATCTTTCTCATCTTTTCATCGTTTTCATGTTTTAATTGTTTAACATTTTCTTTACTTAATTTCTGAGAATGTTGTTTCATTATTTCATTTTCATTATCAAAATTTATATTTTGAATTTTCTAAAAATAAATTCTTAAAAATATTTAATAAAAATAGCCAAACTCTCAATTCATTTTCAAGGAAAAAATTTTTCTTTTCCAAATTTAAATTCTTTTCCTTCTCTTCAATAAATTTTATTTGAAGATTGTTAAAATTAGTTTGAAGGTTTATTAAATCATTTTTCTCTTTTTCAAACAAAATCCAATCAGAATTTGATGATAATTTTTCTTCAGTCATGTTTTAAGATTTTTTAAGTTGATAAATTCAAATAATAATTTAATTTAGTTATCCAATACTAGGAAGAATTTAAACTTTTTTTTATTATAAAAGGTAATTAAAGAGAAATAGGTATATAAATTATTTTTTGGAAACTACTACTTTGTTAGTAATGGAAAAAGCAGGCAAACTAGTAAAAATATAAACGGAGGGAGAGAAAGGTTATAGGTCAAAAAATCCAATTGAAAAGCAAGCCAAGCAAAAATAATAAAATCTTTTTTTTCTTTAATTACCTAATTTAAAAATATATATTTAAAGTCGGCTTTGTGTTCCTATATTTTCTCATTTTTTCAACTTCTAGAAAAAGGAGGAACAAGTATTTTTTCGATATTTTAGAGGTTTGCCAGTAGGTAATCGAGTGTGCTGAGTCCGAATATAATCTAAACCGAACTTGCTGCTTTGCACTTCGAAAGATATATCAGGGGATTTAGAGGGATACTGGTAGATTTGGGACGGAGATTAGTGGATTTGGGGGGACTAAGGGAGCCATTGTGAAATTGAGTTAAGTTGAGAAAAAATTTTTAACTTTGCAATAGAAAAAAGGATGGAGTATACGAACTTCGATTTTCTCAAAAATGTTAATTAATTAGCTAAGATACAAATTGAAAATTGTTTTCAGGAATGTGTTTTTGTTAGTGTTTTGCAATTTATCATAAAAATTTAACTAAAAAATATTCTATAAAACATGGAAATATTTTCCAGCATAAACTCAATTAAAATTATTCTCCGGAAAAAACAATTTCAAAAACTATTTCCGGAAAACTTTAATTAATTATTTATTTCATTATTTTCATTTCTATTTTCTAAAAATTCATTCCCCAAACATTCTTCAGGAATTGGTTGTAGACTATTTGTTTGTTGATATCTTTTTTCGTCTTGTTTACGAAATATTTGAAATTTTAAAGTGACTGGTAAAATCCAAGCTTTTTCATTTCCAAAAATTAAATGAAAAAATCCGGTTTTTGGAACAATCTAAAAATTATTAAAAAAATTTAAAAATAATTTTTCCAAAATTACCCAATTCCAAAAATCAATTCCGGGCAGACCCGGCCTTTCACACCCAGCATATACTTCACATAAATCGTCTACTTCTTCAAGTTTGAAAAGCTTTGTTATTTGTTCACGTCTGATAGTCTGTTAAGAATAAAGATTAAAATACGAGAATTTAACAATTTGTATCTTCCGGAAAAGATAATTATTTTAAAAATAATTCTGAAAATATTTTCCGGAAAAAATGGTAGGAAAAATATAAACGGCCATTTTCTCTTGTTTTTACAAGTCAGAATTATAGAATTACGAGTCAAAATTTCACAAATCAGAATTATAAAAATCAGAACTACTTTAGAAAGCTAAATCAGAATCTGATGAATATATTTTTATTTTTTTAATGTTTTGCCCTTTAATTCAAACATTTCCCTCAACACATGTTGTAATTTTTTTCCTTTTACACCATTCCCTCAAACCATCTTTTAAATTTATGTAATTCTCCTTTATCAAAAGTATATTTCATTTAGGCTTTTCCGCCCTCCATTTTTCCTTTTGCTCTAGACTTTTTAATTTTTATATCAGTTGATATCAGAATTTAAAAAATTCATAAGGTTACATTAAAACAGAATTTACAATTTCAATTAGCAAATTATACCTTTCTCTTCTCGCTGTAAAGTATATTAATTGTAAGTTCACGTTCGTGAGAGAGAACAAAATGTAAACGTTCACATTTCTCCAGAAAATAAGTTTTTAATAAAAATTCGCCTAAAATTAATTTTTTTCTAATCTTCTAAAATATCCCTCTAACCTGCAGGAATTTTTAATTCTTCCAATTCCAACAAATCTTTTGGGGATAATTCCGAAATAGGTGTTTGATAAGGCTTAGGTTCCTTATTTTTAATTAAAAATATTTTGAAATTATTTTTATGGGTCAACACCAGAAATTCCGTAGAATAAATTCGCATTTTTACTCCAAACTTGAGGTTACTGTAACTCGCGAGTAACTCTCTTTAATTTTATTCTTATATTGAGCTTTCTTTAAAACTTTAATTTTTTAGTAAAATATTAGAGTTAGAAGTTTTGAAAATGCCGGATCCGCTTTCCGGATTTTTATATTTTTTCTTATCCGGACCGGATGTTCCGGCTCAAAATCCGGATTTTTTAGACCCGGATCCTGACCCAGAAAAATTTAAAAAATATTTTTTCATAAATATTTTTTTATTTTTTGATTGTAAAATTTTTTAAAAAAATTTGAAAACTTAATATATTTCTGAAAAGAGCATTAGAGAAGCTTCTTACCCTGTTACACTGCCCCCGACCAGTGTAGCAATTTTACCCTTAGCTGAGGGTTATTTGACCCGAGTAAATAATTTATTCTACCAATGTGAAAAGTTACTCGGGGTTTTGGGTTAATTTAGCGGGTTGTTTAACCCTGAACTCAGAGTAGGAATTTATGCTGCGGGTTGAGAGTTATTTGACCCTCGGATAGGGATTAAATAACCCTTACCCCGAATTTATTCTACGGGCCCAGAAGGTCATGTCTCCATTGGTCATGGAAAGAAGGCGACTCAGGGATTACCTAGTCTCGTAATCCCAACAAATCCACAAATCCTTCTTTATCTCCCAAATAGACTCTTGACCTTCAGGGTTTTGACTTTTTGGGTTTATCCCATTTTTTAAAAAAGCCCACCCTAATTTTAAATTCTCTTTCTCCTCCATAATCCCTAGGAAATGCCTCCAATGGAATTGACAATTCCAGCAAAGGTAATTTCTCCTTCCAATCATTTTCCTGTCCAAGTAAATAAACTTTCTGTCTATATTCATCCCCTAGAAAAGGAGTACAAGCATTCCATAAAGTTCTCATTGCAGGAGTACAATTAATACAAACAATGGCTGACAAAAATGAAGGGTATTGCTCTACAAGTGTTCCCCACATAATTCGGTAAGGACCTTAAAAAATGTGCTAACAAATTGTAAAACAAGTTTGTAATATTTTCAAGTCTGTATATGTTTGCAAATGTTTTTACAACTATAAAGTTTGACAAAAACATGTTTTACAATTAAGTTGAACAAGTTTTATAAATCAAGTATTATTTTAAGTTTATTGATGCTTCAAGTTTGCTTCAAGTTTATTTATGCAGCAAGTTTTTTGTTGCTTCAAGCCTACTATTGCTTCAAGTTTACATTGTTTCAAACTTATTTTTGCTGCAAGTTTATTTTGCGCAAAGTTTGTCTTTGCTTCATGTCTATTTTGCTTCAAGCTTATTATTGCTTAAAGTTTATTTTTGCTTCAATTTTATTTTGCTTCAACATTATTTTGCTTCAAATTTATTATTGCTTCATACTTATATTGCTTTAAGTTTAGCTTGCTTCAAGATTATTTAATTCTTAATTTTTAAAACTTTGTTTAAAATAAAACTTGTTTTTTTCTTTCTTTAGATGTTTACATGTTTTACAACTCTTTGTAAAAACATTTGTGTTTTTAAATGTTTTTATTATTTTAAATGTTTTACAACATGTTTTAATTCTTTATCAAACAATGTTTTACAATCTTAAAACACCTGTAATAAAACTTATAAGGCCAGTATGAAAATACATTCCATCCAAATCAAGTAAAAGAATTGCACTTTGCCTTTTCCCCGTCCTCTCTTCAGAAAGACGTATTTCCTTCATTATTCTTTCCATTAAACGGAAACGATTAAGCATAAAAGAGGAATAACGAATAGATTTAACCATTTGTTCTAAGTTAAAACGGCCAGATCTTTCTAATAATAAAATACGCCCATCACTTTCATTCACCTAGAAAATAAAGAAATTTTTTGTTAGGGGGACCCCCTCAATTTCGCTAATAATTTCTAATAACTTCCTTTTATTAATTGGAAATCGAGATTTTGTGTTGCCTAATTTTTGATTTCACTAACCTGGACAGAATTTGGATCCAGGAAAAACTCAGAAAGCTCAAAAATGCTTAAGTATGGGTACAGGAGCTTTTACTCAACCCGACTCGATTTCTACTATAAATTGAAAGCCTGGATTATGATAGCGCATTTATTCGAATATCATTTTTTATGACGATCTGGTCAAATCAATCCCCTTAGGAAACATAAATATAATCAGTATTAGCTATCGTGTTTGTAACAGATTCAGATTGTCGAAAAATTTTAAAAATTTGTGCCCCAAAACAGGTTTAAAGACAGAAAGGCGAAATTCGAGGTGTGTTCTTCCTCTCATACCGGTCCAAGTATTTCCATTGGAGCGTATTCTTCAGCCATTTCATCTAATCCACTTGATCCATTCAAGTTCTCAATAAAATCCAAACCAATAATCTTGAAATTTGAATTATTTAAATTTTTCTTTCCTCTCTACCTTCCTAATTCTTAAATGTCTAATAAATTTTAAAATAGCCAATTCAACATCACCCTTGTAAGCATACACCCAACGAAGCAAATCAAAATCAGTTACTGATTTAATTGTCTTAAAAATAATTATTAATATATATATATAAAAAAAGTTACTTTGCCTATAAAAGTAGTGGTAGTTTAGCTACGTGACTTTCAAAAACCTAGAACTTTTTACAGAGTTGAGATATGAATTTGGGACTTTGACATCTTGCTGGGTACTTTTTATGGGTCATCTGGGAAAAATGTTGTTTTTTCAATAATTGCCCCCCTTGGTACCTAAATCGCATAGATACCGGGGATATCTCCGGAACGGATAAAGATAGCGGAAAAGTTCCGCTTGGAGGGCACTGGAGCATGATTTGGAGATGCTGAAACAAAAAAACCCGAGGTCGAAATCCCAAGTCTAAAGGTCGATATGCCTGACACAAAATTGGTTTTTCGGTGAAAAGTCCGATTTTTCGGAAATGACGAAATCCTGGGGGCATATCTTATAGGTGAGAGAGAAATTGTGATTGGCAGGTGAAAAAAATAGATGAAGCAAGTTTAAACTTGCAGCAGAAGCAAGTTTAAACTTGAAGCAGGGTAAACAAATGAGGAAACACGAAGCAAAGTCGAAATTAGGGATCCGGGATTTTCGGGATTTCAGAGTATGGGTGAGTAGGTAGTCGTTTGAGAGCTGGGAGTGAGGGGAGTTGAACGGGATAAGGATAAATGTCGAATTTTCTTTAAAGTGAGGAAATCCTGGGGGCAAATCTTATAGGTGAGAGAGAAATTGTGATTGATAGGAGAAATTTCGAGTTGAAATAGTGGGATTTCGAAGCTGAAGCAAGTTTCGAGTTGAGGGAGGGTAAGTTGAAGCAAAATAGGGGGAATTCGAAATTAGGGATCCGGGATTTCGGAATTTTTAGGGATTTTGGAATATGGTCGAATGTGTAGTCATTCGAAAGCGGATAATGAGGGGAGTTGAATGGGATAAATAGTAAAGCCGAAAGTCGAAGTTCGGAGTTCGAACTTCGAAATCCGGGATTTTCGGGATCGGGAAGTATGGTCGAATGAGTACTCATTCGAGAGGGGATAATGAGAGGATCTTAGTGGGATAAAGAATCAAGCCGAAAGTCGAAGTTCGAAGTCGAACTTCGAAATCCGGGTTTTTCGGGGTTAGGATATATGGATGAGTGGGTAGTTTCAAGAGGTGATAACGAGGGGAATTGAATGAGATAAAGCCGAAAGTCGAAGTTCGGAACTTCGAAATCCGGGATTTCCGGGATTGAGAAGTATGGTCGAAGTATGGTCGAAAAGTATGGTCGAAAGTATGGTATGGTATGTCGAAAGTATGGTCGAACTAAAAATTAAAAATTCTTTAATACTCATTCAAGAGGGGATAATGAGGGGAGATGAGTGGGATTATTAAAAATATCGAAACTTGAAATGTAGAATTCGAAGTTCGAGATTCGACATTTCTGGGATTTGAGAATCAAACGGATATAGGTGAACGAGTAGTCATTCTAAAGCATATCTAAAGGGGAATCCATTGGGATTAACCAACATTTCGAATTTCAAAGTTTGTAGTTCGAGATTTGGGATTTGAGTCTGGGACTGAAATGGTTTTTCGACCATAACTTTTCAAGAAAATTTTTTAGAATTTTTTCGTCTTCGGATTCGATCTCAGCGTGTTCGGTTTCTCTATAAAACACATTTTTTCTGTCAAAATTAAAAAATTTCTACCCCTCGAATTTTCAATATGGGTAACCCTTATGAAAAGTATTTGGAAATATTTTAAAAAGCATAACTATTTAAGGGATTGAGATTTTTGAATGGGATTTCGATTATAAAATAGTTCTTAAATTAAAAATTCTTTAAGGTAAAAAACATTTGAAAAATTCAAAACTGGAGCCGTAGGGGTCGATTTTTTAAAAATCCAAAATTTTTCGATTTCTTGAAAATTTTCTTGGTTTTTTGTTGTAAGATCGGTGTAAAAGTAGTTTCCCCGTATAGAGCAGATTTTTCCATATATAATAGGATTTTAAAATCTTCAAAAAAGGATACTTTGGGCCAGTTATGATTTTTTGAATATTTCAGTGATTTTTTCGGCCGAAATTTCCGGCCAAAAATTTATTTTTTCGAAAACCAAGATAGATATGGCGAATGATATATCATTTGAAAGCTCTCATCGAGCTGACTTTAAAAATATTTTTTTCGAAATTTTATGGGGCATTTTGACGAAAATACAGAGGTTCGAAAATTTGTGGGGTGGAGTACCGTATCAGGAGAATTATGGTAGGGAGAGAGAAAAAATGATTGACAGGTGAAATTGGTGGCAGAGAAGCTAAATTTTTCTCCGTCTCTGACCATGCAGGGCAAACCGGCGAAGAACTTAAATGTGAATTTTGTATATCTGGGCAAATTTTGTGGGTGATAAGCTGGATCAGGTGTAGATCCGAATCAGGAGCATCTATTGCTTCAGGTTTCTGCTTCAAGTTTCGAAATTTGAAACTTGAAGCAAATTTGCTTCATGTTTTAATTTTTTGAAGCTTGAAGCAGATTTGCTTCAGGTTTTGAAATTTTTGAAATATATTGAAATTTTTTCACGTTTTTGAAATTACTGCATGTTTTGAAATTTTTAGTTTTGAAGAAAATTTGATTAAATTTTGGTTTATGAAGCAAAATTTGCTTCAACTTTGAAATTTTAGTTTACGAAGCAAATATGCTTCAACTGTGGAAAGTTTTAAACTTGAAGCAATTGCTTCAACTTTTAAAAATTTTGCTTTTTAGCTGACAAAAGTGGAAGGATGAGTCCCAACTGAGGGAACACGAGGGCCGAAGGCCAAGTGACTCTAAGTGGAAGGATGAGTCTCAACTGAGGGAACACGAGAGCTTGAATTTTGGTTTATGAATCCGATTTTTGTGAGCTACGGGGGTAGGTCGGCAGAACAAGGCTGAAAACGGAAAAAGGATTAGGTTTATGTTACTGTTGTAGAACCCAGCGACCGTTGACACCCGCAAGGCGCGTGCCGCAAAACCCCGCGCGAAGCGCGGGGTTTTGCACAAGCGCCTTGCCGACGCTCCATAGGTCTATCAACATAAACCTATTCTTTTTTAATGTATTATTTAATAAATGTACTATCTAATAAGACGAGGGCCGAAGGCCCGAGCTGACACCCATCTAAAAAGGGATGGCGAGGGCCGAAGGCCCGAGCTGACACCCATCTAAAAAGGGATGGCGAGGGCCGAAAGCTCGAGATGACACCCATCTAAAATGAAGGGCGAGGGCCCGTGCTGACACCCCATCTAAAAGGGAGGGCGAGGGCCGAAGGCCCGAGCTGACACCCATCTAAAAGGGGAGCAAGGGCCGAAGGCCCGAGTTGACACCCATCTAAAAGTTGACACCCATCGGCTTCCCCAACGTGGGGAAGACGAGGGCCGAAGGCCCGAAGTGACTCTAAGTGGCATGATAAGTCGCATCGAGGGGAAGATGAAGGCCCGAAGTGACTCTAATTGGAAGGATTAATCCTAAAGTGTCTAAAAGTAAGGACGATTAATCCTAAAGTGTCTAAAAGTAAGGGCGCCTCCCTTTCCATCTTAAAGGGAGGCGAGGGCCGAAGGCCCGAAGCAATGAAAAGGCAGTCTAAACTCTTCTTCCAAGCATCAAAACTTTCTAGCAGCGCGCGAAGCGCGCCCCAAAGCCGATAGGCTTTCCAACGGGTAGAACAAAATTTGACCCAAAGTATCTTAAAGGCACCCAGCTATCCTCCGCCATCAGTGGTCAAACCCACAGCTAGTTTTTTATTAATAAGGAACGGCGTTTTGCCCTTCAAAAATATATGAAGAACCTAAGGGATTATCCTGAGACTTAGCCGATTGTTATTCAATCAAATATCCAACCATTAATGTTTTATTTTTTGCTACTCCAATTTTTAGCTAACAGTAGAGTTTAAACCCAGACCGGATAACCCAATGTTGGAGCACCTGTACCTGGGGCCTCTAGGAATACCTGCCAACTGGACTCAGGGTCGGTGCCTGCCTGGAGCTACACATACCTCCTCTCACCCTTACTTACCTTTGCCTCTACAAATTTAGGATGTGAACGTATTTGTGTAATAAACTTTTTGTCCTCCTCATTATTTAAATTTTCAATTGATGAACTTGACATCTTTTCGAAATTCAAAAATTTCTTTGATCAATTAAAGTCAAAAATGTAAAAATATGTTCGTATCATTTAGAAAATAACGGGAACAAGATTGTCAAATTAAAAATAAATTTATTTATTATTGGAAAGAAAAGCTTTCTTTTTAAAATATTTTTACTGATCCGTATATTAGATTAAAAATAAAAATTTATTAATTCATTAAATTTTCTTTTATAAAAAGTATCATTTTCCTGGAGGAAAACGAGTCTTTTTCTATTAAATAAGAGTTTGATATCTCGCCTCGATCCAGTCTCTAGAAGACTATGATTTTATTCGCAATCAAGGCTATAGAGGCTATAGACTAAGAAGGCTAGTGTCTGAGGTCAGAGACCAAAAATGAAAAACGAAAAAAAACACAAATCTATGCTAAGTTATCTGATAAATACCATAGGGGTAGACGGTTTGTTCTGATAGAAGTTCCGGTAATAGATTAATACAGGGCTCGGATCGGAAAAAAAATAAATGTAGCTTAGAAAAAAAACTTGGTTAATTTAAAATTTTCACAAGTTGATAAAAAATTATTTATTTAAAATTTCAAAATAAAATTAGTCAAAAAAATCATAAATCAAACAAAATTTTCAATAAAATTCTTTAAAAACTAAATGTTTCGAAATATCGTATTTAAATGGTTTAGTCTTTAAATCATTTCCAAAGTTAGTTTCGATTGAACAACACTCCAAATTAACAATTGGTTGATATGAGTCAAAATTGTCTAATAATATTGCTTTACCTTTAAAAAACAATTTATGAATTATTTCTAAATTAAATATATTTACCAATTTGTTCCCCATTTTGTGTAAAGAAAATATAAGGAAATCCATTTAATTTATTAGTTGGAGGATAAACTAATCCACAACCATAAATATCGTTATTATTGAAAGAAGTTGAAAGTTTAAATTCTTTATCTTTTTCTTCATAGCAAATTCTAGCATTATGTGCAGCATAATATATGTATATATTCAATTTTGCTACAATTTGTAACACCAATCAACATCCATTTTCTTCCTTCATTTAACTCTCTTTCAAATTTACATTTAATTTCAAAATAGTATAAAGAATAATTTAAACAATTTTGTAGTTTGTTGAATGCAGTTTCTGCATAAACGGAAACATAATAATCGTAACCTAAAATGCATCTTTTTAACTCAAAAATTCTTTAATTACCTCCATTCCCCACAACATATTTACTAATATTTTCATCATCAATTAAATTAACAAATCCATTTCCTTTAATACAATTACCAATGGGATTATCTGTGTTTATACAATTATTGCGACAACATTTACCGATAATTTCACTCCATTTATTTTTAATTTCAACAAACTCCTTAAAAATTATTTGAATTTAAGTACGATTATAAACTAACCACTAAATTCGAATTATTTGCTTTAATTAAATCACCAATCTTTTTGTCCATCAAATCATTTGCCTTTAATTTAATAAAATTTAAATAAGAAATATTTTTATATTTATATCCGTAGTGCTTAAATGTTTAAAATAAAAATTTATATCGTGGCGCGAATAAAACAGAAACAATTGCTGATAGAACTAGGGAAAAGGGCCTTGCTAAAAAGAGCCAAGATAAAAAGGTTCGAAATTGTCAATATAAACCTATGAGGCGTAGGCGAGGCGCTTGTGCAAAATCCCGCGCTTCGCGCGGGATATCTCGGTATTTAGGCTGAGATAATATCTCGGTCCTTAATAATGAATTAATATTTAAAAATACAAAATTACCTTTATAATTTCTTCTTCCAATAGATTAATTTTCTCATTTTTTTGATAATTTTCTGTTTTTAATTGTTCTATACTCCCTTTCATTTCTTTAATTTCATCTTTATAGTCACAATTTATTTTTTGAATTTTCTAAAATTATATTAAATTTTATAAAATACTAGTTAACTTTTTTAAGCCTTTTTCACTTCATTTATAAACGAACTAACCAAAATTTTCGGACGAAACAAGAAAATAAATTTTACGCAGGGATATCTTTTGAAATTATATTTTTCAAAAAAAAACTGTTATGATTTTTCAGATCTTTAAAAACACATTTTTTGATAAAATTGATTCAGCGTAGGAATATAACTCGAAATAATTGCCGACCGATTCGAATAATTCCCGAATCATTCGATGTCTCTCTAAAAATTCTACAAAAAATTTAATTTTGGCTTTTCTATTATAAAGATGTGGTTAGCTTTGGATTTTTTTGTAAAAACTAATTTAAATAATTAATTTTTTTATTTACATTTTTAATTTCTTCTTCCAATAAATTTATTTTCTCATCCTTTTGCTTTAAATAAGCATCATTTTCAACTTTTAATTGCTTAATATTTTCCTCAATTAAATTTTTAAAATATTCACTCATCTTTTTAATTTCATTTTCATGTTCAGAATTTATTTTTTGGATTTTCTAAATTTAATATTAAAAAATGGGAAATAAATAAAACTTGCATTTTCAAATTTTAAGCTACAATTTTCTAGAGCTAAATCATTATTTTTCAATTTCAACTAAAATATAGTAAATTTATTTATGAACTCAGTCGTGTCTCACTATACGACACCATCGTTCAGAAAAATAGAGGAAAGTAAGAATGCCGTACAAGACCGGGTTGGAACTAGAGTTGGGTCGGAATTTCCGTTTTTTCCAACCGATTTCCGAAAAAAGTTCCGATCTCCGGCTATTCCGATTTCCGATACCTCTGACTGTTCCGACCCACCTCAGGTTAGAATCACTTATGTTTATCTTTCGAAAAGAAAATTTGTATTTGTGATACGGGAGTGAATTTAAATAAGGTGTTTATACACTTGAGATCGCCACTAGTAATTCAACCAAAAAATTCTTATCACCTCTAATTTCTCCTGACGTTGCTTCAAACTTTCAATTATATTTTTCGCTAAACAACAAGAACCACAAGAAGTTGACAACCCACAAATACTGGATGTTTCCAAATTACTTTTTTCTGTAAAAACTTCTAGTTCTTCAACAAGTGTTTTATCTTCAATTTTATTTAAATCATCCCTATTATTATCAGAATTGGACATTTCTTCAAATTCTTTTAATGTTCTCATAATATTCATTTTTAAAATTATCTGAAAATTAATTTAAACTTTTAATTAGTTTTAGTAATGCAACAAATTTTTCTTATTTGTCTCAAATTTAAGCAAAAATGTCTGTTTCTCAAAACTCATATTTCAACGATGAATAATAAGCGCATAATGGAGTTCATCAAAAAATTTTATTTGCTTTATTGCTCAATCAAAAATGATTAAATTCACTTAAAATATTCACAAGGGTAAAAAGGAGAGAAACAAAAAAATCAAAAATTATGAAATAATTTAAATATCAACTTTTCACTAAAAGAAATAATTTTGGCAGCGAAGAAAAAAGGAGTTATCTTTTCAAGGAGTTAATAAAAAAAACTAATTAAATTAGTATAGTTTTAAATAATTTTTTAAGAATAATTTAAATTAAAGTGATAATACTTTCTTAAGATTTAAAAATAAAAAAGTCAATTTAAAACAATAATTAGACAGACAATTAGTTGTTTTATGAAGTTTTACTAAAATAATTAAATTAATTTTTCTTAAACAAAATTTAAATTTTATAGGAAGAGTTTACTTATAAATTTATTTTTAAAAATATGTATATGTATAAGGAAAATGAATAAAAAAATTAAGTTATTTATTTATATATTGAAGGATTTTTTGCCCACAGACTGTTTTAGGGGAATATTTGTCTGTTGAGAAAAAAGTGATAGAAAAAGATTAATTTTTGTTTGTTGAGGGAATATTTTAAATTTAAAAAATAAAATGTTTTTAGCGTGTTTTAAATAAAATTTAAAAATTCTATCACTTAGGCAATATTAAATTTAAATTTCCTTTTTTTGGTTATTTATTGTTTAAAACCACTTATGCTTTGTAGCATCATGGAACAGCACGTTATCTCTTAGAGTTTATGTGGAGGAAAGTGATCGAAGAAAATAACGCTTTTGAAGAAATCATGTTGGATTACTTGGTAATAGTTCGGTTTAGACCCCGCACTCTTTTTTCTGACCATTTTTTCATTTTTCCTTCTCTCTCTCCTTGATTTTTAACGAGGCAAGTATTAAAAAGGATTATGTAAGTATGAGAGAGAAATGTATGAATGAGAAAATTTCTGGAAAAACTCATTTACATCATTCAATAATCAACATAGATCAACCAAAAAATTTTAACATGATTGTGAGTTGGGTGAAAAACTAAGATTAAGCGACAACGATTTCGATGCTTTGCTCGAAAATCTGGGACTTCTTCATGAAATATCACAATTTGGTGATGTTTCTCAAGTTTTTTTATATTTTTGGTATCATGTTTTTCTTTTTTATCCTGTTGAAAAAAGTAAATAAATAGGTTCCGTGACTTTTGCGCCGAGAACATTTGCGCCGCGACTCTTGCGCCGCGACTTTTGCGCCGCGACTTATGCGCCGAGCGACTTTTGCGCCGGGGAACCTTTGCGCCGCGACTTTTGCGCCGGGCGACTTTTGCGCCGCCACTATCATTAAAAATATATGAATAACTACAGCCGGACCTCACTATAGTAGGGTTGTCGGATAGTTGAAATCTTCTGATATCCGGATCCGACAATCCTAGACTATAATGCACCCTCTTGGGGCTGAAAATCATGCCGGAATAGGTTGCAGATCCAAATATCCTGATCCGAAAAAGTCAGCACATCAGAAATCATTTGGGATATCGGATCCGGGGATTTCCAAGGCCCCTAAAGTGAGGTACGATTGTAGTTATTATTTTATTTTTTTAAAATAATGGCGGCGCAAATGTCGCGGCGCATAAGTCGCCCGGCGCAAGAGTCGCGGCGCTAAAGTCGCGGCGCAAAAGTCGCCCGGCGCAAAAGTCGCGGCGCATAAGTCGCGGCGCAAATGTTCTCGGCGCAAAAGTCGTGATACCAATAAATATTACTAATAATCCTTTTTAATACTTGCCTCATGAAAAATAAAGCAAAAAGGGAAGGAAAAATGAAAAAATGGTCAGAAAAAAGCGTGCGGGGTCTAAACCGAACTATTACCGATTACTTTATTTACCGATTACTTTATAATCGGTAAATAAAGAAATCTTTATTTCAGAACTTTGTCAAATCTTGTTAAATTATGTTGATTTAGATGTCATTCGAATCAGCTCGTCAAGCTCTTTCGAATGAGCTATGTATTATTTGTTTTATCGAAGTTTTATCTTAAAAAATGAGCTTGGTCCACCCTTTTTTTTTTTCGATTTTCGGGGGTTTTTTCCAAAGATAAGACCTGGGGCTAGTTTTGGTGTCATTCGACACAGCTCGACAAGTTCTATAACGACTGGTGACCATCTTTTAATACTTTTAGAAAGGAAAAATGAGGGGAGGGGCTCATCCAAACTATTACCAATATTGGTCATTGGCTTCTCTCAATCTATAGTCATATACATACACAATTAGAAATTTTTTATTTAATAAATTTAGAAAAATAATTTATTTAAAACCTCAAAATAAATAAAATTTTAAGAATAAAAAAACTGAATAAATTTAAAATTAAATAAAATAAATTTTCGTCAAAATTATTTAAGAATCAAATGGTCTGAAATATCATATTTAAACGGTTTTTCCTCCAAATTATTCCCAAAATTAGCTTCAACAGAATGAGATTTTAGCCAAACAAATGGTTTGTATGATTCTGAATTGTCCTTTAATAATATCTCTTCCCCTTTAAAAATATTAATTTTTATCAAACTATTTTCTTAAATTAAATAATTACCAATTTCTTTTCCATTTTGTGTGAAGAAAACATAAGGGAATTTATTCGTCATATTAGTTGGAGGATAGACTAATCCACACCCAAAATAATCATTATTCTTCCAATATATTGACACATTAAATGCTTCATCTTTCTCATTATAAATTTTAGCATTATTTGCATAATAATAAATATATTTATTTGTATTTAAATTTTTTAAACCAATATTCATCCAAACTGAACTCTTTTCTCTTTCAAATTTACATTTAACTTCAAAATAATACAAGGAATAATTAAAGCTGTTTTGTGGGGCTTTAAATGAATTTTCAGCATAAACAGTAATATATTGATCAAAACCTAAAAATATTTACAATAAATTCAGAAATTTAATTAATTTACCAACATTTCCCTTCCAAACAATTAATATATTTAATATTTTCCTCATCAATTATATTTCCATATCCATATCCTTTAACACAATTACCATCAGGATTTTCTGTATTTATACAATTATTGGTACAACACATACTGTATCCACTATCAATTTCTTTCCATTTATTTTTAATTTTAACAAAATTCTGTAAAAAATATTTTTTTTATTTTTTATTTTAGTTGCACAAAATCAAAAAAAATTTTCGGGCAAAAAGAAACGAAACAAAATTAAAAAAATCATTTGCATGAGAACAAACCTAAATATAGACTTAAACTAATATAGACTAAACTAAAATGAAAAGTAACAAAACAAGTTTGTTACTAAAATTTAGCCTAACTTCTTAATATCGTCTTAATATTTATTTCTCTTATCAGTCCAAATTTAGAACAAAACGTTTAGCAACCTGACAACTCAAAATTCGGTAAATTTCCTCTTCCCCCTCCCCCCAAATTTGTCATTAAATTACTCACAATCTGACTTTTACTTTCAGTAAATTCATCACTAGAATCATCAGAACTATCACCTGATTCTTCAACAAAAAGTTGTTTAATATCGGTTAAGGCAGCAGGAAATCGACAGCGAGGACAATTTTTCGACTGAAAATATAAAATGGAATATTTACTTCTCGAATATTTTTAGCAAAAATTTATTTAAATTATTTACCTGTTTATTTTTTTCCTCTGAAGAATTAATTTTCTCTTTTAACTGATTATTTTCAATTTTCAATTGCAGAATAATTTCTCCTAAATTTTTAATTTCTTTTCCACGTTCAGAATTTATTTTTCCAATTTGCTAAAATTATTTGATTAATCTTGACAAATTAAAAAGTTTACTGTAACACAAATATTTCGAAATCAACGAGAATCGATATCTCGCAAAAATCTTGCGATAATACCCAGGCTGATCCCCCTTTTTTGCTTTCTTAAGTATTTACTTAATAGTCAATCTTTTTTCCTAATTCCACTCTTCCTCTGTGGCAAAGTCGAGCAGACTTTATTCTCCAAATAAGTTGAAAGTTTTTTCTATCATTTTCTATCAGAACAGGGAGAACGAGAAGCGGGTTCTGACGTCAAACCCGCTGCCTAGGATCTAGTCTACCTTAACCACGTTATTAGCTACTGGCCATGGAATTTAAAGGTGAGAGTGGACTTGGATATAAATGAACTTTGATTCTAATTAATTTAAAAAATTCCAAACTTTTTTGGTTTCATTCAATTCATTTTCTAAAGAATTATTTTTCTTTTCTAAATTAACATTATTTTCCCTCTCTTCATTAAATTTCATTTGAAGAATTTTAATAAATTCTTTATGAAATTTTATTAAATCTTCGATTCGTATATTTTCCTTTAAAAAAATTTTTTTTAATTTTACAAAAATTCTAATTTTACTTTTGATTCTAAATCTGTATTTGATAAACTTTCATCCATTTTGTTGAGAAAATTTTTTTAATTAAATCTGAAAATCTCTGCAAGTTAAAGATATTCGAGTGTTGGAAAATCAAAAATACATCTGAAAAGTTTTTTTTGATTTAGAAATAATTTTATTAGTGTCAGGCTAAAACTTGGAACGACAAAACCAAAACAACGTTTAGAGAAATAATTAATTCTTGTGTGATTTTAAAGATATTCTGATTTAAAAAATGCAGATAATTCCGTGTTTTGTTTGAACTATGTTTTCGAATTTTGCCCTTCACCTATTTATAATTAATTAGCCTCTAAGAAAGCTTCTTTAAAAAAAATGATTGAAAACATAGACGATTATTTTATCTGTAGAATTTAAGTAATAAATTATAACTGTTGTTACCTAGAAGAGAGTGGGCCCTGTCCCTTTAGATACACAACAAGTTCTACACAATTCATAAGATTTATTTAACGAATTAAATATATAAATTAAGTTTGAAATCAACATAGGTGGAAAGGGAAAAAGCTAGCTGCAAACATAAAACTAACTGAATGATCTGAAAAGCTTAGTTGGTATAGCATTAAGTAAGTGGGCGTGTACATTGGCTATTTAGTTGTAAAGGCGTGTATGGGAAAATGAATAATGTGTTTGGAAATAATTGATTGGGAGATTAAAGAATAGAATTAGGGACTAAAAAACGAATATATCTTACACCTCCCCTTCCCATGAAAATGGTCCCCCATTTTTGGATTCAAGCACGTGAATGTTGTTTGTCTTTCTTGATTTGATGTTTGCTTTTATGACGATTTCTTTTGATGATTACTTTTGATGATTGCTTTTTGTGAGCTAACTGATCAGTCTTCGACTGTCAGGCTCTATTTAAACTTTTGTCGAATTAATGAAGTTTGCTTATTTATTTTTGATGATTACTTTTGAAGTTTTCTTTATTGATGATAACTTTTTTTGATGAGGCTTTATGACGTTGCTGCCATGCTTGAATTGGTCTTTGGAAGGGTATTGCCCGGGGAGAGGTATATATATTTTGATTAAGAGATGATATAAACAATTATAAAATATTGGGAAAGACGTATAAATTGGAAAAAACAATTAAATTTTAAAATTGTGAAAAATTAACTTAGAAAACAATCTGTGTAAATCATAATTGAAAAAATCAGGTCAATGTAAAAATGTGTATGTACCAAAATAGTTATAAAAATATTAAAATGATGTAAAACGTCTCAATTGATAAAAAATTATATGTAATTGAATAATTTGAGAAAATGTTATTATATTTAAATTGTGTGACAAATAATTTGAAAAGAAAATCTTAAATCATAGTTTCAATTAAAATTAATTAGAAGTAATAGTTTTGTGTGAAATAAATGTTAATTAATAAATAATACATTAAATGAACGTTCTTATGTAAATAAAATGCCTGAATATTTTAAAATCAATTTGAGTTGTTATATTAACATCAATTACTAACAAAAATTAGAGTGAGAAATAAACGTTTTGAAAAGAGTTTGAGTTACATTTGAGGTAAGTATGTCTCAGGGAATTAAAACAGTGAATGTGAGGGAGTCAATTACTATCGAAAAATAATTAAACATAAATGGAAAAAAATAATTTAAATTGGGATAATCATAAATTATAATTGTGGAATGGTAACAAACTAAATCTACAAAACTAACGGAATAAATAAAATTAAAAACAATGAAAAGTTATTACAAACAATTTAAAAAAATTCAATTAAGTTTTACTTCAGTTGGTCCAGTTTGATTTTTGTGTTGCAGGATTGTTGGCACTAGTGCTGTTCTTCATCATATTCTTTAATTCCATCTTTCACTTCTTGTCCACGTGTTTCGTTTTCTTGGTCGATGTGTTGTTGTTGTTGGGGCAGTCGCGAATCATGTGTCCAGGTTGTCGGCATCTATGGCATTGTTGAATCGGTCCACCACATCGTTGTTTTTGTTGGTTTCCATTGGTTGGCAACTTGCGATGTTGATGATTGTTGTTGTTGTATGTTGTCTTCATCTTTCCATCATCATAAAAATTTGCTGCTTTTCCATTTCCATTCTTTGTTGTCAGGATGTTGTTTTCTTATTCGTCGTTGTTGTCCACCATTGATTCTATGTAGTCTGGTGTGACGACTGTTGTTTTGTTAAGAGCACTTTGCAAAAAAAACTCATCCGTATTGCCGTCCAGAACATCTTGATGTCTACGACCACCACTACTTGCCATCGCTGAGAGGTTTTGCATGCATCCAAAGGCATTGGCTGTGTTGACGATCACGTCCTCCAATTCCATATTTGCCACGGCCATTCCAACTTCGGTGAATCTTGGTTGCACGTTGCCAATAATGATGTTTTTGTTATTTCAGGGTTTGGTTGCCGAGAATGATGTTGGATCTTGAATCAACAAATAAGTCTGATGGATAAGCACGAGCGGAAATTTCTTGTGTTGTAGTTTGATGGAGTCTGTACTGTTAATTGATCCAGTTCAACCAAAGTTCTGCCTGTTGTTAGTCGTTCACCATGTGCTGTATACACACATGCTTGAATAAATTCTGTTAATGCTGGGTGAAGTCTGTTTTGTCTCCCCTGTTGTTTTTGTCGACGCCTGGTGACATATCTGAATTTCAAATTATTGTATCAAGGTCATTAATCAAACCTACCTTAATCCGTAGCCTATTTTCTTGTAGCTTGCTTTATTTTCCATAGTTCTTCATAGCCAGGTTGCCATGAATGATTACACGAATTTCATCGACAACGGTCGATTGATGATCTCCTATAATTAAATTATTTATTGTGCTAATAAAAACATGCCGACTTTATCGTTTAGTCGATTTATTTGTAGCAATTGCTTGAAGTTGTAAGTTTTGGATAACAATATAAATTAATCCTTCACGTATTGTTTGATAATTTTTAGCTTCCTTCATTTCTTTATCTACTTCCAACCTCTAAACATTTTTTGCCAAGTCAAATTCTTTAACTCTATTTTTACCATAGAGAATTTTCTTCCTCATCTTCTTCTCTCGTTCAGGATGCCCGCCACAAATGGCGTTTTTTCACTCACCTCAACTCTAATTTCCAACAATTCCAGTTAGTAATTATCGACCCGAGTCACAATGGCTTCAAGCTCTTCATTAGCTTTCTGACCTACTTCATTCACTTGACCAATATTTAGATTTTCAGACATTGAAAGATAATTTTCTAAAAAAATAAGACTTAGGGGTTAAAAGAAAATAAAAAATTATTTTATAGCAAAAACAATATTTAAACGTTTAATAGAATTGAAGAAATATGTGAATGGGTAAGGAGGATGTTGACTGTTTTTGTTGTAGAGGAGGAGCAATCTATGAGAGAGAAACAACTAGAGTATACAGCGAATAAGTGGAGTAATAGACACTTGCAGAGAAATATTGGCTTTTGCCTATGACTATCTATCGCTATATTGTACAGCTAGTTTTGGCTTGGCTCTTCACAGAGGATAGAGATTTTATCGTTTTGAATAGGCGACGTCGGTAAAAAAATTGTATTTTGTTTATGAAAGAATGATTTAAAGAAAAGAAAAGAAAATTTCTATTTAGAGTTTAAAAGAAAATTTTATGTAAATAAGTTTGACAAATGTTATTTTTGTGAGAAGAAAATTTAAAAGTAATAAATGGAAATTTTGAATAATCTAAACGTGAAAATTATAAAGAAGATTTGACATAATTTCGAGGGAACTTTTTTTTAAATAATTTTGGCATTTACTTTTTATTCTTTTTTTTTGGATATCAGTAGAATCGGTATTATTAATGGAACTCTGAGAATTTGAGAACGGGAAAAATTTTAAGTAAATTGTGTCTATTTACTGAAAAAAACAATTTTTTTTTGATTATAAGTTTCGCAAATTTTTAATTTTCAGGATCTGCTCCACTAGTGGAGTTAATTCGTTTACTTTATTTTCTATATATAACCTTTTTTATTTATAGCTAGTGCATACTCTAATGGCTATTTAATGTATATTATTTTTAGATTGGTATGGTTTGGAAATTGCTATAGAATTTTTATTAGACTTTTAACTTGAATGTGTAATAATTAAGAATTTGTATTTAATAGCGTAGTCTGAAGAATAATTTTGAAAAAAAAAGCTAATTTTCATTTTTCCGGAAAATTCTTTAAATATTTTAACTTAACTTGAAAATCTGGCTGGTCATTATGTAGAAGGGAACTTACTATTTTGTTTTTATTGACGAATCTTCGCATCTAATTTCCCTAAATTTTACCAAACTTTTGTTTTCGTGAGATCTTTATCTTTTGGAATTTTGAAATAAACTTAATGAGTCCGTGGCTTTTATTGATAATTTGTACGTTCTGATCTCTTTTTTGTGATTTATTTTTAGTTTTTTTTTTTTTTTTTTTATCCACTAATGGATTTCTTTCATTCTATATACCTTGCTGGTTTTCAAATTTTATTTCGATCTCTTAATTCTTCGATTCTTAACTCTGGTTCTTCTTAATGGTGAATTATGAAATAATGAATCCTAATGGCGAATTGTGAAATGATTAGAAAATCAAACTTCGGAGTGAGATGGGGACAAAAATTCGCGGTTTCGAGTTTTGAGGTTTAAAATATAAAATACCTGAATTTATGCATAGATTAACTGCAAGTGCTGTCATTTGGTCTCTGTATTCTCATAAAATCCTTCAGGAAATTCTCCAGTTTCTATGAAGTTAATTAGTGCTGCTATTTGGTCTTCTCTTTGTTCTTTTATTAAGTCTACTTTGCTTGAATTACCTTCAGCATGCTTTTGATTCCATTGTAATAGCTAGATATTCAGGAAACTCAACAATGTCCTCCATTTCAGGCAGAGAGAAAATCGGTAATGAAAATCACACTTGAGAATTTTAGTACGTTGCTCAAGTACGAATGAGTGAGAAAATCGGTAATGTTGTTTAGTACTAAATGATGGAAAGAAATTGGGTTTATTCCATGGATGACCGGGGGATCGAATGCCATATTTTTTATAATAATTTACATTTATTTCTGAGATTGTGCCCGTAATTTGATCAACTTCAAATATTTCATTATCTATATTAATTATTTGTTTTCTAAAGGCAATACAAGGAGCCTTTCGAGATGAGGGGCTAATTATTATCATTTCTTAATGATCTTCGAAATTTCCTACAAGCCCAGGCCGAGGTCTCTTGTTTGAAATTATTCGGTGCAAATAACCAAAGGGTTTTCATAACTGGGGGTTCTAAATAATTTAATGATACCCTAGGTCATTCTTGTAGTGTAGGAATTGCCAATAAAATTCCGTTTTTGACATTTTGGCATATCATTGGTGTTTGGGTGTATAAGAAATATTTTCAGAAAAGACTGGCAAAATTATCAATGCCAGCATGCATATATTTAATAAAAATTTAAAAAGTTTTGGACCCATTCCTTCCCAATTTGTGGTTTTTAATGTTTTATTTTCAACTGTGTCTATTTTGATATTTTCAATTTTAGGTTTATCTTTATTTTTAATTCGAGTTTTTTCTGATTTTTCACATCTGCTTAGAGAATTAATAGTTGAGTCTTTACAGGATTTGCTACCCGAGGGCAGTATCTTCATTGATGCAAATGCTCGCAACAGTTCGTTCGCATCTACTGTTATGGTAGAAGCTGGGTAGCTTAGGTTACTTGGGCCGGGAGACTGAGGGTTGTCTTGAATTGCATTAACATTTTGCCTCCAGTTTTGATTAAAATGTTTCTTCCTTTCGAAGCAATTAAAGGCAAAGTGACCCGTTCTTTTACAAAAATTACATACAGGACGGCTATTCCATGTACGCTCATCGTTTGGATCATTATTCCAATACCTAAATCTTTTGTGACCCTCATTTTGCATTGGGTTATACATATTTCTTTGAGGATAACTATTTCTTTGTTGGTTACCGCGCTGGTCCTGAAATGGTCCGTTATTCTGCGCTACAAACTGATTACTTGACGAAGGCATTTGTGGGTTTCGATCAATTGCCTGTATAAGTTGGGGAAATAATCCTGGAGCTTGCCCTTTATGTGTTTTTAATAATAATTCTAATTCTTCAGCCTGAGTTTTTACGAGCTCCAGGTCCTTTTCTTTTGAAAGGCCTGCTAATCTAATGAGAAAAGATAAATCGGGTTTCAGGCGGTCTAAAAATTCTTCGCATAACCTCTCTTTTAATTGTACTGGTCCTAAACTAGAATATGCGACTTCAATCAACGAAGTCAATCGTTTTAGAAAAATACTTACCGGTTCGTCATCTCGTTGTTTGCACATTACTAGGTCTCTTTTTGCTAATTCTTTTCTTTGTGGTGAATCTAATTTGTCCTTCAGTGCTTTGAGAGCAATCTCAACATTAAGGGTTTCAGCTGCAGAAAGTTTGTCAAATAAGTCTCGAGGCGTATCATCCAGAGCAAGACGCAGTCTGTCCACTTTCTCTTCTTCATTCATATTTCTGCACATAGCTGCCAAATAATCTTTGAAACGTCGTGCCCATTTGTCAAATGCTGATACAGATTCCTGAGAAAATACCTCTAAACCAGTGATACCTGTTAATGTAGAAATTTCATTTACTACTACAGGATTATCGTCCACGAATGGATCAATTCTAATTAATGCATCATTTAATCTTACCGATCTATTATGTTGAGAGATATCATTTTCATCTATATCATTTGGTTCTAAATGTTCGATACGCTCTAATATTGTTTGTATTTGCAATTCGACTGTTGCCGAGTTTGTATTTACGTCGTTAGCAAGACGATTGATTGCATTAAAATTCGCTTTTGCTTTTCTGTTTATGTGCCTTATAGAGCGATTTAATCCGTCTTGGAGATTAATTAAGTCAGCGTGTGCTCTTTCAATGTCATTTAGCGTTAATTTGGTTTTACCAACCCAGAATTGCTTGTCTATTGCAAGAACGTCGTATTCATTCATATTTGTATTTGGGCTATTTCTTTGAGACATATTTTCAGGATTATTAGACTCGAAAGCCTTTTCTCTATTTAAATTATTACCTGATAAAATATTAGGTGATAAAAATGTAAAGACGTATGGAGAAATAGTTTTATTTTGAGCGATTATGTTTTAATTGAGTTTATCAATAATAATTATTTTGCTTGCCTAAATTAAAAAATTATAAATGTAAAATAATTCAAAGCTAAAAAATAAAGAATGCTCAAAGGTCAATGCCTATTCAAATGAATGCTAGTAAAATAAAATTAAAAATGTAAGCGCTTTCTGATTAACATAATGTTTATACTAAAGTTATATAATAGTAGTGAACCTTTTCTTTTATTTCTCTTTAATAGATTTTAATCGCTTTCTCATAGCGCTAAGTTTAATGTTTATGCTTTGTTTACTAAAAAAAATAAAATTCTTTCGCCTATTGCTCATCTTTTCAATTTAAAGTTGTAAAAAACTAAAGAATATTACACTTTTTGTGTGAATGGAATTTGAACAAAAACTTTTTATATTTTTTTGAATTTCTCACAGATGCTTAAAATAGATAATATGAATAAATTTTTTGTGAACTAAATTTTTGAAAGAGAAAAAATTGTCTGAATATTTGTTTTTTTATCGATGTCCTATTTTTATAAGTTATACAGGAGTATACTCTCTAGAGAGTTTTTCAAATAATTATGTCTTAATTGACAGAAAATGTCGACTAAAATGAATGAAAAGAAAAAACTGTCGACTTTAAATAAATATGAATAAATGAACAAAAAATTGTCGACTTTAAATAGAACCTACTATATCTTATTTTATAATTAAACATATAGAATTTTGATTTCCTTAGGCTAATTCTAATTGATATGAAACATATTCTTAATATAATTGACTGATTAATTCTAAAATCTTTATTTGTCTAAAATTATTATTTCTATATTTTCTGATCGATACTTGACTTATTTTTATAGAGTAATTTTTCTTTGAAGAGAGAATAAAATATTTTTGTTGAATCTAAACTTCTGATAAGTGATATATTCATTATAATTTTCGAGTATTTTTTTTTGACTAAATCTTTTTTTTTGAGCCTAAATTTATATAATAATAATAATTCAATATGTCTTTTTTTTAATTATACAGGATTGCACTCTCTAGAGAGTGATTCATCATTGCTCTAACAAAAAAATAAAATAAAGAGCTAAATTTTGTCGACTAATAAAAATTTCTAATAAAATAATATAATTTCTGAATAATATGACTGATAATACTAAATAATTTGACTGATAATAATAACTCAATATAAAAAATTTTAACAAATTCTGTCGACTTTAAAAAATTAATTTCCAAATAATAATTTAATCTCTGAATAATATTTAATTTCTCTGAATAATATAAATAATAATGCGCTTAATTTTCTTTAACAATAATTCATATAAAAATCAATTCAAAAAATTGTCGACTAAAAATAATCTGTCTAATAATAATTTAATCTCTCTGAATAATATTTAATCTGATAATTTAATCTGTCAATTTCTGACGTTAATAAATGCGCAATATTCATAATAAATTATTTAACCGGTTTTCAAGATTTTCATGCTCGAGAGCATGTTTTTCATCCCCGCGGGGTTCCAACCTCATGTTGTTTCAAAACTTACCTTTTGATGGATCGTCATCACGTTCCGCATTCGCAGAACCATCCGGTGCTACCAATAAATTATAACTGTTGTTACCTAGAAGAGAGTGGGCCCTGTCCCTTTAGATACACAACAAGTTCTACACAATTCATAAGATTTATTTAACGAATTAAATATATAAATTAAGTTTGAAATCAACATAGGTGGAAAGGGAAAAAGCTAGCTGCAAACATAAAACTAACTGAATGATCTGAAAAGCTTAGTTGGTATAGCATTAAGTAAGTGGGCGTGTACATTGGCTATTTAGTTGTAAAGGCGTGTATGGGAAAATGAATAATGTGTTTGGAAATAATTGATTGGGAGATTAAAGAATAGAATTAGGGACTAAAAAACGAATATATCTTACAAAGTAAACTAAAAGAGATAACCAAAGTTAAATTTATAAAAGAATAAATAATTATAATTAAATTTTTTTTTCTTAATCAAAATTTTAATTTTATGGGGAAAAATGGTAAAGGTAAATAAATAATTAGAAAAATATTTAAATAATATACATAGGTATTCATATTTATATATCTTTTGCCCAAAGAAATTTAAGCCTGAGCTCCTCCTCAAAACATAATTTTTCTTTTATTTTTTAAAATATGTATTCCCTCAACAAATATTCTCACAAAAATATGAGACTGAGTGATTCGAAAATTCTCAAAATTTTCGTTTGAGCCGCTTAATAACAAAATTTTCGGCGCCTGATTTATAGAATTTTGATTAATGCAATTTAGTTGGCTAAAATATGAATTGGATATTCTGGATGAAAAATTTGGCCAAATCCGGTTTCGATTAACCAAAAATCAAGGGTCAATCAAAAACAGGGTGGCCCTTTTACCCTATTTATAGAGGATTTTCCCTATTTTCGACCTTTTCGCCCTATTTTTTCCCTATTTTATACATTTGCCATATTTTGCCCTATTTTTACCATTTTGTAAAATTTTTACAATTTTCGGCCAATTCATCATTTCGTAGATGAAATGGCTGAAAAATGAAGAAATCTGGCTTGACTGTCTTCCAAAATTCTTAAAATTTTCGCCTGCGGCGCATAAAAGAAGATTTTTGGCTTAAGAATCTTCCAAAATTTTGAAAATTTTCGCCTGCGGCGCTGAAAAAAGTAAGAAATCTGGCTTCACGGCCTTCCAAGATTCTCAAAATTTTTGCCTGCGGCGCAGAAAAGGAAAGTCTGTGAAGACTGTATGAAATCAAGGGGTTGGAAGGGCTTGAGTGGAATATTGGCTGATTTTTAGTATAGATTTCTGAGGATTTACTAGGATTATGGGGATTTGACGATATAACTAGGGATTTGCATTGATAGAGAGATATCAATCTTTATTTCTGATCCCTTTCTTATTTGCTAAATACGGTTAAAACTAGTGAAAAATGGACAGAATAAAGCTTTTTATTTGAAATTTTAATTATTTTTAAGCTTTTTAAATAATGCCCTATTTTTTGCCCTATTTTTGGCCGATTTCGCCCTATATTTGCCCTATTTTTGAGTGGCTGCGCCCTATTTTAGTGTTTTGGAAGGGGCCACCCTGATCAAAAACCAAAACCCGCGTGTCATAAACCGGCGATAATCGAACACCAAGGGTATTGGTGAACAAACCTAGTTTCTATCTTAGGTTTTTAAGTGACAAAAGGGACTCAAAAACCCGCAAAAAGGCCAATAAAAATCCCCTTATATTTTTATTTCATTCATTCATTCTAGTACATATGTAAAACCTTTCATTTTCTACTTGGCTTGCGTTTCAATTGGATTTTTTGACCTAGAACCTTTTTTCCTCTCTCCGTTTATTTTTTAATAGTACTTTGGCTTGCTTTTTGTTATATTTTCAAATATTGAGAGAGGTTTTCGTTTACTATCAAATTAGCAGTTTCTACAAAAATAATTCTTATATTTTTCTTTATTGGCCTTATTGGCATATTGGCCTTCTGGAAGTTAAAATTTAGCTTACGATTCTAAATAGGGATGAATTCTGGATTCCCGGCCTTCTGAAATGGCCTTCTAAATGATTTTTTAAAATTATTTTTTGCTTATTGAAATAATTAAAATATTTTAATACAAAAAATTGACAAAAATTATTCTTTGAAAAATCCGGAAAAGATCTGTTTGATCACGAAAAGTTCTGCCGGTGTCATCGGAAAATTTTTTTAATTTAATTTTTTTACTCAACTGTCGGTTCGCAAGTTTCGGGTTCACAAAAATCAGGCCCCAACCTTCGGGTTGGGTCAGCAACTTTCGTTCCGCAAATTTCGGATCCACAAAATTCTGGACCGGATTTTTGTATTCACCAACAAAATTTAAAAATTTTAATTATTTTCAGAAAATTAATTTTAAGAAAATAAATTTTAGAAAAGAACACCAAATAAACTAGATAAATGGACACTTTCTACAAGCAATTTTGATAATAATGAATTTCTTGGAGAAGACTTGGAAAATTTTACAGAGAAAAGTTATCTGGAAGAACATAGTAATATTGACGGGTTTTCCACTTCTTGTTGTTCCTGTGGTTTATCAAAAAATAAAATTCAAAATTTAGAACTACAGATGGAGAGATTAACGGTTAAAAATTATTTTTTGGTCGCTTTGCTAGTCCCTACTCACACTTATACGGCACTTTCTCTTGTAGGACACCCTCACATTAAGATCAGATTTTCTTTACCCGAAAATTATCGTAAAAATGAGATGTGACTTGCTTTTCTATCCAGCTTTTTCATGAGGGTGTCGTACAAATGTGTTCCGGCTGACTTTGCTTAAATTTAGATATTAATTTATATTTTTTAGGTTAAAATTGAAAGGACAAATTTATCTTTGGATAAGAGTGTTTTAGAGCTCGAAAAGGCAAGATTCTTCTCTTTTTTCTTGTATTGAACTTCACTCTGTGAAATACCGTATAACCTGTAGTAATTGCCCTCCCTCAAATAATTACCCCACTTCCATTAATTATTGTTTAAATCCATTTAGCGATGGATTTAAACAGTAATTACCTCCCCCCAACAAATGCCCTAAACCGTGTTCTAATTTTACCCTCCCTCAATTAATTACTCCCTCCAACGGAAGGTCGAAACAACAAATACCCAAGGTAGTTATTAAAGGATATACGGTATGCAAAGTTTTTCAAGAGAAACTATTCTACTTCTTTAACTTTTAACTGTAAATAAGCTCCACTAAATTCAATATATTTTCAGATTAACTTTAAACATGAAAATGAAATTAGAAATTTAAAGCAAAATTTCCAAAAATTGAACGAGGAAAATAATAAATTAAAATTGGAAAATAAGCAAAAGGATGAGAAAATTAATTCTTTAGATGAAAAAATTAAAACGGTAAATAATTAATTTTTTACAAAAAATGTAAAATTAGCCGACACAGATTGCAGACATTCTTATAGGAAGGTGTTGTATTCACTAAGTCACCCCTTATTTTTCCTATTTCCCTGACCATTTTTAGTTTCAAAATGGGCATTTTAACCATCTCTTCGAACAGGACACAGGGGTTTTTATTTCGTTTTACCCCAAAATTTAATTTCGTTTCTGAACGAAATGAAAAGGGCTGAAATGGAAATTAATTAAACAAAGCAACTCTATAAAATTTAATATTTTATAATTTTAGATAATAGAACAAATAAATTGTGACAATGAAAATAAAGTTGAAATAAAACAAAATTCTCAACAATTAATTGAAGAAAATGTTAAACATTTAGAAATTGAAAATGGCGAAAGAATTAAATTTTTGGAGGAAGAAATTAAGAAGGTAAATAGGTAGTTACTCTGATAATTCCCCAGGGGGATTATTGTTTCAACCCATCTCTAGGGTGGGGAATTAATAGAGACTGGGGGATTACTAGAGTAAATAGGTAATCTCCTTTACACGCCCATTAAAAAGCTTTTTTGGAATTTCAAGAGTTTTGAATGTGGTTTTTCTCATTTTATTTATTTAAAACTAATACTCTGCATAACAAAAAGATGGCACATTATGTTTTTTCGACATTATTTTGATAATGTGATCACATAAGAACTTCATTTCTTTTTCTTTTTGATATTAATAGAATTATTAAGAGGATTTTTTTGATTCCATAAAAATAAAAAGAATTTAAAATGTGCTTGCTTTATTTTTGTTACTCAGAGAGTAGGGCTTATACGGTACACCTCAATTGAGTCCGCACGATTGAGTCCCCACGATTGAGTCCGCACGATTGAGTCCCCACGATTGAGTCCCGGCACGATTGAGTCCCCACGATTGAGTCCGCACGATTGAGTCCCCGTTGTATATACCTCAATTGAGTCCCCGTAGATTTAATTATATTAAAAATGATTAAGAGGGATATCTGGGGATTTGGGGGGATTAATGTTAATATCAAGATTATCAAAAATCTTTATTCAATCTAATAAACACATCACTAATTCTAAAACAAAATTTTCAAATAAATATTCATGGATTTGAAAATATATCACAAATAGGCAGGAAAGCTATTGAAGTAATTAATTTGGCATCAGCGGCAAACAAAGGATCATTTTTATAACGCTGAAAAATAGGAGTACAAATGAAAATGGGAATAAAAAACAACCTGCATTAAATTAGCATCGCAAATTGCTTTTTTAAGATTCCTAACCAGGTGGAACAGACAACCAGCCAGATCTGAACGAGGAAAAACCTCCTGAATAGCTCCAATAATTGCTGCTTCGTAGTCTGTTGAGAAAACACGTGGGTTGAACTGCTGCCAAATTCCTTTGACGAGTTTCAATTGCCCTTCTTTTAATCTCTGTCACAACAACTTGCTTTTGAACATTGGCAGGGTTGCCGCTGCAAACGTGATAATTTAATTCACGCAAAACAGATTTGTTGAGGTCGCTATGTAGGCGAGCCTTACATCTGACATCTTTTTTGTTGAAGGCCTCACATCTCCAAAACTTGATGTCTTCATCTTTGTTCATTTTATGAAAAACAAATAAATATCCATCATGAACAAGTTTAGGCTTTCTACGTTCAGTTAAAATATCCGCCATCCTGTTTGAAATAATAGAGTCCGGATCCCAAATCCGGGTTTTTTCGCGATTCTTGTCCTCCCAAAATTCTCAAAGTTTTTGCCTGCGGCGCTGAAAATGGAAAAAATCTAGAGACTTGGACTTCAATAATTTTCAAAATTTTTGACTGCGGCCGCCTCTCATCCCTTGTGATTAATCGGATATCAATCGAGAGATATCGGGGTTTAAGGGGGATATCTTTATATTTGGAAAGCTATAGGCGGATTAAGTCGATAGGATATCGGAGGATTAAGGAGATATAAGGTTAGTTGGAGTAATAAGGTCACCTGTTATCCATTTTATCTACCAAAATACCTCGTTATCCCTTATAATATCCACAAATCCAACAAGCATCCTTCATATCCTCCAAAATCTTTAAATATCCCCACTAACAACATCTTAACACATAAACCACACACCTCTTACAACATTTTAATACAAAAATTAATTTAAAAAATTTTTTTGGAAAATCCGGAAAAAAACCTGGATCCGGTCCGGAATCCGGGTAAATTCTGCCGGACTCCGGAAATTATTTTTACCGGATTAAAACCGTACCGGATTAATCCGGAAAAATCCGGCCGGATCCGGTCCGGCATGAGTGTGAAATCCAAAATCCGGTTTCCGGGCCCGGAAAAATGATTTTGCCGGTCACTAATTATAATAGTACAATTTTGTCTTTAATTACTATCTTTTTTCTCAAATCAAATCCACGGGGACTCAATTGAGGTATATACAACGGGGACTCAATCGTGCGGACTCAATCGTGGGGACTCAATCGTGCCGGGACTCAATCGTGGGGACTCAATCGTGCGGACTCAATCGTGGGGACTCAATCGTGCGGACTCAGTTGAACTGCTCCGGGGCTTATAAAAGATTTTTTTGTTAAATTAAAAATTAATTAAAAAAGGCAACTGATTTATTTGACAAAAAGATTGGTGATTTAATTGAATTTAATAATCTGATTAATGATGTGGTTAGTTTATCGAATTGTATGGTGTTTGTTAAAATTAAAAACAAGTGGAGTGAACTTGATAGTGGTGGTAATTATGACACTTTTGAAAATTGTATTAATGATAGCTTTATTAATTGTTTGGAGGGGAAAAGAAGTAAATTACTAGTGAATTTTAAGGGTGGGGTCTAACTCAAGGAACGGACTTTTCCTCGACTTTTCTGTTCCTTGAGTTAGCCCGACACGGAATTTTAATGTGTATAAATTTTTAGGTAATAATAAAAGTAACGTTATTTATGCAGAAAATTCATTCAAAAAAATACAAAATTATTCCAATTATTCTTTATATTATTTTGAATGTTTATACGAGGGAGAATTAAATAATTATGGAAAATATATAAGTATTGGGCTTGAAAATTGTAGAACAAAAGATTGGATTGAATTTTATGCAGAAAGTGCTGGGGAAGATGGGGAATTTAAACTTTCAATACCTACCTGGAAAAATGGAGATATTTTTGGTTGTGGATTAGTTTATCCTCCAACTAATAAATTAAATGAATACCCTTATATTTTCTTTACAAAAAATGGAAAATATATTCGTAAATATTTAATTTGAAAAATATTATTTTTACAAAAATTATTTTTTAGAAAGAGTTCCATTTGTAAATTCCAATTCTGACTCGCATAATCCATTTATTTCAGTGGAATGTTGTTCTGTTAAAACAAATTTTGGAAATGATTTCGAGAATAAACCATTTAAATATAATATTTCAAAACATTTAATTATTAAATACATTTATTAAAAATTATTTTTTTAATCTAAATTATCAATTTTTAAATATTTTTCTCACCTTGTTAAATAAAAAACTTAGTTTGGCAATCTTTTTTACCACGAAAACCCCCGGCACTATACTTTGTTAGAACATTTTAAGTATTTTTCTTTATCTGCTTAGATTTGCTATAAATCAGGGCTCCGATTCGTACTTTATTTGAGAGTACAGTACTCTAAAATCGACCTCCGTACTCTCGAAAGTGAATTTGTACTTTATTGAAAGTATGTACTCTAAAATCAACATTCTGGATTGAAAATGAAATTGGGGAAGGATTGGGCAAAAATTTTTTGGCATACGGCCTTCGAAATTCTCAAAATTTTCGCCTGCGGCGCAGAAAAAGGAAGAAATCTGGCTTCTTGGGCTCCAAATTTCAAAAAATTTTCACCTGCGGCGCTGAAAAAGTGAATTTTTTTATCTACGGCCTTCCAAAATTCTAAAAATTTTCGCCTGCGGCGCTAAAAATGGGAAAAATCTGTCTTAAGGACCCCGAAATTTTCCAAAATTTTCGCCTGCGGCGCTGAAAATGGTCGAAAGAAAGTAACTTGCTTGAGGTTAAGACTGTCATTTTGAAATGTTGAGGTTAAGACTGTCATTTTTTGTTGAGGTTAAGACTGTCATTTTGAAATGTCATGCATCGAAATGCACAAAATGCTCAGTGGAAACAAGAAATTATTAGAAAAGATTCATTTGGGAGAGAAATATAAAAAATTTGAGCACGAATAAATATTTTTTAATTTAATTTGGAGTGTACTTTAAATTTGGAAATTTTGTCCCTATGTCCTTTAAAATCGAGATTTTTGTACTCTTGATTGGTATTTTGTCGATCGGAGCCCTGCTATAAATTCTCTAAAATTATAGGTGCTCGCTCGTATCTAAGTCACGAAAAATTAACTCTAAGGTTTAGTGTTCTAATCTTGGTCTCGAGTCTTAGAAAATTTTCGGTCTTGGATAACTCTAGTAAATACGGTGTTTATATTACGGGCTCCTAATGGAGTAGCTTAATCATTAACAGAAATCAAAAACCAATTTTTTAAAGTTTATTGTGGAAAACTGAAAATTATTTGTTAGATTTTCAATACAACATTTTTAAATTTACAAGATTAAAAAAATAATTTAATTTAGATTTTTAATTTATAGATTTTTAATTTAGAGCCCCGCTCTAATCAATTTCCATTTTTAACACATTTTGTCGCCACCTTCTAGACGCATAACCAAATCCACAACACAATTATTTCCAATTTTGTAATGACTGAGTTTATCTAAGAAAAAGCTTTTTTTTAAAAATAAATAAATATAAATTTACATTTGTCCTTGAGTTGTCGACCGGAATAAATCTAAAATTTAAAATAGTGTACCCTATTTTTCTCTTACCAAACGTTGTTCTCCAACTGTGTGACCTTTACGCTCATAAACTTTGTTCTTCAAGTTCAACACAGTATTGTTTGACTTAATTTAAATATTTATTTTGGACATTTCTCATAAATTTTATCTTACTTTCATTTGCAACGTAAATTTACTGTTGTTCAAGTCTCTAACAATTACGTTAATTTTGACGTTCACAGGCTGAAAAGACTTGAATTTTTTGTATTTTATTTATTTTTTTATCATTTTAAAATTTCAGACCAAAAGTAATTCTTTATTTAAGTAGTATTCGTTAAACTTTATATTATGTTAATTAACCCCGAATTTTATTAAATTAACTCACAGCCGGAGTTGGTATAACCACATTACTTGTACCTTCAGTAAACTCATCTTCATCATCAGATTCCTGCGAATCATCACCCGCTTCTTCGATAAAAAATTGCTTAATATCATCCAAGGTAGCATGAGCTCGGCAGCGGGGACAGGTTTCTGACTAAAAATGTGAAAACCTCCATTTTTTAATAAGGGTTAAATATTTAAGCTGAATTGTGGAATTACCGAAAATTGGAGAAATGTAAAAAATAATCAAAGGTTAATTAACTGCCGATAAATAGAGAGACAGCCCCCCCCCCTCCCCCAGCAGGGATGTGCGTCATGGCGTTTTGGCGTGACGTTTTGGCGTGATTTTTGGCCGATTTTGGCGTCCTGGCGTTTGGCGTGATTTTCATCTTTTGGCGCGCCAAAACGCCAAAATTATACACCCCTAATGATGGGAATTTTCCAAATATATGCGGGAAGTGTTTTCAAAAAGATGAAATTTTTTTGCATGCAGCCTTCCAAAATTTGCAAAATTTTCGCCTGCGGCGCACAAAAAAGGAAAAAGAAAACATGGAGCCGGACTGAAACCAAGGAACTTTGGCCGGATCAGGTCTCCCCTGTTCTCTCCGATAGATGTCCAAACTTAATGCACTTTTCTTCAATTCTCCAATATCCATCAAATCCTATTAATCTACCAAAGTCCACTAATGTCCTCCTTAATCCTTTCTAAGTCCTTACTTCGGGAGGTTAAAGAGGATATCTGGACATCTAAACCCTTCGATATTCTACAATTCTGGGGTTGTGATTTTTCCATTTTTCTTGAAATTTTTTGGAAAAAGTAGGATTTCTGCTCTTGTTCTTAACAAATTTCCATAATTTTGGGTGTAGGCGCTAAAAAAAGGATGAATTTTGGCTTCTGGAAGTCGTGAAAATTAAAAAATTTTCGCCTGCGGCGCTAAAAAGAGATAAGCACTTGTTTTTCGGGCCTTATTGAATAAAATTTTTGGCGTTTTGGCGTTTGGCGTTTTGGAGTCGTTTTTTGCCGATTTTGGCGTTCTGGCGTTTGGCGCGCCACGCGAAAATTCTGGCGCACATCCCTGTCCCCCAGCAAAAGGCTAACCAATCTTAAAACCTCACTATCCTACAGAGAGGTCTGAGTGGATCTAATCACCTCTTCGAATTGAAAAAAAATTAAAAAATAAATTTCCTCACCCCTCCTTCAATCCAACGAGTAATACACTTTTTATGGTAAGTGTGATTACAATTTTTCAAAGAATAAATATTGTCAGGACTTAAACGAGTATAACAAATAGTACATTTACCAAGTCGGAAATAAGCCATTTTTTAGACTTGGAGTAAATTAATGGATTTAATGAAAATATAAATTTAAAAAATTCAATTAAAAATTTAAAAATAAAAAAGAGAGGAAAATTAAATTAAAGCATAAAAATTTAATTTGAAAAATTTTATTTAAACATTAACCAGGAAATACAGAAAGAAAAGAAAATATTCTGAAAAGTAGGAATAAATAAAAAATGAGGTTAATTTAAATAAAAATAATTTTAAATAAAAAGAAAATTTTTAAAAATTAATCTCCTCCCCCTCTCCATTCTTTCCCAAAAATTAAATAAAAAAAGATTACCCTCAAAAATACATATAAAAGGCAAGTTAGAAGGAGGCATTTAACTTCATAAAAATGAATGTTATTTTTAGTTAAGATAGAATATTCTTTTTCTAAACTTTATTAATAGAAATGAGCAATTAATTTAAAAAATTAATTATTTATGTACATATTAAAGAATAAATAAAAAAAGATTCCCCTCAAAAAATATGTTGCCTCGGACAGACAAACGATTTTTATTTCAAGTTTATTGATGATTCAAGTTTGCTTTAAGTTTATTTATGCAACAAGTTTTTTGTTGCTCGAAGCCTACTATTGCTGCAAGTTTATTTTGCTCAAAGTTTTTTTGTTTCGTTTTTTTCAAGTTTTTTTGCTAAAATTTAGTATTAAAATACTAAATTTGATTTGAAATTGTGCCAATTATTCCAACAATTATTCCCGAGATTTCACAATTATTCCAAGCCCAAATCCCGCCCCGAAACAATTTGACAACTTTGTACCCCGAAACAACCGCCCACGAGCTTCGTAATTCAATCCTAATAAAATTTGTAGAATTGTAGAGAATAATGTGGAGAATTTAAACTTTTTTTTTAATTATGAAATTAAAGAAAAATATATAAAAAAATGTTTTTTTTGTAGTTAGAGACTTAATTTTAAAAGAAAGAGAGAATTTTTATAAATTTATTTTTAATAAAATTTTGAATTTTTAAAGTAAAACAAAAAAATATTTTTGAATCTTTTAATTTAAAAAATCTTTTTCTAAAAATTTCTATTTTTTGCAAACAAATCAAATATTCTCAACATTACCACCTCCAATTATAATATTAGAACGTGATGCTGGAGATGAAGATATTGATGATTGCTGCTCTTCTAAAAAATAAAATTTTTAAATTTTCGTTTAAATCTTTAGAATCAACACAAACAATCCCCTTTATAAGATAACCTCTTAATGTTTAAAAATCGCCTCTTATAATGAGGGGTATCTTAAATAGGAGGGATAGACAATGAAATATTTAGAAGTTATCCCAGTGACCAAACAAATTCTTAAAACCGATTAAGAAGTATCTAATATAAAGAGGATATTAAATATGGAGAGTGTTTAATATAGAGGTTTCAACTCACTTTTACGTCGTCGCCGATTTTGTTTTTCCAATTCGCCAAGTTTTGTTTTATTTTCACTAAATATGCTGTGTAATTCACGCATTCTTTGTTCAATAAGCCTGACTTGTTGGTCAGGGTCTTCACTACAATTTTCCAGCATTTCATCTTAAAAGTTAAAATTATTTTTTGTTTATATCCAAGTTTATGATCCTCAAAAATTCCCGTTTTTGCCCATCAACAAAATATCACTAAAAAAGAGCTTCCCTCTCCGGGTCTAAACCAAATAACAGACCAGAATAGTCTCTGATACCAGTGACAGAAAAGGTCTCTGATATCAGTACCTATCCCTACCTTATTATGTATTAAAAGGTAACGAAGAAATGAGAAATTAAAAACACTACGAAATTCTAAGAAAATCGGAAATCCATCCAATCCTATAAAAAGTCAATTCGTCCTCTCACAAGTCACCCTTATTATTTTAGTACATAAAGGTGTAAGCAAAAATTAAAAAAACCTAAATTAGGCAATCCAACAAAATCATCATTATCAAATAAATGTTCTGATTCCATTTTGTGAAGTAAACGTTGTCGTAAACAATGAAGACTTTCACTGTGAATACCTTTAAAGGAACAAGTATTTTTCTTTTTTTTCAAAAAAAAACCTTCAAATGTATTCTCCTCTTCATCATCCGAAGTTGCTTCATTTGTCCCAACAAGTGGAGAACGCGTGGGAGATGTAAAATTACTCAACAAAGTAGCAGAGGAAATTGTCGGTCTGACAGGGGATTTTAAGTGATTTCTAAAAAAATTTTAAAAATTTTTTCAGTTAAAATTTTTTTTTATAAATTTCAAAAATAATCAAAAAATTTGTCAAAAAATTTCTAAAATTTTTTTACTTTGCCAATTTATTAGGCGGAGGACTCATAGCACCAGCAATAATAGATTCTCCACTTTTTCGCTTCTTTGGTGCCCATGGTGGTTGAATTTGTACTGTATTATTTTTAGGAGGTGTAACATCAAGTGAGATAGAAGTACTTTCATTAATTGGTAAAGTAATTTTGGCTGAAAAAATGTAAAAAATTATTTCTGAAAAATTTCAAAGAATTTTCAAATTTTTCGAAATAATTTGAAATTTTTGAAAACTATTTCTGAAAAATTTTTGAAAATTTCTGAAATTTTTTACAAAAATTTCTAAAAAAATTTTTTTACTTTGCCAGTTTATTAGTCTAAATTTTTCTACCTTTATCCTCAATCGAATCCTTCTCAAACTCAAAATCTCCATAAACTTTCTCCTCTTCTTTTATTTTTAAAATAGGCGGGGCTGGTGGTGGCGATAAACGGAATACACTATTGTCTTCCCCTTGAACATGTCCGAAATATTGTTGTTGAATCTTAAAATTTTTAATAATTAATTTAAATTTAAAAAATAAATTTACATATATTTTTCTTTTTTTATTTAATTTTGGACATGGAGAGAGTACCTTGTTAAAATAATTACGAACAGCGCTCCACATAATAATTAAAAAAAAATAAACTTTTAAATTCTAAATAAAATTATAAACAAGAAGAGATGCATATCCGCTACTTCACATGAAATATTTGGAATAACCATTTATATATAAAGTCTAATCTCGATATCATATCAGATCAATGTAGTTTAAGAGGATAAGGTCTTATCGAGATTTAACTGTATTTTAAACGAAAAACGTGCTTCCAGAAGAAACTGATTTATCAATAATTTAAGATTAACTCAATGGAAATAATCCTAAAAAGTCGCGCTACAGGTAAACAAAGAGGACTTAAGGAATGATCGAGATTTGTGACAGTTATTTCGAAAATCTAGATTCCCCATAATCAAAATTTTCAAACAAATCTTTTCTGATATGTCCAATGGGTAAATGGCAGAGATCTAACCGAGTCCTATTTCCTGAAATGCCGGAAATTCGCTTTTTTTTGTCTCGGCTAGATCCCTTGTACATCAAATACAAAATTTACACAATTTTATAAAAAAACCAAAAAATATTTACAGGAAAGATTGTCTCAGGCTTTACTTCCTCCTCTAAAATTGTTGTTTGTTGAGGAGTTAAATTTAATAATAATTGTTGTGGTTCTACTAATAAACCTTTCTCCCCTATTAATGAAGAGGAGGAGGGAGAAATTATTTCAAAATTAACACTGGCTTTATCATCAACTAAAAATTGTTGTTTTTGTTGGGGGTTGTTATCATTTTGTTGCGAGACAATTTGTTGTTGTTGAAGGAAGCAATTAGTAGTAGAAGTTGTTGTAGTAGAAAGAGAGGAATTAGTTGTAGTAATTGGTGGAGTAGTAGTAGTTGTTGTTGTTGTGGGAAGAAAAGTTGTTGTTACAGGGCAAGTTGTCACATTGGAATAAACCTATTTTTTATCAGAATTTTTAAAAAATTTTCGAAAGCTTATGTTAGAAATAATTTTGAAATAACGAGTATAATTGTAGAGTTCACAATTCTGTTCGAAAAAATAAGCAAAGGATTAAACGTGAAGAAAAATTCTCCCCTAAGTAATTTCCCGCTAGTCTACGTTAATTTACTCCAGTTTAAATTATTAAATAAAAACCTTTATATTGGAAAGCAAATGAATTTTTGTAGGCGATGAAGTGAATGTTTTGACTTTTGTTGTTGTAACTATAGGAGAAATATTTTTAGGCGATAAATGATATTTTTGGCTATTTTTATCGTTTTCTTCTTCAACTTTTTCCTCATCTTTTTTAACAATAATATCATCATTATGAGAATGTTCAACGTTTAAGTTTATTTGATTATTTGGAGTTAAACAAATTGTTGTTGTTGTACACGTAGTAGATGGTGCTTCAGAAACAGTGGATGGAACAACAGGCTGAAATGTTTTTATTTTGTAAAAATTTTTTAAAATCAGGATATCCGAAAACTTAACAAAAACCCTTCAAAGAACGCGATACGAGAAACTTAAACGATTGGAAAGCTACTCAATTTTTCAATTTCTTATTTCGATTTCTAAGAGGGGTAAAATAATAAAATTAAAAATATACCAAGTGTGGAATAGTAAATTTTCCAAGTGAATGCGACGCCGGTAGTGGAGCTATAAATGTCACATCATTAGAGGAAGAAGAGGATGAAGACGAAGGTGGAGGAGCGTGATGATTCGCCTATTAATTATAATAAAATTACAGAAAAAATCCCAAAAAACAAACAAAAGGATTCAAAGGACTTCTATAATCCATTGTAGAACTTGTAGAGGTAGAACAACTTGTACTTTGCCTTCTAGGCACTATTTGTATATTATTGACACTATCTGCAACAGAAGAAACGGTTGTTGTTGTTACTTTGGCTAGTGCTGAAGAAGAAAGACGGCGAGGACGTTGCTCGGAAGATTGGGCACTTAAAATAAAATTTTAGAAAATAAAAAACGATCCGACTACAATAAAAAAAATAACAAAAACCTTGGTAGTAAAGCAAGTGAAGGAATTCCTTCTGGACTAGCACACCAATCCAACGCCGCAGCAAGTAATTGAGGCGGCAAATTATTACTGCCACTAGATTTAATTAAATGATTTTCAACTTGTTGGGCACTTTGACGTTCATCTTTTTCATCAACACGAATTTTGTGAAGCATAAGCCATTCCTATAAAAAAATTTTTTAACAAATTTCAAATCAAAACCAAACATCATATCGAGAATTCCATCCCAAATAGTGAACAAAAATTTTTGTTGAATTCAACAAATTGCGCAAAGCATCTTTCAATTCAGGTCCCATATTCTTCAAAAAAATTTTTAAAATAAAAAAATTTAATTTAAAGAATACTTCAAGCGAAAGTGTTGAAATTTCAGGTGAACCTTGATGTGTAATAAGGGAGAGAGCAAAAGCATTGTTTAAAGCCCTTGCAATGTCAGCAAGTGAAGGCTGTTTGACGGTAATTACTCGGGCATCGTAGAAACGTAAATGGTGACGAGCTTGAAAAGAATAATTAAAACTAAATAATAAAAAATCAAAATTAAGTAAAAAAATAAAAAAAATCAGTAAAAAGAATAGTGAGAACAAAATTTAAAAATATACAAACAAACATCAAAACAACAAACAAAATCGTAGAAAAACAACAAAAAAGGAAAAAGATATAAAATGAGAGAGTTAAAGGAATAGAAAGAAGAATTAAAGAACGTAAATCAGAATAAAGAAAAATAAAAATTCTGAAAAAGACTAAGAAAATATTCAAAATAAAACGACCAGAAAATACAAAAAATCGTAAATTATAATAAAGAAAAAACACAAAAATAAGAATTTAAAAAGGCAGAAAAATCAGAATTAAAGACAAGTAAAAACATAAAAACACAAAATTCAGAATTACGTATAAAACAAAAAAAAGTTAAAAGGATAAAAAATAAAAAAAACATAATAAAAAAATAAGAACTTAAGAAGACAAGAGTAGACAGAATTAAAAGACAAGTTAGTAACGCCAACACAAAACATAAAAAATTCAGAATCACATAAAAAAATAAAATCACAATTTACTATATTTTATATTGAAATATTAAAAACTACTTACCACTAACTTTCTGCCCTTGATAAAAACGAGTAAAAATGTGTGCATTAGAATAACCAATTTCATTTTCATTTTGTGGTTTATTTATTTGTTGTTGAAATATTGAATGTTTTGGTTTTCTTCCCCGTTGTTGGGGGATTTTAGTAATATTTTGTTGTTGGGGAGAATTTAATATTTCTGTTTTGATTGGTGAAGAATTATTTTGTGGTGAAGTTTTTGTAATGTTTTGGGGGTGTTGTTGGCCTAAAATTATTTTTTTAATTTCAAAATAAAAAAAATTACAAAGGGTTTAGTAATGTTTCTTGCTATCTAATAAATTTATTTTTCAGCTAAAATAATGGAAAGTTTTAAAAAAATTTTTTATAATTTTTCCAACCAATTTTTGAATATATTTTTGGAAAATATATTCTTAAAATATGCTTGCTGCTTTGCATCTTGCGACAGAAAATAACATACAAAAGTAGGAAAAAGAAAATCGCACGCGACTTATCTCTCCTCTTTTTTCATGAATTTTTCTGCGCATGAAGCATGCAACTTTTATGAAACCCTAGCAAATGAAAATATTTCCAAAAATAAAACTAACAATAAAATTAGCTGAAAATTATTTTAAAAATTTTCAGAAAAAATTTCTTCCAAGATTTTAGAAAAAAATAGATTTAGGGAACAGCGAACAACTACTAAAACCTATAAGCTTGTTCAAAATTAATTTTTAAATAATTTAAAACCTTCACAAAAAATATTCTACAAACCTTCACAAGCATTGCCTTCAGTGCTACTTTTCTTTATAAAAAATTTAGAATTTCCTCCCGAAGTTGCAGGAATACTTGTTGATGTCACAAAAGATGAAAGAGATCTTTTTAATGTTTCTGAAGTAGTTGGTGAATTAGGTTTAGTTGAAGTAATGGATTCATGAGATTTTGAAGGTTTAATTTTGTTGGTTTGATGAAAAAGTGAAGGTCTATAATTGAAAAAAAAATTTTTAAAATTTAAATAGAAATTTTGATATTTTGTTTTTGATGAAATTTTTTGTAATATTATTAAAGGATTGGCTAAAATAAAATTAGAGTCAAAATTTGGAATGGAACCATCGAGGGAAGGATCGGACTCCGAATAAAACCGAACGTGACACCACCCAACCCAATAAATTTACTCCTTGTTTCGGTAGAGGTTTGGGTCGTAAAAGACAGTTACCTCGTGTAACCCGGTCCATCTCTAGTATAGACAAAAATACTCAAATTTTATAACAAGTTTTAATTTTTATACTCCTAGACTAGCCAATATTTTTCTTTAAAAATAAAAAAATACTTTTTTAATTTTCCATCAGCATCAAAATGTTGTCTAATAACAGCACAAGAATTAGTACTTCCAACAATTTTTTCTTCACTTGCAATTTTTTGTTTAATTAATGGAGACGATTTTTTATTAAATTTTGTTTTAAATTTTTCACTTCCAATATTAAAAGACATTGTTCTTTTATGTTGATTTGTAGGTGATTCAAAATGTTGATGAGATGTAGAAGAGGAGGTTGTTGATGAGGAAAATGAAAAATGTAAAGGTTGAAGTTCTAAAGGTTCTTCAGAAGATTTTTTGGAAGATTTTGCAGAGGATTTTGTACAAACTAAAAAATATTTTTCCAAAATTTTGAATTAAAAAATAATGAAAAAATCTGAATTCTACCAAAGAAAGTTTTAAAAATTTTCCAGGATGTGGAGGAAAGATGAAAAAGGCGTTTCCCCTACAACGATTTAAAATCCCAATAAAATTTCTGGCTTATTGTTAGGGAACCGAAAGGGCCCAAAAAATTATATTCAGAAATTTGTATAAGTGCTAATGAAATAAAAATTCTTCCCAGAAATACCCAAAAATCATCAATTCCTTTCAAAAATAATTTACTATTAAAAATTAAAACCTGAAAAAGCAGGAGAATGGTCTTTAGCTGTAGATGTTGAACGAGAACGGCTTAAAGTCCCTGCACTGCTTCCACCGCGAGTTGACGAAGATTTGCCTCCTCTTGACCTTTTACTTTGTTTATCTCCACTAGATTGTGAAGGTGTAGCAATAGTGCGAACAATTCGGGTATTTCTTTGACTTGTTGAAGTACTTGAAGCAGCAGCTACAATTAAACTGGAGTTTCCCAGTTTGTTCATAAAAGACTCGAATTTCTCAAAATAACTGAAAAATTAAATAATAAGAATATTTTTTAAATTAGGATTTTGAATAAATTAGGATTTTGAATAACACAAATTAGGATTTTGAATAAAAAATAGTAGAATCCAAAAATTCAATTCTAAAGCATTGGTCCTGGAAGGCTCGTTCGGGTATTTGCCCAAACCCGAACGATTTTGTCGCCTTTAAACTTTTCGATACCGACAAGTTGGGGTTCAGGTTGAAATCCTGGCCTTGAATCATAGAAAACTTCAGTCTTGGGCAGCTTTAGAAAATAGTATAAAAAATTGTCTAAAGATAATATTTAGTTAGTCCCGGGTCAAACAAAAAATATTTTAAGAAATAAAAAAGCAAATACCGCATGTAAGTTTTCTTGACTTGTAAAGCATCAACATCTCCTTTAGATAAATCCAATTTCAATTTTTTCAAAACTTTTGACCATTTATTTTCTTTTGTTACGCTTCGATGACCACCCATTGATTTTACAACGTTATAAAAACGATAAATGTCAACATCGTTTCCTTAATATGAAATTCTTTAATTTATCGAAAAAATGGAGTACTCCAGCCTTGGGAATTCTAGCAAGTCTAGAGTTGTCTCATCAAAAAGATTAGGCAAAAAATGAAAAAATGTGGATAATCCCCTAAAATAAGTGTGCTGGTCTTGTATGTGAATCGAGGATCCTAATCAGATTTCAAAAAAACTCTAGAATTACCGAGTTTTGGATTAGTAATTCCCTATTCACATCAGCAAAATACATGTATATCATGGATAAAATGAGTTAAGAAAAAAGTCAGATCGGGCTTCGGGTAACTCTCCCATCCCTTGGAGTAAATTGGGCCCATATCAGTGAAAATCTTAGCTTAAAAGGCCAAAAATAATTGATAGCCCCAAAAAAAAATAATTAACAAAAAACCTCCAAGTTCAGGAGAAAGATTTTCAGGATTTCCAGATTCCTCTTGAAATTTGTAAAAATGAGCGACTAAATTAGATTTAAGTTCTTGTTGTTGTCTAATTTCTATTTCGTCCTTTTCTGCTTCATCATTTGAAGAGGAAGATGTGGAGGAAGAAATATCTTCAAGCTCTGGAGAATTATTTTTGTTGTTTTTATTCTTCTCGTTGTCAATATTTTTATTATTCTTTTTATTTTCACTATTTTCTTTATCTTTTTGTTGTGGCGATTCAGAAATCATTTTAGGAATAAGTAGATAAAACCTTAAATCAATTTAAACAATTAAAAGAAACTTCAAAAAGAATTGATGAAGAAAAATTAGAATTAAAAGGACACGCCCGAGTAGGCGCGGGCCAAGTAGGCGCGACCGAGTCACAGCGGCCGCTGTGATCCGCCGCAGCGGGCCCACCCTGTTGTAGAGATCGGAATTTTGAAAAAACCGGGTTCGGGTAACTGGTTCTGAAGGGTGACCGGGAGGGACCTGGAACGGGAAAACCGGGAATTACCGTTCCCGGTTTAATCCCGGTTGCTTCAAAAACCCGGGAAAAGGGACCCGAAAACCGGGAAACGGATCCGTTCCGATCTCTACCCTGTTGACGCACGCGCGCGCGCGAAAACTTTTTTCCTTAAACATAACGCCAAAATTTAAAATAAATGTCTTTCTACTCTCTTTATTTTATTGCATCTCTCGTGCGTCTGACTTTTTTTGTAAACAAGAGAAATGGTCAGAAGGAGACAAGTTATAAAATGGTCAGTGGGAGGAAAAATTTCTCTCATTTGTGAGGGGAATTAGTTAAATTTTATAACTTTTGATCCTTCTATCTGATTTTTTTCAAATTTTGTATTTTTGTAGTCCTAAAATAGTTAAACAATCCCATAAAAAAGCCCCTTCCAATAAAATGACACTTTGGAGGATGAATAAAATATAAAATGGCCCCTGCATTTGAATTGCCTCTCTAATACATATGGACCATAATTTGCCACTTTACAGTTATATATTAATCAGTTCTGAAAATAAAAATTTTATTTCCGATTTCCGACTTTTGAGTTAGTTCCGATTTCCGGCTCTTCCGATTGACTGTTCCGATCCACCTCTGGAAGGAAGGTTTCTTAAGTAATTTCTTTACTATTCCTCTATCATTTATAGAATTCCACAATATAAAAATACTTTTTTCTTAACTTTCCTTTTAACTTTATTTTTATTTGAAAAATTTCTTTTATGCCCTAAAACTTTATTTACTAAAAAAGAAAAGTATTTATCACCCTGTTAACGCTCAATTCTTTTAAAAATGTGAAAAAATATTTTTCTATTTTTTTATTTGCCTTTACCAGTATTATTATTGCCTTTACCAGTAGTCGTGCCACCTGCTTAAGTGCTACACAGGGACCACACACACCGACTGCTGCCGACAGTCACCAGACAGTCACCAAAAGACTGCCACTAAAGCTTTTCCTCTAAAACATTTTTTCCTTCCCAAATTACACTTTTGTGTGGCATTCTAAGCCTAAAGGCTAAATTTAGCATTGTAAAGTAGACGGAATTAATATTGGGAGAGGGGGGAGGAAATGATAAAAAAATGAGAATAAATTTAATAAAAAAGGAATATCTTTGCGTGAACACGCAAAGATAGATCTTTGCGTGAACACGCAAAGATAGAAAAAAGTGAATAAAAAATTGAAAAGAATTTCTGGGTATCCATAGATATCAACCTCCTCTAACTTTACATACATTACACTAATTCAACTGTATTCTTGGTTATTTTCTTGTTTACAACCAAAGCTAGCCCCACTGTGGGCGTGCCATCTGCTTAAGTGCTACACAGGGACCACACACACCGACTGTGCTGACAGCCACAGACAGTCACCAAAAGAAAAAAATTTCCTTTATAAATAACCACAAATTATTCCTTACCAATTATTTTTAATAAACTAAACAATTTTAAATTTCCTTTAGTTAATTCTTTTAAAATCTCTTTTAAACGATTTTAATTATTAAAATTATTTCTAAATCTACAAAACCAACAGATATTATAACTAAATAAGAGAAGGAATATAAAATTACCAGCAAAAATGGTTGGATCAAGAAAAATGACCTTCCCTCGAAGTATTTATTTTAAATTAATTAAATTTTCTAATTTTCTTGAGACAAAATTTAAATTTTCTTTCACTTTAAGTACCTTCTTCATCAGTACTAAACAAAGCTAAAACTACAACAACCATTTAATCTGTTGCAGATAGTGACATAATATAGATACAACTATTGCCTAGAATGGAAAGTACTGCAGTTGTTCTACCCGCAGGGCATTTTGACGGAAATACTCAACTCCAAGTAATCAGATCAACATAACCATTGAACAGTTTATAAATATATTATTATTAAAAAGATGAGGAGAAAGTTGAAGGAGATAATTAAATCTAGTGATTGTAACATTTTTCAATTCCAAAAAGTTGTATACTAACAGGTGATTAGGTTCGTTCTCGAGTGGTCACTGTCTATTAACGCTTAGAATCCTTTGGATCGAGAAATTAAGTAAGAGAATAATTTGGTTAATATAATCCTGCTGTGAGAATTTTGGAATACCGAGAAGCTAGAATTCTTCCCTTTTAGCGTCATAAATAAATTTTTGAAAAGTTATTAAATCGAAAAAATCACCAAAAATTTACAATTTTATTAGTGGTCTTTTGATGATTTTTCTATTTAATAATGGTGATTTTTTGTTGGTTTTTCCTTTTCTTTTCTAAATTTAAAGTAAGTCTTTTCCTTCTCTTCAATAACAAAATTGTCGAAATTTGTTTGATGTTTAATTAAATCATTTTTCTCTTTTTCAACCAAAATCCAATCAGAATTTGGTGAACCATCATGGAATTCTCACTCTATTCTCACTGGAATAATTTTCTATATTAGAGTGCAAGTTATTTCTGCGAGTCACTTTGTATGACTTAGCCAAATTTATGCAATTGCTCATTTCGAATGTTATTATCTTCATATCCGGCTCAACTCTGATCACTGGTCGTTAATATACAAGGCCGTGTACTCGAGTTGCCCAAAGGACTCCGCGAAATTGGTAAAGAACTTATACAGTATTAATGTAGCTATTGTGGTATTTTCCATCCATTTACCATTAAACTGCGCCTTCTGTCTGAGGAACTTTTGTTCGGATCGACGTCCAATTGCATAAATTTATCTTAATCCATTCCACTCCTACCCATAATATAGTATGTCAACAAGCAAGTATGTGAACTAATTGGTAGTTGGCATACTTGTTTGTTGACATACTATATTATGGGTAGGAGTGGAATGGATTAAGATAAATTTATGCAATTGGACGTCGATCCGAACAAAAGTTCCTCAGACAGAAGGCGCAGTTTAATGGTAAATGGATGGAAAATACCACAATAGCTACATTAATACTGTATAAGTTCTTTACCAATTTCGCGGAGTCCTTTGGGCAACTCGAGTACACGGCCTTGTATATTAACGACCAGTGATCAGAGTTGAGCCGGATATGAAGATAATAACATTCGAAATGAGCAATTGCATAAATTTGGCTAAGTCATACAAAGTGACTCGCAGAAATAACTTGCACTCTAATATAGAAAATTATTCCAGTGAGAATAGAGTGAGAATTCCATGATGGTTCACCAAATTCTGATTGGATTTTGGTTGAAAAAGAGAAAAATGATTTAATTAAACATCAAACAAATTTCGACAATTTTGTTATTGAAGAGAAGGAAAAGACTTACTTTAAATTTAGAAAAGAAAAGGAAAAATCAACAAAAAATCACCATTATTAAATAGAAAAATTATTAAAAGACCACTAATAAAATTGTAAATTTTTGGTGATTTTTTCGATTTAATAACTTTTCAAAAATTTATTTATGACGCTAAAAGGGAAGAATTCTAGCTTCTCGGTATTCCAAAATTCTCAAAGCAGGAGTATATTAACCAAATTATTTTCTTTCAGTTTAATTTCTCTGTCCAAAGGATTCTAAGCGTTAATATGTAGACAAAGGCCACTCGAGAATAAACATAATCATCGAACACCTGCAAATTGCAATTTTTAAGATCCGATTTTCGATGCTTTTTTTTTATTTGAGAAGGAAAAGACTTACTTTTGATAAAAATATGTATACTAAGTATATTTAGTTAATTTAAAACGTGTATATCATCTAGATCACTTCATTAATGAAGTGTTCCATAAAATGTAGCTTATTTAATGAATGTCAAATAATACTTTTAATTCTGGATTTACATCTTCACAGATGCCACACTACAATTTTGAAAATTTATCGGCTAAATTCCGCCTCAATTTAGGCATTTCAGCCTTCAATTCAGACCACCTCATTCCCCGAGATGTGTGTGTGTGTAATTCTAAAATTTTATGAAGAATTATGTATTGCTCATTTACAATTTATATTTTTTGTGTTTTGAACATAAATAATTAATGAAAATATATTTTCTAAAATTAACCAAAATCGTCTGCTTTATCTCAAGCTTTGTCGCTCTTCAAATACAATCGAACCACAAATGTTTATCGCTCTCAACCTTTCTGGGTAAATAAAGAATTAAAAACTTTTTTGGTACATTATTTATTAATTTTTCTAAGTTTTTGCAATTTCCAAGTTTAGAAGATTATAAATTCAATAAAAAATATAAAAAATCTTTCGAGAGCATTTCACCGAAAAATGATCGAATGAAACAAAAAATTATAAATTTTATATAAATAAGCCCTTTAAACACAGAAAAATACATGCTTTGTATATATATATATTCTCTGTTCCATATTGCTAAGGTTTTGAAAGAATATATGCAAGTATAGAGGAATATTGAGAGGAAAATGAGATTGAGCCATCTAACAAACAGGCAAGCTCTTCAGCAAGTTCCGATACACAGTAAAGCAGCTAGGCTATAGCCATTTCTCTCCTTTAGCTAGTGCAAAAGGTTAATCGGCGGCTGGGAGCGAACCAGCATCTTCAGTAGACCGGACTGATGTGTTAGCCATTACACCACGCCGTCTACTGCACAGCCTTAGGAAATTAATATTTAGCTATATGCTTTACAACACAAACAACAAATTTGGTTTTGTTTTGTAACATTGTAACCAAAAAGTTCTTCTGTGCGTACGTTAGCTTCAAGTAATACATTTTTAATTTAGTAAGTACTAAGGTCGGTATGTAGGTACTGAACATCCCAAATAAGTACAAATCCGAACCCTGCTATACGAGATGGACATCACTAAAATTCAAAAATTTGTGTCTGTCTAATTTTTTAATATTTCACTTCTCCAACACGTTCCGCCTTGCATTTGCAATATCTTCAAGTGGTTGAGAGCATTTCAGTTTAATGTCTATTAAGCAAATTGTCCCCTTTGCAAAATAAACTAATCCTAAATATTATAAAATAAAGCTAATTTTATTAAAAGCCTAAATAAACATTTTTTAATTTTTAGGAAAATTTTTGAATTTTTTAGCTTTAAAATTTGGCCAAATAAATACATGAAAAATTTACCCATAAAAATAACATTGAAAAAAATAAATTAAATTCTTTAAATAAATAAATTCAAAAAATGATTAAAATTAATTCTAATATTAGTATATTTTTAATTTTTTTAATAATTAATTTTATTATTAATTACACAATGGCTGGTTTCCAACCAACCAGCCCAGGACATTCACCTGGAATTGGACATGAGAGCATTGTAGACTGTATGATTGAATTAAAGCTTTTATTACAAAATTATAAAAATATACAAGGGATAATGCCGGCAGGAAAAAATTCCCAACAAAAAAACATTTAAAATTTCTTGTTTCTTGGAATTTTGAGACTGGAAGGGGGGGGGTGAGGGTCAAAGATTGAGGCTTTTTAGTGAGGCTCCCGGTTTTTTAGAAAAATTTCGGGACCCAAAAAAATTTTAATGGAGAAATATAGGGGCAAACCTCTAATAATTATTAGGGTTCACCCTAGACAAGTCAAAGCCATTCTAATTATTACCAGAAAATGTTAACAAAAAATTTTTATTTAATTTTTAATTTTAATCAGGAAAGTAAAAAAAATGTGGCTGAATATTGGAATTTGGATAATTTTGGCAAAAATTTTAAACTTTTCTTTGAAAACAAAAAATTGGGCTGTTCTTATTTAATTGCTGAGAATTTCTTTAAAACAACATTTAAAAATTCTATCCGATTTTAATTTATAGCTTTTCTTTGTTTAAGAATAAATTGTTAAATTTGGGAAAATAAATTGTACTCATTTTTTAGAAAAAAAATCTGGCTGAATATGGGGATTTGGGATTTGAGTATGGGGATTGAATATGGGCCTATTGAATGGTCCTCTAGAGAGGGGACGGCTATCTCTGCTGAATTAACAGATTATAATTAAATGTACATATTACTAAAAAATTTAATTTACAATTTTCGTTACAATTCTCTGATGCCCAGTTCCGGGTGAATAACCTGACCTGGTCGGTAACAATTCAAAATCTTAACTGCAAGAAGGAATGTAGTTCATAAACTCAATAAAGACTAGTATTCACACTTTCATTCATATCAGCCAAAAGAGAAATCGTGCGGAACAAAATAAAAAGAAAAGGATGGCCAATCCAAAAGATTAAGTAAAATCAAATCTCTGGATTTGACATACTAAAATATTTTTGCCAATTAATTGCAAATAATTAAGACTCCGCGCATAATAACAAAGTTAATATGTGTGAGACATAAACAAAGAATCATGTTGATATAAAAAATAAATTCTCTTGTAGCTATAGTTGGGAATTCCTTATATTCGGCAATTTAGGTAGTTATATTTTGCCTTGAGTTACTATTAGTTAAAATTCATGACTTTTCAGAAAAAATTTTCAGACATTGAATAAAATTTCCTGATATATGATAAATACTATATAATATGCCATATGATTATTCTACTAATCAAATTCAAATAATTTTTTAAATATTCTCAGGTTTTGCCTCAATTTATTTTTGCCTTATTACATTTTGAGTTGACATACTTTTTTCAATTATTTTTTGGAGAAGGACGGCATATTCTCAATAAAAAAAGACCGGGCAAAATTGATGAAACCTTATATAAAAAAGCATTTTTTCCATATAAACTTCATTCATTCCATTTTATATTAATTTAGAATGTTTAGAAATTGAATATATTCGGTACTAACATAATCAGTGGCACATTTTTTCAAGAAGGCATAAGTGGACCTAACATTCCACATTTTCAGTATTTTTGCTAGAAGTCGAGCTCTTCAAATTGCAGGTCCCTATATTTGGGGTTTTTGCTGTCTTTTCGTTATATAGAAAACGCCAATTGTAGATAAACATTGTTTTTCGGGTTTTTCGCATGTATCTCTTTCGAAGCCTCTGTTTTTTTTATTTTTATATAAGCTTAACATTAATTAAATACATTTTTTATTCAACTTTTAAAATAAAATTTTGTTTCTTTTAGAATAATTTAATTAAAAGAAATTTTATTTCTACAAAATGACCGAAAATTTATCAAATTCTGTTTCGGAATTAGAAGTAAACTTTTAAAAAAAAATTAATTAAAATAAATTTTCTTTTAAAGTTATCTAAACAAATTGAAAATTTAATAAAACTTCATACAGAATTTAATAATCTTCAAAAAAAATTTGATGAAGAGAAGGAAAAGAATAAAAATTTAGAGAAGAAAAATAATTCTTTAGAAAATGAAATAAATGAAATGAATAAAGTTTGTTAATATTTAAATTAGATTAGAGTTGAATAAGTTGGCGGGGAATCCCTCGGAATTTTTTTGGGTTTTTATTAAAGAAAAATTAATTGCAAATAATTTTAGAAAATTCAAAAAGCAAATTCTGACAACGAAAATAAAATTGGAAAAATAAATTCTGATAATCAAAATGAAATTAAAATTTTAAACGAAAATATTCAACAATTAAAAACTGGAAATACTCAGAAAGATGAGAAAATTAATTCTTTGCAGAAAAAACTTGAAGCGGTAAATAATTATTAAATGTTAAAATTTTTCCGCATGTTTTCCGCATGTAGTAAAAAGCGGACTGGAAAATTTTTAAAAAATTAAATAGAGGAAATTTTTTATCCTTATACTAACCAAAATCCGAACATTTTCGCTTAATTCGGACCTGTCTTGGCCTTCCCTATTTTGGCACTTAAAACTCTAAATTGGAACCTATTTCTCAATTTTTCGGACCTAAAATATCCATGCTGTAACACTCAATGCCAAATCGCTTGTAAAGACATTTTTAGTCTTAAGCATACCTGCACGAAACTAATCTTTGATGAAACGAATTTTTTAATCACCAACACATAAAAAGAAAGCTAACGAAACAAAAAAACTGTATTTGTATGTTTACAGAGGAAATTATTTTTATTTAAAATATGTAAACATTTTTTTATTTGATTTATTTAAAAAGGCGAATGCGTTACACGAGAAAAAGTTTTGTGATTTAACAATTAAATTGAATAATGAAATTTTTAAATATGTGGTTAGTTTATGATTTTTATTAAATTAGGTATTAGGAAATAATTTTTTAAAAGGATTTTGTTCAAATTAAAAATAAATGGAAAGAAATTGATACTGGATATAGTTATTGTTGTGAGAATAAATGTATAAACACAAACAACCCTGTTGGTACTTGTATTAAAGGGAATGGATTTGGAAATTTAATTAGTGATGAAAATATTAAATATTTAAAGGGGAAAGGAGGTAAATTATTGGATTTTTTTTATTTTTAAAAAATATTTTCAGGTTGTGATAGACAATTTGTAGTTAATTCAGAAAATTTGCTCAAAAAGCCTCAAAATTGTTTTAAACATTCTTTATATTATTTTGAAATTAAATGTGTGCTATTTGAAGGGGAGGTCAATCAGGGAGTAAAGTTGATGAGTATTGGTCTTAAAAATTGTAGTACAAATAAATATATTTACTTTTCTGCAACGGAATCTAGCATTTATAACGAGAAATCAACATCATTTAACCTTTCAATACTCTTCAATTATAACGATTATTTTGGGTGTGGATTAGTCTATCCTCCAACTAATAAATTAAATGAAGAATTTCCTTATATTTTCTTTACACAAAATGGAAAACAAATTGGTAAATATATTTAATTAAAGCATATTAAAATATCACTTTTATAGGTAAAGGTATAATATTGAAAGAAAATTTCGACTCATATAAACCATGTGTTTGGCTGAATACGTGTTCAATTGAATCTAATTTTGGCAATGATTTGAAGACTAATCCTTTTAAATATGACATTTCGAAACATTTAGTTATTAAAGAATTTTATTGAAAATTGTTTTTTAGTAATTAATTTTGTTTCTTTGATTTTTTCAATTTAAATTAAAATGTTTTGAAATATTTTTTTGAATTTATTAAAAGAAAATTCGTCAATATTTAGGTTTGTTTCCCTAGAAAAAATATGAAGCTTTTTTGGTATTTTTGAGAGATGCCAGTAATTAATTGTGTTGAGTTTGAATTTCATTTCTAATCCAAGACAAGCAAAATTAGATATACCTAGTTCCTTTATCCGCTCACTGCTATAATTCATTCTTATTCCCATAGAAATAAGAAAGATAGTACCTCAAAGGTTTTTAAATTACTTAATTGATATATAATTAATTACAAATGATATAATTTTGGGTATTTGTGTAGTTTACACCCCATAAGCTCCGCCCCTTTTCTTTTCTTATAAAAGGAATACCGAAAAAAATCCGAAAGAGTCCAAAATAGATCAGGATTTTGACAAATAGATAGTGCTTAACAATTATTTTTCTAATTCATTCCCTTGTAATTTTTACTAACTGCTTTCATTCTACAAAAAAAACCTTTTATTTTTTGCTTGGCTTGCTTTTCAATTGGATTTTTGACCTACAACCCTTATCTTCCTTCTCTCGTTTATAATTCTAATGCTTGGCTTACCTTTTTTTAGTTTGGGAATTAATATTTTCGAGCTAATAGAGGTTTTGGATTACCTATCAAAATAGCGGTTTCCACATCTAATAATTTCTATAATTTACTTTACCTTTTAATTTACTTTAACTTAAAAAATAAAGGTTAAATTCTAAACAATATTCTCCATGATTTTGCAAATTTAATTAGAGTTGTACCTCTTATGAAAATAGGAAACTTGTTTAATAGGTATTGGTGTAATGAAAATACATAAGATAGTTGAGGATATTTGTTGGCCATTTAACCAGAAACCACGTACGAAGTCGGGCAGGTGTGTGGGGGGTTTTTAAATTATTTTAGACAGAGTCGGGACGGGGAATCAAGGCATAGTCAGAGTACGGGGTCGGGGTACAACTAAATTTAATAAAATTATTATTTAATTTCCTTAACTTTTTCAAACATTAATAAATTCTATCAAAATGGCTGAAGAAGGATTATCAACAAATTCTGATTGGATTTTGATTGAAAAAAAGAAGAATGATTTAATTAACCTTCAAATTAATTTTAACAATCTTCAAATAAAATATATTGAAGAGAAGGAAAAGAATTTAAATTTGGAAAAGAAAATTTTTTTTCTTCAATATGAATTGAAATTAATGGATAAAGTTGGGACTTTATTAAATATTTTTAAAAATAATTTTTGAAAATTCAAAAAATAAATTGTGAGAATGAAAATTTAATGAAATAAACCAAATTTTCAAAAATTAAATAAAAGATTTCAGCAATTGAAAGATGAAAATGATCGAAAGGATGAGAAAATTAACTCTTTGAAAGAAGAATTTAAAGAGGTAAATTAAAAAATATACTTTATACCAGACTAGGACATGGATACGGATATGGATACAGATATTGTAAAAATGCCTGCCGATATCTGTCTGTATCCGCCGTAAATATCCGGATAAGGATACCAAAATCAGTATCCGTGTCCTAGTCTGCTTTATACTACATCCATTGAAAACCTTTTTTTTAATTTTCACGGGTTTAAGTATGGTTATGTGACATTTCTTCTTTTCTTTATCTAAACTAAACTGCGTAACAAAAAGAGCACATCATGTTTTTCGAAATAAATTATTGAAAAGTGTCCTTATCATTTCAAAATTTTTGCCATTACATATTTTAATTAGGGTTGGGGGCCCGTTCTGGCCCGAAAGATCTAGTCTGGTATCGAAACTATTTATTTATTTGTTATAACGTTTAAAGAGTTATTATTCTATAAAAATTTAAAAAAATTTTATATAGCCTTTGATTATCGGCATTTTATTCATTAAAACTAACGGGAAAAAATGAAACAAAAGGACACTTTTCAATGAGAGAAAAGGTGAATTACCATCTTTTTGGTTACGAGTGTATGTAGGTCGTTGAGGAATTTTATATTTAAATTAAAAATAATAAATTAATTAAAATTTATAATTTAAGCCAAATGATTTATTTGAAATAAAGATTGGTGATTTAATTAAATTAAATAATAATTTGAATTGGAATAAATATGTGGTTGGTTAATAATTTTAATTAAATTATTAGAGAATAATTTTTAAAAGAATTTTGTTAAAATTAAAAATAAATGGAAGGAAATTGATGGTGATTACAGTAAATGTTGTGACAAAAATTGTATAAATACAGACGAACCTGTTGGGTATTGTATTAAAGGAAATGGATTTGGAAATTTAATTAGTGATGAAAATATTAAATATATTAATTGTTTGGAGGGTAAAGAAGGTGAATTTGACATTACTTCTGTCATCCCCCATGCCTTGTGTTTTGTTTAAGATGTACAGAATGGTTTGAAAAATGAGTGCCACAAAATTTTGTGTCACACAAACTTCGTCTTGCCGACTTCAATAGGTCAAAATTATGTAATAATTTTGCCGAAACTTGTCAATCACGATGATTTTGATGTCAAGAAACTCAGTTCAACGAGCTCTATCGAGCTATAGGCCTGACCTACTAACCAATTTGTACATCTTGAACAAAAAATAAAGCATTCCGGGAGGGGGGGGGGAGTTGAATTTTTTAAATTTTTGCTTATTATTTTAAGCTTACAACAAAAGTGTTTTTGTTTATGCAAAAAATTCATTCAACAAACCACAAAATTGTCTCAATTATTCTTTATATTATTTTGAAATTAAATGTAAATTTGAAGGAGAATTAAATGAAGATAAAAAATATTTGAGTATTGGGGTTGAGAATTGTAGAACAAATGAATGGATTGAATTTTGTGCGGAGCAGAGGTGGGTCGGAACAGTCAGAGATGTCGGAAATCGGAACTGTCGGAAATCGGAAATGGCTCAAAAGTCGGAACTCGGAAATCGGAAATCAAAATTTTTTTTCGGAAATCGGAAATCGGAAGGAAAAAAACGCCGGAAATCGGAAATCGGAAGGCGGAAATCGGAAATAAAATTTTTATTTTCATAACTGAAATTTATTTAAAATTGTAAGGTGGTAAATTATGGGCCTTCTTAAGTGTAATTTGAGGGTGTAAAAGTTCTTTTTGCAACTCAAAAGTCAAATTCGAAGGGATTAAGAGAGATATTGTGGGATTTGGTAGATTAGACGGGATATCAGAGAATTTATAGAATTAATAGGGATATTTGGAGTTTAAAATTGAGGACTGATAGAGCCTATGACCACTCGTAATTTTAATTTAATATAACCTAATCCACACACATTAATATAACCTAATCCTCCGATATACTATTCAACTTCCATTTACAGCGCCGCAGGCAAAAATTTTGGTATTTTTGGAAAAATCTCTAGTCGGAAATATGCTTCAAAAATTCTCGGAAATCGGAAATTTTTCCAAAATTTCGGAAATCGGAAATCGGAAATCGGAAGGAAAAAAACGTCGGAAATCGGAAATCGGAAGTCGGAAATCGGAATTCCGACCCACCTCTGGTGCGGAGTATGCCTTAACTATGGATAAATATGGAGATTTAGAACCTGAAACAATTGTCAATAATAACGATATTCTTGGTTGTGGATTAGTTTATCCACCAAATAATAAATTAAGCGAAGAATTACCTTATGTTTTCTGTACACAAAATGGAAAACAAATAAGTAAAAATTAAAAAAAAATTTGGTACTTATCCTTTATATGCCCACAAATTCATTTTTTTTGTAAATGGTAAATTTTGATTAACTCAGTGTCAATAGATACCCAGCTCTGTGTTTTAAAACCTATGCCAGTTTTGTGTTGTAACACAACTATTTGCAATAGTTTACTCCCATAAAATTTTCATTGAAATAGAGAGCTCTACTCACCCACAGTTCTGGTACACACATAATGGTCTTGAGAATACAATACTAGACCATTGTTTCTAGCACGAGAGCTAGGTATTTATTGGCATAGAGTTGGTCATATTGACCATTGAAAACTTTTAACAAAAGGAAAGAAATAAAATAAAAAATAACTTTGTGGGCATATAAATGTTAAGTACCAAAAATTTAAAAAATATTTTTAAAAAATTTTATTTTTAAAGGTAAAGTATCATTAATTGACATTTCCGCGTCATATAAACCATTTATTAAGCTAGAATGTTGTTCAATTGAAGCTAATTTTGGAAATGATTTGGAGACTAAACCTTTTAAATATGATATTTCGAAACAATTCTTAAAAGATTTAATTAAAAATTTGTTTTGATTAATTCTTCATTTAAATTGTGAATTCTCTTTAAATATTTTTTTGAATTTGTTAAATAAAAACCTTTTTTGTCTACAAAAATTAATGTGTTATTTTTCTTCAATTACCTTTAATAATTTAAAATTCAAATTCTACAATTTTTAAATTCTTTAGTTAGACTTTATCAAATATTAGGAGGACAATAAAATGTCTGAAGGATTATGATCAATTTGGTTGGAAAAAAGAAAAATGATTTTAAAACCTCGAAACTAATTCTGACAATCTTCAAAAAAACTTTATTTAAGAGAATGAATAACTGTTAATTTTTAAAATTAATTTTAGAAAATTCAACAAATAAGTTTTGACCATAAAAATGAAATTGAAAAAATCTTATTATACAATTGAGAAAGCTGTGTGTGTCTGTTTGTCCTTTTATAGAAAAGGGGCTTTATAGTAAAATGATTTGGGGAGTGAGGAAAGGGGGTTTTTGTAGTAAAGCTTTGCCACTTGAATTAACTTGTAAGGGTAAGAAGATAGTATAAAAGCAGGGTATCTTGGTCATTCTTCAAATGCTAACAACACTTCTCAACTCTACTGTGCTCTGTACTGCTGGTGTCCTGTGTCCTGCTTGAGGCCAGCTAGGCGTCAACGTTATTGCAACATCTGCTGAGAGTCAACGTTTAAGCGCAAGGTCGGCCGAAGCTAGGAGCCAACGTTCAGGTTCAAAGTAAACAGCTGCTAGGAGTCAACGTTCATGTGCCAACATCTGTCAGTGAATCATTGGCAACCTGTCAGTGAATCATTGGCAACCGAGTAAGTATGAGATGTACGAAGTACGAGCAGAATCGAAATTTCGAAGCACTGTATCAAATATTCGGACAGACTCAACTAACTATATAATTAACTTGCCAATTTTACTTAACATACTATCAATTCGGTCATTTGTGGGAAATTTCTTTTTTCGTAGTAGAGTTGATTTTTTCTTTGTTAATAATAAGCTTGGAATTTTTCTTAATTATTTTATTTTCTTCAAATTTTCAAAGTTGACAAAAAATGGCTTCAAAGTCTTCAGCATCTTTTCAAGTTATAGAAGAAGGGGAAGAACAAAAAGAAGAACAACAACCTTCAATTTCTTCATCAAATGCAGACGATCAGCCGCCAGTGATTGGTGGGGGGACAGAAATGGGAGAAGGTTTTTAATTAAATTTTTTTCTTAAAAAATTTTTTCCTTTCACAGCAATAATGGAAATGATCCGTCCTGCTGTTCAGAATTTGGATAATCAAGTAAAATGTACAAGGAAAAGTCAAATAATGTTGGCTTCCCATATTGATGAATTATCGAAAAGTTTTTTAGAAATATTTAAATGGATCTAAAATTTTAATTTTTAGAATTAAAGAGTATTGTGGATGAACAAACACTTCCCTACGATTTGGATATTTATGTGAGGAAATTAGAAGATAGCCGTAAACGGATGACGAGTGTTAACCAGCGGTTGCAGGTTTGTGGAGTTTAAATAAAAATTCTGATTTTAATAATCAAAAATCAGAATTTTAATTAACCAGAATTTTCACTAATTAAAATTCTGGCTTAAAAATCTCAAAATTTATTGAAATCAGAATTTGTTGTTTTGTTTAAAAATCAGAATTTTTATCAAAATCAGAAATTCTGATAGAATCAATTTCGATTTTTCTTGTAAACACAAATCAGAATATTAGCTTTAATTCTGATTATATTTAATTTCTGGTTCTCCTAAAAACTCAAGTAAAAGTCGGAACACAAATTCTGATATATTTAATAATTAAATAAATTCTGATTAAATATTTCCTCTTTAAAATTTAGTCTCTTCACACGCGTGTAAGTCAACTACAAAGAAGCGCAGCACGCGAGATTAGTAAACAAAAACAACGTCAGACTCCGGCTCAGCAATAAAATGATTTTTTGTGAAGAATTTAAGGATAAACTTCAATTTTTTGAGGAGAATATTTTTAAAAAATATATAAATTATATTTTATTAAAAAAATTTACATTTATTATAGTCAGACCTCACTTGAAAAGGTACATCCTTGGGGTTAAAAAACTGTCTTATAAGTGTGTCCTGAATAGAGGGGTTTTTCAGGGTTTTTCGTCATGATCTTATTGTGAGGAAGGAAAAAGGTGGGCGGGGATAAAGGTGATCCATTTGTCGATTACCTTTATAAAATAGATTTCAGAAAAAAGACTATTTATGAGGTGTCCCCCAATTCTTCACTAATACCGGGGTTAGGGTTTATCTACTAGTATGGGATGTATCTTCTAGTGAGGCCTGGCTGTATAAAAATTTACAAATAAAAATTTTTTAAAAAGTAAATATTATTTTCTATAAATTAATTATTAAATATTAGTAAATAATAAAAATTAAAAGCTTTTCACATCCTCACAACAATTGTTTTTGCCGCCAAATCATATATAGCTCTATTGTAGTTAAACATATAAAAAGCTGTACTCAATGGAAATAAAAACATTATCACCATATTTTTCAGAACAGAACGGAGAAGAGCTCTGAAATTAAAAAAAGTTATAAGGTCCTTTTATGTTATCTACTTTTCCTTTCCCATCTCCTAGATCACTAAATCTTTTAACACTTGCGAAGACGGGATGATTTTTGAAAATAACGAACTATTTAATTATGCTTTCGCTCACAATGAACAGATGCTCCTACTGACTGAGTCGCCACTTTCAACTCCTACTAAATCAGGGTTCGCATCGACAAAATGCCACTCAAAAGTATCAAAATCTCGATAAAAAAGTATATAGGGAGAAAATTTGCAAAAAAAAAAGTAGTCTCAAAATTAAATTAGAAAATATTTATTCGTCCTCAAATCTTTTATATTTCTCTCCTAAATGAATCTTTTCTAATAATTTCTTGTTTCAACTGAGCATTTTTGTCAATTTCAATACACCTTTTGTGGCGCCGAAGGTGCCAAAAAATCTATTTTTTGCGCCGCAGGCGAAAATTTTGAGAATTTTGGAGGTCCTTAAGCCAGATTTCTTCCATTTTTTGCGCCGCAGGCGAAAATTTTGAGAATTTTGGAGGCCGAAGACCAGAAAATTCACTTTTTTGCCTAATCCCTTCCCCAATTTCATTTTCAATCAAAAAAAAGTATATACTTTCAAAAAAGTATAAATTCAATTTCGTAAGCATGCAGGTCGATTTAAAAGTAGAATACTTTTAAAAAAGTAGGAATGCGAACCCTGTACTAAATCCTTAATTTCTAAGTATTTTAAATGCCGGCCAGCTGAATTCCCCCGTCATCCTTACACTTTCATAATTAAAAATCATATGAGAATATAGAAAAGTCATGAGTAAAGAGGACACACGCACTTTTAGCCAAAAAGTGCAAAAGGAAATGCCCTCATGATATAGGGCATTTTTGGGATGTGAAAAAGAAATTTAAAAATTTTCAAAAGTCCTTCCCTATTTTTAATATTTTCGTCATTCTTATAAATTAATAAAGCTGGGGAGGTTAGGAAATTCACGTGAAATGTCCAAAGTTTAAACTCGAATGGAATCCTTATTTACACTTTCATTTACTTAGAATTTTCTTCATTTTTAAAGAAAACCAAAAAAATTTAAAGAAAAATTTAAAAAAATTGTTAAAGATGATTTTCCCCATTCAACTTTTGCCTTGTTCCTATTCCATATTTATTTTTATATATTTTGATTGTATGTTAACAAGCTTTATAAAAGGTGGTTAAAATTATACAAGGGAATTTTAAAGGGATTATTTGTCTGAAAGCTGGAGTCTTCTTATCTTTAGGCAGGGATAGAATGCATGGTTCGACAAAATATATTGAGAAAACAAGAATTCCCCGGTCCGCCACTTTTTTACTTGATTAAAAGCTCGAATTAGCTTTTCTCCCCACACTCAATTTTGTTCTAAAGATTTTCAAAAATTTTCTTTAACTTTATAGGCGAATTCAATTCTCAATATGAAATTGTCAACGACAACCAACTTCGCAATAAAAGATCACCTCCAACATATTGGGGAGAATCTACAAAACGTTTAATAACAATTCCAATATTAGCTGGTAGTTTTGCGCTAATGGATAAATTTAAAGGAGAAAAACAGGCAAATCAAAGGGAGATATTAAAACATGAAACGAGTAAATTTACAAAATAATTTTTTAAAGAAATTCGATTTTTTAGTAGAACAACAAAAAATAGAAGAAAAACAAGAACAACAAAATATTTTTCCTAAAATAAACCAAATTTTAATGAAATCTCCCCAACAATCAAACCATAACATAGGAAAGGATATGTTGGAAATGGTTACTGCTGGGTAAGCGAAAGTAATTATCGGGTCTGATGGTGGCACAGCGGTCATAGGGTTAGCGAATCAAGGGAAATCCCTGGATATACAAAAAAATTTTGATATCAGGATTTAGGAGCACCCTACCCTAATCGGCGTATTCTTTTGGAGAACTCGAGCCATCAGTCTCAAAACTGTGATATTAATCACTCCAGCTCGAACCAAACACATTGGTGGGAGATTGGAGACTCTTAAACGAAGTTTAAAAACTTGCGGTGAAGTTGAGATTTATTTGGGTCCCTTTCCACAATCCTAAAAGTATTTTTTCTGACTATATCTGAAACAAAAACTTTAATTAAGACTGCAAAAAAGAGGAGTAAAAATACCACAAAAGGCGCAAAAGGTTATCAAAAAATATTCCAAACATTTTCAAAAAATTGGGCAATCACCAGATGATGTTGAGGGGCAATCAGAGCCCCAAGACAATGTTGAGAATAAAAATATTAAAAATGATATTGAGCATATGAATGAAAAAGAAGAGGAAATTTTTAAACATTTGATGGAAACAAGGAGTAAATTTCAACAAAAGAATAAAGAGAAAAACGGGGAGAAGAATGGAAATGGTAACTTTAAGGGGAATAATTCATGTCAAGGAGGCTACTCCTACTACTTAATTTTAGATGATTAATCAGTGTTATTGGTCTTGTTTCTTAGATCCTGGGCTCCTTTTGTATTTCTTGGCATTTATGGGAATGCTTGCTTTGATACATTAACGGTCGAAAATTTGTCTGGAGCGTCAAAAAATAATTTCCTTGTTGAAAGAAATTTTTTCCTGTGGGTCGAAAGGTTGTCTCGAAACTTGTATTATAATTGAGTTTAGAACCAAGACTTTTATGGTTTGTCGGATTCGATTAACCGACACTACTTCAAAGAAAATAGAAAAATATTTATTTTTCAATATTTTTAGCAAAGGACATGACAGAATTCTACCGAAAGTATGCTAAATTAATAGCAAACAAAGACCCAAAAAGGAAAGATGTTGGCATTGGTCCTCAATTCTGGAAACAAATAGAAGATAAAACAACCGAAAAAGAGAAAGATGACGAGAAAAAAGAATAAAAGGAATTAATCAGAAAATTAAGAAAAAAATATAAAAAATTATGTATATATTTTGTATATAATATTCATTTAAAAAATATTTAAAAATTTTGTAGTAAATGAAAAAAGATAAATTTCGATTATACTCCTAAAGTCCCAATCTTTCTAATGTCGCTCTTCTTGTTATAGTTAGGGAAAAAATCGTGAAGGCTCTAATGATTTGCAGATATTTGAGGATTTTGTAAGCATATTCAAAAGAGCCATGTCAAGCTCCCTTTTATGCCTATCTAATATTTATTAGAATTGGAACGAAGTTTTTTTTGGAGGAACAGAACCTAGTTTTGTTTAAAGGGTTTTAGACCTGAAAATCTGGACTGGATCGAGTCAAAATCGAGTTTACGAGTTGGATCGAGTTTTCTTATTCATTTTTTTCTTGTTTAAAAAAATTAAAAAAACCCTTTAAAATCAACATAAGCAAAGCCTGTAATAGCCACTCGATCAGGTGATCCAGTAACTGGTTGAACATCCAAACAAGAAATTACTTTAATTCCAAGAAGCCGTTTTCCAGGAGTACAACCAACCGGGACACCAAAAGTAATACATAAAGCCTGTTTTAAAAAAAATTATTTTCTTTGATAATTCTAAAAATGTGCGATGAATAGATAAAATATGAGTTTTTCCTTATTTTTACATTAGTAAAAGAATTTTTGGGGTTCATGGGATTTTCTAATACTCACATAATCGAAAAGCATGGAAGAGTTTATTCTTGGGTTCAGGCCCTCAACCAGTATTTTTCGGAGGGAAGGAGGGAGGGGGGGGGGGAATTAGAAAGAAATAATTTTCGAAAATTTTTGTAAAATTCCCTTTAAAAATGAAAAACCTCAATAATAGCCGTAACAAGTTTAAATAACAATTCAACACTAAAAAGTCCTTGTGTAACATCAATCAAGGTTTGAAGATCAGCATTAGCAGTTAAAATACTATCAAATGTATCCAATTCTCTAAAATTTTAATGAGAATTTTTTTAGAAAATTAAAGAAGAAATTAAGCTATTCAAAGGAATGAACTTCCACACATTTAATTAATAAATTAGAAAAGTTTTACGGACTTGAGAGGATAAAAAAATTGTGGAGATAAAAAAGAATCAAAAAATTGCAAGTTATCGAAGTGTCCGCAAATATTCGCGGATTTGATTTTTAATAATTAAGTAGAGGAGGGGAATTATGAGGATTTTTACCAATAAATAATCCTCAAATTTGTATTCTCAAAAAGTAAAAATTGTGGACAAAAATTTACAAAAAAAAAACTTTGCGGACTCTTACAAGGAAATTACAGGTTGAGAAAAAAGGAAGGGTTCGGTTCGGTATTTTTAGGTTTTACTTCCTAAATCCAAGGACCCCTCAACATTTTTAGGCGAATCACTATTCTGGGGACTATACTGAAAGAGACCTAAAGAAAGGCTCATTGTCATAGTTAAATTTATGAAACGCCCATTTTAGCGCCTCATAAAAGGCGAGAGAGAATAGGCCAAATCAACTTATTCACTCACTCAGAAAAGTTTTGGGCCCGATCAAAAGTTGGCCTGTCCTCTCTCCCTTTTATTAATTATATTTGTTGAATAAAAAGTTAAAAAGAAGGCCTTCGTTTTTAATAGGTGGATCGGCGCGCCCCAAGGGTGGGTTTCCACTCTTGGGGCCCAACGTCGACTAGCTCCTGTAAAAAGGAGTTAGGGAAATATAAGATGGCGCTCCTGTAATTTTCTCCACCTAATAAAAAAATTCCTACCCCACCCAAAAAATATTTCTAAAAATATTCTTAAAATATTTATTTAAAAAAATTATTCCTTCTTCCCATCAATCAAATTCACAATTTTGGCGAGCGGAAAAAATTTCTTATTTAAACAAGTTTTTTGGTATTTATTCTTTTGCAGCAACGGTCCGGAAGTGGGCAAAAAGGGAAGAATGAGCGTAACGCCTAAATTTCTTATCACAAGAATTACAACCACTTCTTGTGATATTACAACAAAAATTTTTTTGCGCGAACGAGTTTTAGGCGTGACTGAAGTAAAGGAAAAATTAATATAAAAAGGAGTTTAAAATTAACCACTTTGGCTCACATTTGATTACTGAAGAGCCGAATAGGAGCGAGGGAATTTTCAAACGGATTCATTCATCAAGGATACACAAGGATTTTTTACACAGACGGATTAATTCAAAGGATACACGGAGGGAGCAAACGGATAAGAAGGGAAATAAACACATAAAGGATATTCTGAGGATAATATCGATAAAGAGAAGGGGGTAAAAGGCCAGAGCGGAGGAGTTCAATTGGAGCAGAAAATTTTAGTTTGGAGTTGATTGTTAAGTTCAAAGCATTTGAAGTGAGAGAAGGATAAAGGTGGGAAGGATAAAGGACACTTATTCGCGGATTTTGGAAAATTCTGGATTTAATCTCTTGAATCAGGCCTCTAGTAGAATTTTATAGCCAGTCTTGGAATCAAAGCTAAGAAAACGTGCACGTGGAGTAAATTAATTGATAAATAAAAGCTCGAATCTTTTTCCTAACAGATCAGGGGTGATTACTGCAGAATCACTTCTGGTTCCCCTACTGTGGGCAAAAAGCTAGCTAAAAGAGGAGATATTATTTGAAGTGTTAGGAAAAGTCGAGCAGTGGAATAAAATTGGGAAAAAAATATAGAATAAATCAAGTCCGGACGAAGACTGTCTAGAGAAATTAATAGAAGGCTTCTGATGAAAGAAGAGGATATTTCAGGACAGGAAGGGGAAAATACAAAGGATAAAGGGGATAATATTGGTACGAGCTCAAGTGGACTTCCATACCCTACCTTCTTTAATGGCACAGGAGATTTTTTGAGCTATCTAAGGACTTTCAACCGGATTGCAACTGCACATAATTGGACTCCCCCGAGATGTAGCCAGATATTACCACTTTATCTACAAGGGTCTGCACTCGCGATTTACGAATCAATGCCCGTGGATGAAAAATCGCGGTGGAAGACACTTGTAGAAAGCTTGGCAGGGAGGCTAAAAAAGATATCAAATAAGGAAAGCGCACGCAAAAAATTAGTGGAAAGAAGACAGGAAGTGGGCGAAGGATTAGAAGAATTTTCAAGGGATTTGATGAATCTAGTAGAAGCGGCTTATCCTGAGAATGCGTTTGGAATGGACCTTGCTTCACTTAAATTAAATGACGAACAAATGACAGGCTTGAAGGGGGAAAATGAAAAAATGGTCAAAAGGTTTAAAGAGGAGATTTGCATGGAAAGATTTAAGGCCGGACTCTTACCTGAACTTAGGGAAAAAGTTATTTTTATGAAAGCGCCCTCTTCTTTGGCCGAAGCAATAGCGCAAGCAAAAAGGGTTGATGAATTAAATCGAACAATTAAAGATGAGACAAGGAAAAGACTGGAGAAAATAGAAGTTAAGGAGGCGCTAGCGGAGGTTAATGAAGTTTGTGATCCATGCCAAAATGATGCACAATATTACTATGAGAAACAATTCATGGAGTCAAACGGATGTAGTGAGAATTGGGGAGAGGATGATGAAAATTGGGGTGAACAGATTGACCAAAATTTTGACCCATACTATGACAATGACCAATATTATGACGATGAAGGCCAATGGTTTCCACATGAGAGTAATGAAAACTGGGGAGAGGAATATTGTCAGGATCAAGGATATCAGAACTGGCCCACGGACGGAACAGATTTTGAGGAGTATTAAAAAACATTTGGCGACGGGATACATTTTTCGAAATAGACTTATTTGCTGACCCCCCAGGAGAGGAAGAGAAAGTGGATTTTGGCGTTTATTTTTTGACATTTGATTGGATTGGCGCTCCGTTGACACATACATAATTTTTTCCGTTTTTGCCAAAATTTTCTTGATTAAATACAACTAGTGCAGGAATTTGTTGAAGTGAAATTACGTTTTGCGCGGGCTAGATTCGATTGCTAAAAGAATGGAAGCGAAGAATTAGGATGAAATGACGAATACAAGAAAAGATAGATTATGGGATGAAAGAAAATAAGAATTTCATTTCACATTTTTCGCACTTTTATTTATCCGCTTTTTCTGTTGTCCCCCACCCCCCGCGTATAGAATGTCATAGTTAAATTTATGAAACGCCCATTTTAGCGCCTCATAAAAGGCGAGAGAGAATAGGCCAAATCAACTTATTCACTCACTCAGAAAAGTTTTGGGCCCGATCAAAAGTTGGCCTGTCCTCTCTCCCTTTTATTAATTATATTTGTTGAATAAAAAGTTAAAAAGAAGGCCTTCGTTTTTAATAGGTGGATCGGCGCGCCCCAAGGGTGGGTTTCCACTCTTGGGGCCCAACGTCGACTAGCTCCTGTAAAAAGGGGTTAGGGAAATATAAGACTCATAATCAGAAAAAAATTGAGAATGTTGGAGGACTTTCTTAAAAGGCCATCAAAATCTCAAAAATCACCCAAAAAATCGGCAAGTGACTAAAACCCTAAATTTTTCTAATAAAAAAATTCTTACATAAGATCAGCCCTCACAAGAGTATAAACAAGAAAAAATTTGAAAATAAACATAATAACAGAATCAATAGCCTCCGCAGCTATACGTCGAAAAAATGAGGGAATTTCGAATTGCTGTACAATTATTGTTTGGGGCTTTAAAAAATATTTTTTTTAGTTATCAAAAATTAATTTAAAAAAATACAATGTTAGGCGTTGCCCTAGCTGTTCGAAAAATTCTTGTAAGATTTAGTCGAATTGTTTGACCTCTTTGTAGAAATGGGGAAGGCGACTTAAAAAATGAGTGTAAAATTAAAGAAAAATAATTTTAAGGAATATTTAAGCAAATCAAAAACAAGGGATTATTTGAGGATTTTTATCTAAGGGTTTTTAAATTAAAATTTGTTTGGAATAAATTTGTCCGCAAATATTGTCTGCAAAAATTAGAAAAAATATAGAATGGTCCAAAAATAAGTATTGGGTGCCTAAATCCGTTTGAAAAACTTTTTAAGGTAAATTTATGGATGAAACCAAACAAAAATCCGCAAAGATTTAAAAATCCAAGCAAGAATAAAATCTCAGAATTTAAGCTTGAGCTACTAAATAATATCTGAGAATTTTGAAATTTGTCTGTCCCCTTTTTATTTTACCTCAAATCCTCCCTCGTATAACTTGGGCAAATTGTAAATCAAAAAAGAATTAAATTTATTGAGTTTTCTCACAAAAAGAAGGATTTGAGGGAAAAGAAAAGACGCGATATATAAAATTCCCTAAGACTTTATAAATTAAAAATAAATACTTGTTGTTGTTGCATCAACATCGCAGTCTGTTGTTGCTGCAAAAAAGTATTTGTCCAAAACGAGGCCATCATTTGCTGTTGAGCCATACACCAACGAACAGATTGGGACCATTTATGGACCTAAATATTCCCTGTTTAAAATTCAAAATTTCCAAATAAAAACCTCTTGGACATAAGCTGCAGCAGAGCCATAATCTTTTTTAATTTCATTGGGTAAGTTAAATTTATTGTTATTAAATTCTTTTTTAGTAGAGGATGACATTAATTTTTAAATAAATTAAAATAAAATTCTCCGTTAGAAATGTATGTTAAACTTCAATGAATCACGTAAGCTGATGTGTACTTTTGCTGATTTATGTCAGCTGATGAAACGTTAAAATATATTTAATGACATTAGGTCAATTTTGACCGTTATGACCATTTGTATGTTTGACATTTTGAAAGTTTTCTTCTTTGTGTCATTTTGTCAAGCGAGCAAAATGGACAATATTGTGATTATATTTTGTTAATTTTCTTGTTTTTAAACATTTTGTCCACAAATTTTCTGGCATATTTTTTAATTTTGTATTTCTTTTTAAATATTTTAAAAGAGTTTCTACAATTTTTTTGCAAAAATGGATTATCCAGAGTCCTGATTAATCCGGAGAAATCCGTTCTGGCTCTTGTTACAACTCCGTAATCCTGAAAATTTGTTATAGCAGGTAAACTAATTTAAATAATCTCAGATTTTTGGAAATAATTCTTAATGATTTTTTCTTTCAGAATATTTTTAATTAAAAATTCTACAAAATGTCTGAAGGAGGTTTATCAAATTCTGATTGGATTTTGGTTGGAAAAAAGAAAAATAATTTAGTTAAAAAGACAAATGATTTGTTTAGCAAAAATACTGGGAATTTGATTAATTTGAATAATTGTGTGGTTAGTTTATAATTTTAATTAAATGGAAAAAGATAACTTTTTGAAAGGATTTTGTAGAAATTAAAAATAAGTGGAGTAAAATTGAAATTAATGGTGAACCCACCCAATGTTGTGATAATGAATGTATAAATACAAACAAACCTTACGGCAATTGTGTTAAAGGAAATGGTTATGGGAATATAATTAATGGTGAAGACATTGAATATTTCAATTGTTTGGAGGGGAGAAAATGTAAATTAATTGAATTCTGAATTCTTTAGTAAATAATTTTAGGCTTTGATAAATATTTTGGTGTTTATACAAAGAATTCATTCACAAAACCTCAAGGCTGTTTTAAGTACTCTTTATATTATTTTGAAGTCAAATGTATATTTGAAAGAGAATTAAATAGCAACAAAACATATATGAATATTGGGCTTCAAAATTTAAATACAAATAAATTTATTGAATATTCTTCAAGCCGTGCTGTAATTATTAACGAGGGAAGTGAATCTAAGCTTTCACCTGATTTAAATAATAACGATATTTTTGGTTGTGGAATAGTTTATCCTCCAATTAATAAAATAAATGAAGAATTTCCTTATATTTTCTTTACACAAAATGGCAAACAAATTGGTAAATATATTTAATTAAAAATGTTTTGCAATTATATGTATTTTTAAGGTAAAGCAACTTTATTAGACAATTTTGACTCATATAAACCATTTGTTTGGCTGCGATGTTGTTCCGTCGAAGCTAATTTTGGAAATGATTTGGAGGCGAAACCATTTAAATATGACATTTCGAAGATTCAATTCTTAAAGAATTTTATTGAAAATATTTTATGATTACTTTTTTTGTTTTTTATTTATTTCTTAGGTTAAAAATGTTTAACTTTGCTAAATTTTTCTTTATGACATTTCTGTCAAGCCGTAAAAACGGATAATACAGTGCTGTTCAAAATTATAAGCGCACCTGAAAAAATTGAATAACTCGGGGCTTAGTTATCCAAATATTATTAAATTTTGATTTAAAATACTAAAACGTATTAGAAATATGTTGACATTAAAAGATTTTGAAATTATACATTTAAATTCGAAAAATTCAAATTTTTCAATAAATTTACCTGTTCAAAATTATAAGCGCACTTTGGATTTTCGTGTTTCTAACATTAGGAAAAATCTACAAAAATTTGAGCAAGCATATCTATCGATATTAAGAACAAATGAAAAAGAATTAGGCCCATATCTCATTTCAATGTCGAGATCTCGATACCCTGAAAATAGGGGTAAAATAGGGGTAACTCTTTAAAAAATATTTTCGACCCCATATGATTATTTTGAAATTTCTATTTAGGCTTATTTGATAGCCCTTGAAATTTGCTACAAGATAGCCTAAATATTTTTTTCCAAAAAAAATATTTAGATTGGTTATTAAGAGTTAAATTTTCATGTCTCCAAAAACAACTAAATGCCCAATAAAATGGTCTTTACGGTCGCTTCGGAAGATTAATGTAATATATCTTTCAAATGAATTTTTTCTGGAAAATAAGATTAAGGCTATCTCATAGCAAATTTCAAGGGCTATCAAATAAGCCTGAATAGAAATTTCAAAAGAATCCATATGGGGTCGAAAATATTTTTCAAAGAGTCTTACCCCTATTTTACCCCTATTTTCAGTGTATCGAGATCTCGACATTGAAATGAGATATGGGCCTAATTCTTTTTTATTTGTTCTTAATATCGATAGATATGCTTGCTCAAATTTTTGTAGATTTTTCCTAATGTTAGAAACACGAAAATCCAAAGTGCGCTTATAATTTTGAACAGGTAAATTTAGCGCGTTTATTGAAAATTTTGAATTTTTCGAATTTAAATGTATAATTTCAAAATCTTTTTTGTCAACATATTTCTAATACGTTTTAGTATTTTAAATCAAAATTTGATAATATTTGGATAACTAAGCCCCGAGTTATTCAATTTTTTCAAGTGCGCTTATAATTTTGAACAGCACTTTATTACCGAATAAGTTTTGTCATTTCTCCTTTGTTTGACCATTTTGTCCTCCATTGCTTTTATGCTTTTCAAAAAAAATTTCTGGCATTGTAAATACTTGAATAAGTGAGAATTAGAGCTAGGAATTTTGAAAAAACCGGGTCCGGGTAACGGGTTCTGAAAAATGGACCGACCGGGTTCCGGGTCCGGGAAAACCCGTTCCCGGTTTCAACCCGGTCTAGAAATAGGCGGGTCCCGGCCGGGAAACCGGGTAATTTTTAATTTGTTGAAATGGGGCTGTATTTTTCCACATGGGCTGTATTTTTCAACTATCCTCCTATACTTATTCTAAATAACCTCTATTAATGCAAGTATTGCCATCACGATTATTTAACTCAAGATAAAATTCCCTTTTCTGAAACATAAGTTCATCGACTGCTGCCTTTTGTTCTTTCGTACTTGGGATTAATGGAAAAATTCAAAGAAATACTACAGAAGTCTATTAACTTCGACAGCCGTAGGCGAAAAATTTGATTTTTCATCGCAGAGGCGAAAAATTTGAGAATTTTGTAAGGCCTTAGGAGAAAAAATTCAATTCTCAGAGCGGCAGATGAAAAAATTTTTCGAAGTTTAGATGGTAATGAAGCCAGAACTCTTAAATTTTCTGCGCGAAGGCGAAGATTTTGGAAAATTCATGATTAAATTAAAATTTCTAATATTTTTTCAAGTTTAAGGCATTAAAAAAATAAATTTGCAAATTTAAAATCGAAATCAAAGTTTAAAATCATTTTTTTTGTCAAGAAAATTTTCTCAGCCCCATTTCCATACATGGATTTGAACCCCATCCCTATTAAATTGACTAGATGAGTGAAATCAGCCAACTTAACCACTCAACCATCGTCCAATGAAAGTAAACAATGGAAATTATAAATATTCCTTTCCCTTTTCCTTCTAAAATTTAATATCAAAGTACGCAAATACACTAAATATTTTTCCCGGTATAAAAATGGCCGGGACCGGGTAACGTGTTCTGAAAAATGGACCGGCCGGGTTCCGGGTCGTGAAACCGGGAAAACCCGTACCCGGTTTCAACCCGGTAACTTTAAAAAACCCGGGAAAACGGACCCGGAAACCGGTTCCTAGCTCTAGTGAGAATAAGTTACGGCTACTTTTTTGCCCTTTCGGATTATTTATAACCGGATTAATCCAGATAAATTCGTCCAGATCAGGGAATCTAGCTACAACTCCGGATCCAAGTCCGACAAATTTGTTATATCGGAGTCTACTAATTTACATAGGATCTCCTTAGATTTTAGGGCATTTTTTAATTCTTTTTCTGCTTTTAGAATATTTTAATTGAAATTATTTGCAAAATGACTGAAGGATTATCAACAACTTCTGATTTGGAATTAAAAATGGCTGAAAACAATCTTGAAATAAAATTTTTTGAAGAAAAGGTTTTGAATCTTGAGAAGAAAAATTATTTTATTGAAAAGAATAATTTTTTGCTTGAAAATAAATTGAAGGAAATGGATAAAGTTTGGATTTATTTTAAGGAATATTTTTTAAAATTAATTTTAGAAAATTCAAAAAATTAATTTTGACCATAAAAACGAAATTGAGGAAATGAAACAAAATTTTCAAAAATTAATTGAAGAAAAATTTCAAAAATTACAAGCTGAAAATGACATTTGTTTAATGAAAAAAGATGAGAAAATAAATTTTTTGGAAGAAGAAATCGAAAAGGTAATTCAATACGTATCAGTTTCTATATATACAAAGTACTGATTTTTCGAATAAAGAACTGAAGATGAAGGATTTCTAAATATTACCTTCTTTTGTAATACTAATTTACAAAATAACTGGGAGAAAATGGCAAAAGGGCTCATTGAATTTAATACATTTTTAGGGAATACAAAAGAATTCTTGCCATGAAAATGAAATTAAAAATTTAAAACAAAATTTTCAACAACTAATTAAAAACAATAAAGAATTGAAGGCTGAAAACGATATTTCTTTACAGAAGAAAGATGGGAAAATAAATTTTTTGGAGGAAGAAATTAAAAAGGTAAATAATTAAACTAGACTTTAATCCAATTCTTGACAATTTAATTTTGTTAAAATAGGAGAAAGGGGGAGAAAGAAGAGAGATAACGGTAATTCCAAGGCTGGCCCCCCCCTTTTTTTTCCTTTCTATTTTTTTTCGATTATTTAAACTTTTTATGGCAAATTACATATCATTCGAAAGAGCTCTTCGAACTGAGTCGAACGGTACTAGATTCATCGAAATCCGACTTAAATAAACATAGAAATGAGCATTTGTTTTAATCCCTTTCCGCATCACAAAAAGCACGTCATTCGAGGATTTAGCTTCATAAATCTGTTCAGATTCGCCAAATCTAACCTATCATAGTATCATTCTACTCAGCTCTAACAGCTCTTTCGAATGATATATTGAAAATTATATGCCAAGCAAAAAAGCTCAAAATGGTCAGGGGAACAGAAAAAAAGGGGGGACCAGCCTTGGAATTACCGAGATAACTGTTGAATTACTAATAAAATATTTTATAAAATTAATTAAAATTTATTTAAAAAGGCAAATTTTTCTGTGAGTAGTGATTTACCAAATAAATTGAACAATGTAGACTGTAAATCTGTGGTCAGTTTATAATTAAATACAAAAATTATTAAATAATTTTCTAAAAAGAATTTTGTCAAAATTAAAAATAAATGGGGTAAATTTGATGGTAAATGTTGTGAAAATAATTGTATAAATATAAACAAACCTATTGGTAATTGCATTGAGGGAAATGGATTTATCAATATAATTAATGATGAAATTATTAAATATGTGATGGGGAATGGAGGTATATAAATTATTAAATGTTTTTTTGTAAATATTTTTTAGTTTTTGATAATTCTGTTCGCGTTTATGCAGAAAATTCATTCAACAACCCGCTAGATTCTTTTAATTATTCTTTATATTATTTTGAAATTAAATGTGTATTTAAAAGAGAATTAGATAGTGGAAAAACATGGATGGTTATCGGTCTTGAAAATTTAAGTACAAATAATTGGATTAGATTTGTTGCATTTAATGGTACAATTATTAACGAAAAATCATTTAAAGTTTCAACTTCTTTTAATGATAACGATATTTATGGTTGTGGATTAGTTTTTCCTCCAATTAATAAAATGAATGAAGAATTTCCTTATGTTTTCTTTACACAAAATGGAAAACAAATTGGTAAAATTTAATAAAAAATTATCTTTGCAAAGATTGTTTTTTAAAGGTAAGGCTACATTATTAAAGAACAATTTTGATACATATGAAACATTTGTTTGGCTACAGTGTTGTTCTGTTGAAGCTAATTTTGGAAGTAATTTGGAGACTAAACCATTTAAATATGATATTTCTAATCATTCAATTATTAAAGAATTTTATTGAAAATATATATTTTTTTTTTGATTTTTTTTCAATTTAAAATTTTTTTTGACTTTTTTTGTTAGATAGGCAGATGGTTATCTTAAGTTTATCTCAAATAATTTGAAGGATATACTTTAGCCGGTGGCCGGTTCGAAACCGATTCGAAATATATACCATTCGATTCGTCTCGGCGATCTGAGTCGAATGGTACCACTCCCAGGGTGCGGAAACGCCTGTGGACCGAAATATAGGTCCCCGAAAATCGAAAAACCATAGGGGGGAGTAAGCTCAATTTTGGGGTGAAAAAATCGATTTTTTGAATGATAGCTCATTCGAAAGAGCTCGACGAGTTGAGTCGAATGACACCAAAATCACCGTGATCGAACAAGAATAGACAAAGTTATGACACAAAAAACAAAAACCTAAACCTATGGAGTGTCGGCGAGGCGCTTGTGCAAAACTCCGCGCTTCGCGCGGAGTTTTGCGGCACGCGCCTCGCGGGGAGTCTACGGGCGTTGGGTCTGGGCTCGTAACATAAACCTATTCCTATCTCCCTTGCATTGGACGTATTTGGGGCCTCCGTATCAGCAAAAATCTCCACAGATGCCATAGGTAAGGAGCTAAAATAAAAGATCATAACTTTGTCTAATCAAGTCGAATTTCGTTGATTTTGGTGTCATTCGACTCAGCTCGAGGAGCTCTTTCGAATGAGGTATCATTTGTATAATCGAATTTTTGACCCCAAAAATCAGCTTGGTCCCCCCTTTGGTTTTTCGATTTTCGAGAGCCCGTATCTCGGTCCACAGGTGTTTCCGCACCCTGGGAGTAGTACCATTCGACTCAGCTCGCCGAGACGAATCGAATGGTATATATTTCGAATCGGTTTCGAACCGGCCACCGGCTAAAGTACAGCCAATTTGAATATTCCTCAGTTTAACATTTCAGTAATTCTTCGACATTTCGTCCATTTTCTTACTTCTGACCATTTTGTCCTCTATTGCTTTTGTACGCTTTTCGAAAAATTGAAAAGAATAGTAGTCGTTTTGTAAATTCGCCAATTTTTGGACATTTTGTCGATTTTCCTTTTGTTTACATTTTTACAATTTTGCTTGGCTTGGTTTGAGTTTTTTGATTTTTTTGCAAATTTTTTTTCATTTTTTAGAAAGCTTAAATGAATTCTTTTAATCTTTTCAATGACGTAGCTAAAGAAGGAAATTGTTTAGATATAGAAGGCACCATTGAGAGTATTGTTGAAGACTTGGTTGACAAAATTTGTTTGAAAGAGGATACTAAAGAAGAAGAAAAACAACAACAGGAACAGGAGCAGCAATCAACAAGCAATAACAACTCTTTAATATTGAAAGAAGAATGTTTACAATTACAAGTTGGGGAGTTTCTTAGTGATGCTATTTCCTTGGCTTTGGAAGATTTTGTTGGTGAAGAAAATGCTAGAGCGAAAGATGCGGAAGCTTTATTGGGTGGATGCTTGGATTTAGTTTGCACTTATCCTGAGGTTTCCTTTTTTTGTATGGGTGCGGGCTTTTTTGAAAAAATCCTGTTCGGTGGGAATTCAAAAATCAAACAATTACTTTGTTGGAAGGGGTTCGAACCATTGGCATCAATTCACCAGAACAGTATTTTAAGCCACTACACCACGCTGATTGCCTTTTTTTAATTGCCTTTATATTCTCGACTGCTTGGCTCGGATTGGTCTCGGCTATAATCTTTCCTTTTCTTACTACTTTTACTTTCTTTTCTAAAGGGAAATTAATGATATAATTTAAACTTCAAGATAACGGAAAAAAGGAACATTTACTCATTTTAGAAAAATTTTGACAAAAAATTGGAGAGCTAAAGGCTTTCTTGATTGTCTACTTTAGTCTAATTTGCCTTCCACTCTTTAAAACTTAATAAACTTTTAACATTTTAGGGTTACAAACCTCGCCAACCTCTTTATTCTTGCAAAACTTGTTCAGCACAAAATGGTGGCCAATTAGCTGGAGTTTGTTATGCTTGTTGTGAGAATTGTCATGAAGGACATGATCTTGTTGAATTGTATACAAAACGGAATTTTTGTTGTGATTGTGGAAATTCAAAGTTTGGAAAGCTGAAATGCAAACTTTTTGAGGTTTTTTTAAATTTGTTTGAGAAGTTGGGTCAGACCAGTATTTTAATCCACTACACTACGCTGCCTCTTGAGATTCAATTTTAAAAGGGTAACCCTATTTATGGTTACCCTTTTATTTATTTTACACTTACATGGGAAGGTTGCGAGGTGTCCGAGCTAAAAACGGTCGAGACCGGGCTCATTCGATAGAGAATGTGCCCTTTCTAGCAAGGATTTTTTGCCGTTTTTGCCCGTTTTTTGATTTGGCCAAGATATGGCCCTCCAAAGTCCCAAAATTTGGCATTATTTTCCCCCTTTAAATATAAACTTTAAATAATGCGTTAATTTTGTTGGCGCGGTGGTGTAGTGGTGAGTGCTCTTGCGTTATTCTTTTTTTCTAAAAAGTTCGATTCTTTTTTGGGTTTTATTTTTTTTATCTAATTGTTTTAAACATTATTTATTCCTTTTTCAACAATAAAAAATTTTTTTCAACAAAAAAATTTTTTTTGAAGAAAATTTTTTTTGAAAAAAAATTTTTTTAATTATTTTTTTAATTTTTTAAACCGGGCACATCAAATAAAACTAGATTCCAAACAATTAGGTAGTATTTCATTCAAAAGGGGACGATAATGGAAAACAATAACGGATCGGATGATCGAATTCTCCCGAGGAATCTTCTCTCCACCCAATAACTCGTCAGGATAAAGTATTTAAAAAAAATTTTTCCCAAAAAAAAAAAATAAAAAATTTTTTCAAAAATTTTTTTGTTGAAAAAAATTTTTTATTGTTGAAAAAGGAATAAATAATGTTTAAAACAATTAGATAAAAAAATAAAACCCAAAAAAGAATCGAACTTTTTAGAGAAAAAGAATAACGCAAGAGCACTCACCACTACACCACCGCGCCAACAAAATCAACGCATTATTTAAAGTTTATATTTGAAGGGGGAAAATAATGCCAAATTTTGGGACTTTGGAGGGCCATATCTTGTCCAAATCAAAAAACGGGCAAAAACGGCAAAAAATCCTTGCTAGAAAGGGCACATTCTCTATCGAATGAGCCCGGTCTCGACCGTTTTTAGCTCGGACACCTCGCAACCTTCCCATGTTAGTAGAGTCCGTCACATTAAAAAAAATATTAAAAATGCTTAAGAATTTTTACTAATTTTTAAATTCCGTTTTATTAGATTCAATTTTAAGCTTAATCATAATGACCTTTCCTAACGCTTACCATTTTTAAAAATTAACCAAACTGTCCAAATATACTTTTTTAAATATTTGTTACATTTGTATACTTTTTAATCCATTTAATTTAACCAAATTTAAGGAGAAAGACCCACTCAATCAACGCAATATCTACAATGACAATTTCAAAGGGATTTTCTGTGTTTGTAAAAAGCCTTATCCTCCAGAAGAGGAAGAAGAAGAAGGAAAAAATGATGATGCTTTTGAAGATATGGTGCAATGCCAAATTTGTGAGGATTGGTTTCATCCTTCGGTATTTTAAATGTTTTCTTTGAATAGAAACTTGGATAGTCTTGCAAAGACCATGGGAATTAGGATGAAATATATTCTATTCTAGTTCTGTGAGAAATCGTATTATAAGTTTCCCCGTTCCCCCTCATGTAAGCTGATGGAGTCTAGATTAAGTGGCCATCCCAGGAATTAGTATTCTACCACAAACCAGTGATTTTCATGTTTGCTTTATAATAATTAGGCTTTGTGTAAATTTCGACTACCTTAAATTAAAAACTTTGGATAGTATTAGAAATTTGTTAGAATTAATTTTTTAAAGTCTTGCCTAAAAAGAAAAATATTTTTCCATAATATCCCTTTAAGTTTAAATTTTTTAATTTCCAAGCATGCTATTTCTGACGTTACTGAACGCTTGAAACTTGATAGAGAAAGGGAGGAGGAAGAAGATGGGGGCTTTTGTTTGATTTGTTCTCTCTGCATTCAAAAACTTCCATGGCTTATTTATTATTCAAATAAAATTGAAGGAAGCGAACAACAAAATTGTTGCAAATTAGAATTATTAAAGAATTGTTCAGATGGAATAAATAAAGGAAATGATGGAATTTGTTTTCCAATTAATTGGCGTGATCAGCTTTGCCGTTGTAAAGAATGCAAGGTTTTTTATAAATTATTTTTAAAGGATAGGTAGGTATGTTAAGGGATGAAATCACTCTAATTTTACAATTAGGGAAATTTTTGTTTTGGATAATTTTATTTTTCCGTCTGGTATTTTTTAAAGAAATGATTTTATCAATACTTGATGACAATATAAATTCCAATTTATAATTTTTTGGAATCACGAAATATTTTATAAATTAAAACTCATTTTTTGGAAAATGTTTTTTAAAATATTAGATATTTTGGAGCCGTACAATTAATATTAAAAAATTTAGTGGGTTTTCTATTAAACAAGAAGAAGTCTAAAAACTTTTAACTTTTCTGTTAATCAGATCTTTTTTTAGGTTTTATATGAAGACTCGGATTGCCAATACCTTTTGGAAGTTGAAGATACTTTGGAATATTTTGAAAAACAAAATCGTGAACAAATGGCTGCTAAATCAAATTCTCAAGATGATAAAAACAAAAAGAGGAAACAGGTGGAAGATACACAATTGCAAAGAGAATTGGCTTTAAAAATGACTACAGGTTTGTTTAAAATTTTTGTTAAAAACTCAAAGAAGACAGTTTATAAAAGGTTTGATGTTGGCACGTTAAAAGTAGGAGATCTGGATAGGATCTCCTGCTTTGCTTTTTTTGGTTTTTCGGCCTTTAAATTTTTTAAAATTTTCTTTAGGAATTGAACAAATGAAGCGTCATTGTATTGCCTTTTTCTCACAACGTTCAGCAAGCAAACGTAACGGTGAAACAGTTATTACTAAAGAAGATGTTGCTGATTGTTTTCACGAATTGATGGTTAAAAGACAAAAACTTATGGAGGACGAGGAAGAAATGGATGCAAAAAAATTTTCTTGGACGGAGGTTTTTTTGAAAAATTTTTGAAAATTTTTTTTTAATGTTTAGTGAGCTCAAGATTTCTTTTTGATAAAAATGGAAGTGGTTTTATTCAAAAATGGAATGAATTGGAATTAAATAAACGGGAATCTCTTTTTGTATTTTTCTGTTTATTACTAATTTGAAAATATTATTTTCCTCTGTCTTTGACTTTTCGGATTTTTTTCCTTAATTTCAAGGATCAATTTATTTTAATTGATTTTTTAAGTAAAGGATTTGGCAATAATTGAGAAAAAAAGAGGGCGGGTGGGGAGGGGGGTTATTGAAAAATACCGTTTAAATTAAAACTTCTTTTCCTTTTTTGCAGCCGATTCAATTTATTCTTCACAACAAAAATTTGAATGGCTTCATTCGTTAGTTGCTACAATCGATCTAATTTCGTGGAAAATTCGAATTATTAATTGACGAGGCAGATTTTGAAATTCGATCCAAACTTCTGGATTTAATTTTACATTTATCTGGTCATTGTTCTTTAATCATGGAACAGCAAGTTAATTGGTGATTTGCAAGAAATTGACATTTTTATGATATCTGTCATTTTGGTTTTGATTATTCTGGGTTTACATCAATACAGTAAGAAATCTAATAAATACATAGTAAAGAAAAGAGTAAAAAATATTTAGTGTTTAACAAAAAATCTCCTTTTTAATCCAAACGCATAAGATTAATTCTCAAGTTTTTAACAATTTTATCAAAACCTAAAATTATTTTTAAAAAAATTCAAAAATAATTTACCTCCTTTCTCTTTAAACAATTAATATATTTAATATTTTCATCATCAATTATTTTTCCAAATCCATTTCCTTTGATGCAATTACCAATAGGTTTGTTTGTATTATATTTATACAATTATTGTTACAACAATTGTATCCACCATTAATTATAATTTTTAATTTTAACAAAATTCTTTTAAAAAATCGTTTAACAATCTTAAATTTAATTAATATAAACTAACCAGACATTTACAAGTCAAATTATTTAATTGTTAAATATCCAATCTTTGTAAGATTGACTTGTAAATGTCTGGTTAGTTTATATTAATTAAATTTAAGATTGTTAAACGATTTTTTAAAAGAATTTTGTTAAAATTAAAAATTATAATTAATGGTGGATACAATTGTTGTAACAATAATTGTATAAATATAATACAAACAAACCTATTGGTAATTGCATCAAAGGAAATGGATTTGGAAAAATAATTGATGATGAAAATATTAAATATATTAATTGTTTAAAGAGAAAGGAGGTAAATTATTTTTGAATTTTTTTATAAATAATTTTAGGTTTTGATAAAATTGTTAAAAACCTGAGAATTAATCTTATGCGTTTGGATTAAAAAGGAGATTTTTTGTTAAACACTAAATATTTTTTACTCTTTTCTTTACTATGTATTTATTAGATTTCTTACTGTATTGATGTAAACCCAGAATAATCAAAACCAAAATGACAGATATCATAAAAATGTCAATTTCTTGCAAATCACCAATTAACTTGCTGTTCCATGATTAAAGAACAATGACCAGATAAATGTAAAATTAAATCCAGAAGTTTGGATCGAATTTCAAAATCTGCCTCGTCAATTAATAATTCGAATTTTCCACGAAATTAGATCGATTGTAGCAACTAACGAATGAAGCCATTCAAATTTTTGTTGTGAAGAATAAATTGAATCGGCTGCAAAAAAGGAAACGAAAAGTTCTAATTTAAATGGGTCTTCCACTATTTTGTGGATGAAAACTAGATTTAATTTCCTTCAAAAACTATTGCCATATCCTTTACTTCAATATTATTTTTTTGATTTTTCCTCTTTCGATTTATCATTTTTTTTTGATATTTTATGCCGGTAATAAATATATGTAATAATTTTTGACTTTTAAATATTTTTTTAATTTAATTTAAATATCTTTTTAAATTTATAAAAAATTATTTTCTTAAAATCAGATTAGATAAAATTTAAAAGAAAAACAATTCAAGATGGGTCGACTGAAAAAGACACAAAAATTTAGCAATAAACTTCAACGATTGATAAAGCCAACGGATGACAGAATGTTTGTTTATTTTTTAATCATTTTAGGGGTGGATATTTTTGAGGTTTAAAAGCTTAAAATGTTTACTGGGAGAGCACCTCATCAACAGCTTGATCGGTAGACCATCGGTATTTGGTTAGCGAAATCGCCTTAATTATCGATTTTATTAATTTATATTCATTACCAGGAATTCCAAAACCAATTCCTAATTTTCTGTTATTTCCTTTTAAATTTTTTTCCTTTTCATTCCGTCTCATGCCTTCCGGAATTAAAAAATACGTAGAAACGATCAACGGAACTATTCATAATTTTTGGTCACAAGACTAGATTAATTCGTAATTTTTATGGAGAAGAGAAAATAATAAAATACTATGTAAAGTTGGGGAGTAAACGAAAAGGATAATGGAAGCATTTTTACCTTGTTTATTTTTAAAATTAATTTTTCCAGTAAAGAAGAGCATCGAACTGTTCGACCTAAAAAGGAAGACGAGCAAGCATTAAAAATCAAAGAAGCGTAATTATTTTTTAAATTTTATTTTTTATTTAAAATTTAAAGGCCTCGCATTTCTTCAGCAATGTTTTTAAAATACAACACTCAATTGGGACCTCCTTTCCATGTTATCGTTGATACAAACTTTGTCAATTTTAGCATCAAAAATCGGATAGATGTTATGAAAGGATTTATGGATTGTCTTTTTGCTAAAGGTTTGTAGAAGTTTTTTTTACAAAATAGGAGGGGGGGTAGATGAATTTTCGGGCTGGTTTAGAATCCGGACAACTTAATTTTTTAGATAACTGGCCATTGGTTGAGAGAGGATACTTATTTGGGGGTGTTTTGGTTCTTGAAAAATCTTTGGATCTCTGTAATATAACTGAAAGCCTAACTGAAAAATCCTCTTTCATTTCCTAACCGGCAATCTCATACATAGGCTTTATTGCAATTTTTGGGTAAACCTTATTTTCATTTAAAATTTTTCTTATTTTAGTATTTCCATACATTCCTGATTGTGTTCTTGGTGAATTAGAAAAGCAGGGACGTCGTTTTAAATTGGCTTTAAAAATTATTAAAGACCAGCGGTTCCAAAGACTTCATTGTTCTCATAAGGGAATTTATGCGGACGATTGTATTGTTCAAAGAATTACTCAGGTTAATTTTGAATTTTTTATTATGGGTTTCTTTTCGGTTCCTAGTTATCCGGGTTTTTAAATTTTTTTTCTAAAATTTATTCTAAAGTATCCCTTTTTTAGCACAAATGTTATATTGTTGCTACTTGTGACAGAGATTTACGAATGCGTATACGTAAAATTCCAGGGGTTCCAATTATGTATATTCGAGATCATCGTTATACTATTGAAAGAATGCCTGGTAAATTACTTTTCTATTTTTTAGAAAAATTAATTTTATTTTCAGATGCTTATGGTGCACCAAAATTGTAAAGAAAAAAAACAAATTTTGTTTTTTGTTATTTATTTAAAAACGGAATAAAATAAATGTTTTGATTATTCCCCTATAAATTTTTTGGACTTCTATCTTTTTGGATTAAGGGATTTTTTGTTCACATAAATCTTGTCTTCCAAAATTACGTTCATAGGGAAATTAAAAAAAATTTTTTTAGTAAGCTTTAAACAAAGCAAAGGGTCTTTATAATGTTGTCCATTAATGTACATATTTTTAAGAATCATTTAAAGATTAAAAATAAAGTGACGTTATAAATTTTTGAAAAAAATCTTATGTATTAAAATTTATTAACCAAATATATATTTGAGTTTCCAACAATCAAAAATGTTTAATAAAATCAACATCAAAAATTGTTTAAATTATTCTAAAAAATATTTCTATTTCCCTTTTCTTTTTTTAATTAAAAAAAAAGAATTTCCTCAATTTTCTAAAATATATTTGTTGATTTTATTTAATAAATTTGTCAGCTTTTTTAATTAATAAAATGTTGACAATAATACATATTGTAAAAAAAATAATTATTTTTAATCAAGTATTCCACGTAAAATGTAACAAAATTTTATTCAAACTGGGTAGCATAAATAAATAAATGATAAAATTTAATGACAAATAATTCTTTAACTAAACATTTTCTCAAATAATTTAAATACTACTTTAATCTCTAAAATGAAAAATAATTAAATTTTAAAATTTATTTTATGGCAATTTTTGTTGATTGTATGCTTTATGGTGTTTGTGCCTGCTATAAATGCTGGTCAAACTAAAAAAACCCACTAAAAAGTCTTAAAATGATTTTTGAGTTAAAAATATACCTTTATTAATTAATTGCCCCGCCTCTATTAATACCCATCCCCAGCGAGAGATTGAAGCAATAATTACCCAGAGTTTTGTATATACGGTAATCTTTAAATAAATTTTGAGAAAGAATTACGAACAATTCCCAACTTTAATTTTTTCAGAATATGAGTATGGGGAGGTTATTATGATAAAATAAAATATTTAATTTAATATAACAACTCGGTTTTAATTAAAGTTATTTTAATAATTTTGACAATTGTATCTGAAAATTTTTTGGTAGTTTTTTAGCCATCAAATATTTTTAAATTTAATTCTAAAAAATAAAAACTTTATTTTTGGAAAGAAAAATGCAATTTATTTTTAATTTAATTATTTCCATATTATTATTATTTTCTTTAAAATTAATTAACTGTCTCAACAAAAATCCATTTCTTCAACGCCCAAATATAATGGTTTTTATGGTTGATGATCTAGGGGTTGGAGATTTACAAATTTTTGGAAATTTGGAACAAGAAATTAATCCGGTTGATAAATTGGTGCGTGAAGGGATTAAATTTACTAATGCTTATTCTGCTGATTCTGTTTGTTCTCCTGCACGTGCTGCATTTATGACTGGTATTTTAGAATAATTGTGTTCCTTTATAATTGTAGGCCGTCTTGCCATTCGTCTCGGCATCATAGGTGGCAACCGTGTTTTTTATATGCATGATACAGGCGGTTTGCCAAAGGACGAGCCAACAATTGCAGAAATGTTGAAAACCTATGGATATAATACTGGAATGGCTGGGAAATGGCATTTAGGAATTAATGAAAAAAATCATTCTGATGGAAGTCATTTACCTGGACGGAGAGGATTTGATTTTGTTGGGATAAATATGCCTCTTACTTTGCTTTGGGAATGTGACGAGACTGGAGAGCTTTATCCTGGAGGGCCTGACCCGGAAATGTGTTTTGTTTATAAGGGAGATAAGGCAAGTTAAATAATCTGAGAAGCTTTAAATGGGAGAGAGATGAATAAACTTAAAAAAATTAATGTAGATTGTTCCACATCCACCAACTTTTTCAAATTTTGCTGCTGAAATACTTGCTGATTGGCGTTACTTTCTTAATAACAAAGCAATACATACAATTCAAACAAAACCTTTCTTTTATTTCCACTCCTTCCCACATGTCCATGTTGCACAGTTTGCAAACAAAAACTTTAAAGGGAAATCTGCGAGAGGTTAAAAATAATTTTGAAGAATTTCTCGGACAAATTAGCACTATGTTTTAGGTATTTTTGGTGATAATTTAAACGAAATGGGTTGGTATGTCGGGGAAGTTATTAAAGATCTCTGGGCAAACAGACTTGCTTTTAATACTCTTGCTATATTCCTTTCTGATCACCGGCCTCACCAAGAGCTGTGTAATAATGGAGGGTCAACGGCTGGCCTAAAAGGTAATTTTTTAAAAAGCCGACATTAATCAATAATTCACACTTTTCGTTCCAGGTGGGAAATCCAATACATTTGAAGGCGGATTTCGTATCCCAATGGCTGCGTGGATGCCATGCAGTATTTTCCCTGGTCAAGTCTCTCATGAAGTTATCTCTGCAATGGACCTTTACCCAACATTTGAAAGATTAGCTACAACTGCAAAAGCTAGAAATGTTTTCTATGTACCTCCAACAAAACACGAAAAAAGAAAAATGGATGGAATTGATATTTGGCCTCAACTTTTAGGATTTTCTCCTGCAAATAATAATATGTCGTTAATTGAAAGACGTCCAATATTCTTCTATTGTAACGAAAAACTTTTGGGTATTAGAACAGGGAAGTATAAAGTGAGTCAGTAAATGAATTTAGAATACGGAACGGGGATTTTGGATTATGAATTCATTCCAAACCTGATAAGGTCGATAATTTCGGATTCTGAATATTCCTCGGATACATGTTTCCTAACATTACTGTTTATTTATATTCACTTTAAACTTGCAGGTTCATTATATGACACAATTGATCTTCAGAGATAACGATTCTTTTGTTCGGGAAAACTGTTCCGAAGGGAGGCCAAAAAAAGAATTGTAAATTAATTTTAATTCTAAACATGTTTTATTGCAGGGTTCGCATCGATAAAATGCCACTCAAAAGTATCAAAATCTCGATAAAAAAGTATATAGGGAGAAAATTTGCAAAAAAAAGTAGTCTCAAAATTAAATTAGAAAATATTTATTCGTCCTCAAATCTTTCATATTTTTCTCCTAAATTAATCTTTTCTAATAATTTCTTGTTTCAACTGAGCATTTTGCCAATTTCAATGCACCTTTTGTGGCGCCGAAGGCGCCACAAGTCTTTTATTTTTTGCGCCGCAGGCGAAAATTTAAAGAATTTTGGAGGTCCTTAAGCCAGATTTCTTCCATTTTTTGCGCCGCAGGCGAAAATTTTGAGAATTTTGGAGGCCGTAGGCCAGAAAATTCACTTTTTTGCCCAATCCCTTCCCCAATTTCATTTTCAATCAAAAAAAAGTATATACTTTCAAAAAAGTATAAATTCAATTTCGTAAGCATGGAGGTCGATTTAAAAGTAGAATACTTTTAAAAAAGTAGGAATGCGAACCCTGTTTTATTGGAAAGAATTATGACAACAATAAATAAAAAATATTTAGGTTTTTGAGTATCCTATGTCCAAAAGAGCTTACCAAACACGACCCTCTTTGATATACGATTTGGACAAAGATCCTTTTGAATTATATCCTATAGTGGATAAAGCTACGATTAAAATTGTAACAGAGAAAGCTTCTAAACTTATTGACGATCATCGGAAATCAATTATTCCAGTAAAGCAACAATTGGAAAATTTTGATTATTGTGTTTGGCCGGTAAAATATTATTAAACTCTTTATTCATATAAATTTATAGAAATACATATGTATACCTAAGTGACTTTTGAAGTTATCTTTAAGATTTTCTGGAAAAAGATTAAATTAAAACTTTGTAGTAAGAAATATTAATTACATATTTGTTTATCGGAAAGAAGATAATAATGTTAATTATAGTTTAATACATATTAATATTATCATTTTAGTGTTTTGGCAACAATTGCAGATGTTGATTTGTGGGTTCCGTGACTTTTGCGCCGAGAACATTTGCGCCGCGACTCTTGCGCCGCGTCTTATGCGCCGAGTGACTTTTGCGCCGGGGAACCTTTGCGCCGCGACTTTTGCGCCGGGCGACTTTTGCGCCGCCACTATCATTAAAAATATATCAATAACTACAGCCGGACCTCACTTTAGTAGGATTGTCGGATAGTTGGAAATCTTCGGATATCCGGATCCGATATCCGACTGAACATTTCGGATATCCGGCATTTTTCGGATCCGGATTTTTTAAACAATGGCGGCGCAAATGTCGCGGCGCATAAGTCGTGATACCGATTTGTGAGCTAAATTATTATTTAATCATGGAAAAAACTATGGGAAAAGCAAATCAGCAAATTAAATTCAGAAAAAAATTTATTTAAAAAATCATCGAGTAAAAATTAAATTAAAGAGAAGTGTTTAAATAAAAATTAATCAACAAAATTTTTAATAAAATTCCTCTAGAATTAAATGCTTCGAAATATCATATTTAAATGGTTTCAACTCCAAATCATTCCCAAAATTAGCTTTAACAGAACAACATTTCAATTCAACAAATGGCTTATATAAATCAGAATTATCTTTCAATAATACACCTTTCCCTTTAAAATATTAATTTTCATAAAATTATTTTTAAATTTATTTTTACCAATTTGTTTTCCATTTTGAGTAAAAAATATATAAGGGAATTTATTCGACATATTACTTGGAGGATAAACTAATCCACAACCAAAAATATCATTATTATTTAAAGAAATATTTTCAATTTTAAATGTTTCATCTTCCTCGTTTGTTATAGAATCTTTTGCAGAATATAAAATATATTTTTTTGTATTTAAATTTTTAAGGCCAATAAATATCCAAATTTTTTCAAAATTTGCCAATTCTCCGTTAATTTTACATTCAAAATAATACAGAGAGTAATTTAAACAATTTTGTGGTTTTTTGAATGAATTTTCCGCATAAACAGCGACATTTTTATCATAAGCTAAAAATATTTGGTACTTATTGCGTCCCCCCCCCCCAGAACGCAATTTAGTTGAAATACGAAATGGTCAGTCATTTTGGTCAGTCACTAAAAACAAGGGCAAAATGTGTGAGACAAACGATCAAAAACAAAAAAAGCCTGAATTGAAGGAAGATTGAGTGAATGAACGTGAACACATGCAAATTCTTGAAACTTTTGCAAGGAAAAATTGACTGACCATTTCGTACTTCAACTAAGGGGGAGGGGGATTTTTAACAAAAAAATTCAAAAACTTTACTTCCTTTCCCACCCAAATAATCAACATATAAAATTAATTCATCATTAATTAAATTTACAAATCCATTTCCTTCAGTACATTTACTCATAGGTTCAAATGTATTTATACAATTATTGTCACAACAATTATATTTTGTATCAATTTCACTCCATTTATTTTTTATTTTAACAAAATTCTTTGAAAAAAATTAATTAATTTATTTAATTATCAACTAACCGCGTATATACAGGACAAATTAATTAAAAGTGTCGCAAAACCCCGCGCTTCGCGCGGGGTTTTGCGACACGCGCCTCGCGGGGAGTCAACGGTCGTTGGGCTCTGGGCTCGTAACATGATCCTATTCCTATCATCGATGAGATGGGCATCCCAGGATTCCTCCGCAGCAGCAATCACTCCACGGTTTATAGATAAGGTAAAGAAGAGAGCGAACTGGGTCTAATCTGCAAAAGTCGGATCTGCAAATGTCTGATCTGCAAGTGTCATATCTGCAAGTGTCGGCATCTGCAAATGTCGGGTCTGCAAAAGTCGGGTCTGCAAGTGTCGGGTCTGCAAATGTCATATCTGCAAGTGTCGTGACACGAATAAAACGGTGTTTAAGTGATATGTTGGATATATACCAGAGGTGGGTCAGAACAGTCAGAGGTGTCGGAAATTGGAAGAGCCGGAAATCGGAACTGGCTTAAAAGTCGGAAATCGGAAGGGAAAAACGCCGAAATTGGAAGTCGGAAATCGGACAGTAAATTTTTATTCTCAAAACTGAATATATAAAATTAAAAGTAGCAAATTATGAAGCATAAAAAGAAGAAATTCCGAAGTCAAGAACCGGAAATATTATCGAGGGTTAAAAAGGACATCGAGAATAAGAGGGATTAAGGGGACATAGAGGGATTAAGCAGGATATAGGGGGAATTAGAAGGACAACGAGTGATTCAAATAAACATATGTATATAATGATTCAAATAAAAAGAAGAAAAACTCAATTCTCAATTTAACTTTTTTGTGTTTAAAAGTTTACTCATTAGGAATGTTCTAACTGTTCGTAAGACAACGAAACAGACCAATTCTCGTAAGCACATAATCATAGAAGTTAAAAATGGAAGAAGCAAAAAAATTTCATTTAATACCTAAGATTATTTTTATTTTTGTCTGAATTCCCATTGGGTGAAGGGGTTAATCACAGAAGGTAAATCCAAATATTTGGTTCTTTTGATCACTCATAATCAAACAAAATCTCCTAATATGCCTCATCTTCTTTATTCCCTCAAATTCCTTTATCCGACCTTAATCCAATGATAAATATCTTTTAACTCCCCCTCGATCGATCCAGAATCCCTTTTATCACTCTACTATATTTATCACTCTACTATATCCTAATCACAATTATTTTTAATCAACGACAAAATGGTTCAGTCGTTTAACCGAAAATTTCGATTCGATTCGTTTAACCTTCGGTATGTTTTTTGTTCAATTTCGTTTAACCGAAGGATTTGATGAAATTTGCAATCCTACTTAGAACAAGTAAAAAATTTAAGGTGTAAATTTCATCTTTTAAATTTCATCTTCCTTTAACCTAATAAATAGTCAATTTTGTTAAAAATGTTCTATTGAAATTAATAATCAAAATAAAAATAAAAAATTAATTTTTTAGCAGCATAAAAATAATTGAAAAGTTTAGAAAAATATTTTGAAAATTAAAGTTAAAAATTAAATTGGTGAATACTTAGTTAAAAACAATTTTTGGTTTTTATGTAATATCGAGTATTTTTGATGATTATATTTAAAATAAATAAAGTAAAAAAATATTTTTAGTGGTTATCTAGCTGTTGATTATATTTTTGTCAACATTCTGGACGTCAGAATTATCAATGTCATCTTTAATACACCCAACCATTTAAAAATATTTTTTAACCAAGAAAAATATTTTCGTCAACAAATTTCTTATAAATTATTCAATTTATGAATTTAAACCCATTCATCTCAACTTTCCAAAATCACTCTTTTCCACCCTTCAGACGAAGTACCAAATCAATAACCATAGTATTACTCTTAGCAACGTTGTAATATTGCAGTGTTTCTATTTAAAAAAGTTTATTAAGATAATTATAAAAGTTTCTAGGCAAGATTGGGGTTTAAATAGAAAAATCAGGTACATAAAATTTGTTTATTAAGGTCCCACTCAGAGATGTTTCGAAACAAAAAAATCTTCGAAAATCGGAAATCGAAAATCGAAAAAAATCCAAAAACATCGAAATCGAAAATCGAAAATATTTTTCAAAATCTTCGAAATCGAAAATCGAAAATCGAAAGAAAAATAACCTCGAAAATCGAAAATCGAAAAACGAAAATCGAAAAAAAATTTTTTAATAAAAAAAATAAAAAAATAAATTTTTATGTTACAAGTTGGAACTTTTGCTTGAACTCTAAGGAATTTGGGATTCCAAGGAAATCACGGATATCCAAACCCAAAATTTTGCATATCAGATTGAGATCCTGGCTCCAGAGCCGGTGATTTTCTAGCGGCTTCTTGTTATCTCCAGACTCCGAGTGTAAAGATTAATATTTAATCCTGAGATCTGTGTGGGTTAAGAGGGATAACGGAGGATTTGAGTAAACTCATAAGGTGGTACCTGGCATAGGGTTCCGGCAAGGGGCCTGCTCTCTCCAACTTGCCTGCTCCATCCATCTGGCCTGATCCCTCCAAATGGCCTGCTCCCTCCAATCCCACCTTAATTCAAGCAAATACTCCAATATACCGGAGCCGAAGCATAATATTGTTAATAGAACGATTGATAAAGCCAACGGATGACAGAATGTTTGTTTATTTTTTAATCATTTTAGGGGTGGATATTTTTGAGGTTTAAAAGCTTAAAATGTTTACTGGGAGAGCACCTCATCAACAGCTTGATCGGTAGACCATCGGTATTTGGTTAGCGAAATCGCCTTAATTATCGATTTTATTAATTTATATTCATTACCAGGAATTCCAAAACCAATTCCTAATTTTCTGTTATTTCCTTTTAAATTTTTTTCCTTTTCATTCCGTCTCATGCCTTCCGGAATTAAAAAATACGTAGAAACGATCAACGGAACTATTCATAATTTTTGGTCACAAGACTAGATTAATTCGTAATTTTTATGGAGAAGAGAAAATAATAAAATACTATGTAAAGTTGGGGAGTAAACGAAAAGGATAATGGAAGCATTTTTACCTTGTTTATTTTTAAAATTAATTTTTCCAGTAAAGAAGAGCATCGAACTGTTCGACCTAAAAAGGAAGACGAGCAAGCATTAAAAATCAAAGAAGCGTAATTATTTTTTAAATTTTATTTTTTATTTAAAATTTAAAGGCCTCGCATTTCTTCAGCAATGTTTTTAAAATACAACACTCAATTGGGACCTCCTTTCCATGTTATCGTTGATACAAACTTTGTCAATTTTAGCATCAAAAATCGGATAGATGTTATGAAAGGATTTATGGATTGTCTTTTTGCTAAAGGTTTGTAGAAGTTTTTTTTACAAAATAGGAGGGGGGGTAGATGAATTTTCGGGCTGGTTTAGAATCCGGACAACTTAATTTTTTAGATAACTGGCCATTGGTTGAGAGAGGATACTTATTTGGGGGTGTTTTGGTTCTTGAAAAATCTTTGGATCTCTGTAATATAACTGAAAGCCTAACTGAAAAATCCTCTTTCATTTCCTAACCGGCAATCTCATACATAGGCTTTATTGCAATTTTTGGGTAAACCTTATTTTCATTTAAAATTTTTCTTATTTTAGTATTTCCATACATTCCTGATTGTGTTCTTGGTGAATTAGAAAAGCAGGGACGTCGTTTTAAATTGGCTTTAAAAATTATTAAAGACCAGCGGTTCCAAAGACTTCATTGTTCTCATAAGGGAATTTATGCGGACGATTGTATTGTTCAAAGAATTACTCAGGTTAATTTTGAATTTTTTATTATGGGTTTCTTTTCGGTTCCTAGTTATCCGGGTTTTTAAATTTTTTTTCTAAAATTTATTCTAAAGTATCCCTTTTTTAGCACAAATGTTATATTGTTGCTACTTGTGACAGAGATTTACGAATGCGTATACGTAAAATTCCAGGGGTTCCAATTATGTATATTCGAGATCATCGTTATACTATTGAAAGAATGCCTGGTAAATTACTTTTCTATTTTTTAGAAAAATTAATTTTATTTTCAGATGCTTATGGTGCACCAAAATTGTAAAGAAAAAAACTAAAATTTTGAGTTTATTTTTGTTATTTTATTTAAAACGGAATAAAATAAATGTTTTGATTATTCCTCTATAAATTTTTTGGATTTCTATCTTTTTGGAAGATAAAAGTCTTTGTTCACATAAATCTTGTCTTCCAAAATTACGTTCATAGGGAAATTAAAAAAAATTTTTTTAGTAAGCTTTAAACAAAGCAAAGGGTCTTTATAATGTTGTCCATTAATGTACATATTTTTAAGAATCATTTAAAGATTAAAAATAAAGTGACGTTATAAATTTTTGAAAAAAATCTTATGTATTAAAATTTATTAACCAAATATATATTTGAGTTTCCAACAATCAAAAATGTTTAATAAAATCAACATCAAAAATTGTTTAAATTATTCTAAAAAATATTTCTATTTCCCTTTTCTTTTTTTAATTAAAAAAAAAGAATTTCCTCAATTTTCTAAAATATATTTGTTGATTTTATTTAATAAATTTGTCAGCTTTTTTAATTAATAAAATGTTGACAATAATACATATTGTAAAAAAAATAATTATTTTTAATCAAGTATTCCACGTAAAATGTAACAAAATTTTATTCAAACTGGGTAGCATAAATAAATAAATGATAAAATTTAATGACAAATAATTCTTTAACTAAACATTTTCTCAAATAATTTAAATACTACTTTAATCTCTAAAATGAAAAATAATTAAATTTTAAAATTTATTTTATGGCAATTTTTGTTGATTGTATGCTTTATGGTGTTTGTGCCTGCTATAAATGCTGGTCAAACTAAAAAAACCCACTAAAAAGTCTTAAAATGATTTTTGAGTTAAAAATATACCTTTATTAATTAATTGCCCCGCCTCTATTAATACCCATCCCCAGCGAGAGATTGAAGCAATAATTACCCAGAGTTTTGTATATACGGTAATCTTTAAATAAATTTTGAGAAAGAATTACGAACAATTCCCAACTTTAATTTTTTCAGAATATGAGTATGGGGAGGTTATTATGATAAAATAAAATATTTAATTTAATATAACAACTCGGTTTTAATTAAAGTTATTTTAATAATTTTGACAATTGTATCTGAAAATTTTTTGGTAGTTTTTTAGCCATCAAATATTTTTAAATTTAATTCTAAAAAATAAAAACTTTATTTTTGGAAAGAAAAATGCAATTTATTTTTAATTTAATTATTTCCATATTATTATTATTTTCTTTAAAATTAATTAACTGTCTCAACAAAAATCCATTTCTTCAACGCCCAAATATAATGGTTTTTATGGTTGATGATCTAGGGGTTGGAGATTTACAAATTTTTGGAAATTTGGAACAAGAAATTAATCCGGTTGATAAATTGGTGCGTGAAGGGATTAAATTTACTAATGCTTATTCTGCTGATTCTGTTTGTTCTCCTGCACGTGCTGCATTTATGACTGGTATTTTAGAATAATTGTGTTCCTTTATAATTGTAGGCCGTCTTGCCATTCGTCTCGGCATCATAGGTGGCAACCGTGTTTTTTATATGCATGATACAGGCGGTTTGCCAAAGGACGAGCCAACAATTGCAGAAATGTTGAAAACCTATGGATATAATACTGGAATGGCTGGGAAATGGCATTTAGGAATTAATGAAAAAAATCATTCTGATGGAAGTCATTTACCTGGACGGAGAGGATTTGATTTTGTTGGGATAAATATGCCTCTTACTTTGCTTTGGGAATGTGACGAGACTGGAGAGCTTTATCCTGGAGGGCCTGACCCGGAAATGTGTTTTGTTTATAAGGGAGATAAGGCAAGTTAAATAATCTGAGAAGCTTTAAATGGGAGAGAGATGAATAAACTTAAAAAAATTAATGTAGATTGTTCCACATCCACCAACTTTTTCAAATTTTGCTGCTGAAATACTTGCTGATTGGCGTTACTTTCTTAATAACAAAGCAATACATACAATTCAAACAAAACCTTTCTTTTATTTCCACTCCTTCCCACATGTCCATGTTGCACAGTTTGCAAACAAAAACTTTAAAGGGAAATCTGCGAGAGGTTAAAAATAATTTTGAAGAATTTCTCGGACAAATTAGCACTATGTTTTAGGTATTTTTGGTGATAATTTAAACGAAATGGGTTGGTATGTCGGGGAAGTTATTAAAGATCTCTGGGCAAACAGACTTGCTTTTAATACTCTTGCTATATTCCTTTCTGATCACCGGCCTCACCAAGAGCTGTGTAATAATGGAGGGTCAACGGCTGGCCTAAAAGGTAATTTTTTAAAAAGCCGACATTAATCAATAATTCACACTTTTCGTTCCAGGTGGGAAATCCAATACATTTGAAGGCGGATTTCGTATCCCAATGGCTGCGTGGATGCCATGCAGTATTTTCCCTGGTCAAGTCTCTCATGAAGTTATCTCTGCAATGGACCTTTACCCAACATTTGAAAGATTAGCTACAACTGCAAAAGCTAGAAATGTTTTCTATGTACCTCCAACAAAACACGAAAAAAGAAAAATGGATGGAATTGATATTTGGCCTCAACTTTTAGGATTTTCTCCTGCAAATAATAATATGTCGTTAATTGAAAGACGTCCAATATTCTTCTATTGTAACGAAAAACTTTTGGGTATTAGAACAGGGAAGTATAAAGTGAGTCAGTAAATGAATTTAGAATACGGAACGGGGATTTTGGATTATGAATTCATTCCAAACCTGATAAGGTCGATAATTTCGGATTCTGAATATTCCTCGGATACATGTTTCCTAACATTACTGTTTATTTATATTCACTTTAAACTTGCAGGTTCATTATATGACACAATTGATCTTCAGAGATAACGATTCTTTTGTTCGGGAAAACTGTTCCGAAGGGAGGCCAAAAAAAGAATTGTAAATTAATTTTAATTCTAAACATGTTTTATTGCAGGGTTCGCATCGATAAAATGCCACTCAAAAGTATCAAAATCTCGATAAAAAAGTATATAGGGAGAAAATTTGCAAAAAAAAGTAGTCTCAAAATTAAATTAGAAAATATTTATTCGTCCTCAAATCTTTCATATTTTTCTCCTAAATTAATCTTTTCTAATAATTTCTTGTTTCAACTGAGCATTTTGCCAATTTCAATGCACCTTTTGTGGCGCCGAAGGCGCCACAAGTCTTTTATTTTTTGCGCCGCAGGCGAAAATTTAAAGAATTTTGGAGGTCCTTAAGCCAGATTTCTTCCATTTTTTGCGCCGCAGGCGAAAATTTTGAGAATTTTGGAGGCCGTAGGCCAGAAAATTCACTTTTTTGCCCAATCCCTTCCCCAATTTCATTTTCAATCAAAAAAAAGTATATACTTTCAAAAAAGTATAAATTCAATTTCGTAAGCATGGAGGTCGATTTAAAAGTAGAATACTTTTAAAAAAGTAGGAATGCGAACCCTGTTTTATTGGAAAGAATTATGACAACAATAAATAAAAAATATTTAGGTTTTTGAGTATCCTATGTCCAAAAGAGCTTACCAAACACGACCCTCTTTGATATACGATTTGGACAAAGATCCTTTTGAATTATATCCTATAGTGGATAAAGCTACGATTAAAATTGTAACAGAGAAAGCTTCTAAACTTATTGACGATCATCGGAAATCAATTATTCCAGTAAAGCAACAATTGGAAAATTTTGATTATTGTGTTTGGCCGGTAAAATATTATTAAACTCTTTATTCATATAAATTTATAGAAATACATATGTATACCTAAGTGACTTTTGAAGTTATCTTTAAGATTTTCTGGAAAAAGATTAAATTAAAACTTTGTAGTAAGAAATATTAATTACATATTTGTTTATCGGAAAGAAGATAATAATGTTAATTATAGTTTAATACATATTAATATTATCATTTTAGTGTTTTGGCAACAATTGCAGATGTTGATTTGTGGGTTCCGTGACTTTTGCGCCGAGAACATTTGCGCCGCGACTCTTGCGCCGCGTCTTATGCGCCGAGTGACTTTTGCGCCGGGGAACCTTTGCGCCGCGACTTTTGCGCCGGGCGACTTTTGCGCCGCCACTATCATTAAAAATATATCAATAACTACAGCCGGACCTCACTTTAGTAGGATTGTCGGATAGTTGGAAATCTTCGGATATCCGGATCCGATATCCGACTGAACATTTCGGATATCCGGCATTTTTCGGATCCGGATTTTTTAAACAATGGCGGCGCAAATGTCGCGGCGCATAAGTCGTGATACCGATTTGTGAGCTAAATTATTATTTAATCATGGAAAAAACTATGGGAAAAGCAAATCAGCAAATTAAATTCAGAAAAAAATTTATTTAAAAAATCATCGAGTAAAAATTAAATTAAAGAGAAGTGTTTAAATAAAAATTAATCAACAAAATTTTTAATAAAATTCCTCTAGAATTAAATGCTTCGAAATATCATATTTAAATGGTTTCAACTCCAAATCATTCCCAAAATTAGCTTTAACAGAACAACATTTCAATTCAACAAATGGCTTATATAAATCAGAATTATCTTTCAATAATACACCTTTCCCTTTAAAATATTAATTTTCATAAAATTATTTTTAAATTTATTTTTACCAATTTGTTTTCCATTTTGAGTAAAAAATATATAAGGGAATTTATTCGACATATTACTTGGAGGATAAACTAATCCACAACCAAAAATATCATTATTATTTAAAGAAATATTTTCAATTTTAAATGTTTCATCTTCCTCGTTTGTTATAGAATCTTTTGCAGAATATAAAATATATTTTTTTGTATTTAAATTTTTAAGGCCAATAAATATCCAAATTTTTTCAAAATTTGCCAATTCTCCGTTAATTTTACATTCAAAATAATACAGAGAGTAATTTAAACAATTTTGTGGTTTTTTGAATGAATTTTCCGCATAAACAGCGACATTTTTATCATAAGCTAAAAATATTTGGTACTTATTGCGTCCCCCCCCCCCAGAACGCAATTTAGTTGAAATACGAAATGGTCAGTCATTTTGGTCAGTCACTAAAAACAAGGGCAAAATGTGTGAGACAAACGATCAAAAACAAAAAAAGCCTGAATTGAAGGAAGATTGAGTGAATGAACGTGAACACATGCAAATTCTTGAAACTTTTGCAAGGAAAAATTGACTGACCATTTCGTACTTCAACTAAGGGGGAGGGGGATTTTTAACAAAAAAATTCAAAAACTTTACTTCCTTTCCCACCCAAATAATCAACATATAAAATTAATTCATCATTAATTAAATTTACAAATCCATTTCCTTCAGTACATTTACTCATAGGTTCAAATGTATTTATACAATTATTGTCACAACAATTATATTTTGTATCAATTTCACTCCATTTATTTTTTATTTTAACAAAATTCTTTGAAAAAAATTAATTAATTTATTTAATTATCAACTAACCGCGTATATACAGGACAAATTAATTAAAAGTGTCGCAAAACCCCGCGCTTCGCGCGGGGTTTTGCGACACGCGCCTCGCGGGGAGTCAACGGTCGTTGGGCTCTGGGCTCGTAACATGATCCTATTCCTATCATCGATGAGATGGGCATCCCAGGATTCCTCCGCAGCAGCAATCACTCCACGGTTTATAGATAAGGTAAAGAAGAGAGCGAACTGGGTCTAATCTGCAAAAGTCGGATCTGCAAATGTCTGATCTGCAAGTGTCATATCTGCAAGTGTCGGCATCTGCAAATGTCGGGTCTGCAAAAGTCGGGTCTGCAAGTGTCGGGTCTGCAAATGTCATATCTGCAAGTGTCGTGACACGAATAAAACGGTGTTTAAGTGATATGTTGGATATATACCAGAGGTGGGTCAGAACAGTCAGAGGTGTCGGAAATTGGAAGAGCCGGAAATCGGAACTGGCTTAAAAGTCGGAAATCGGAAGGGAAAAACGCCGAAATTGGAAGTCGGAAATCGGACAGTAAATTTTTATTCTCAAAACTGAATATATAAAATTAAAAGTAGCAAATTATGAAGCATAAAAAGAAGAAATTCCGAAGTCAAGAACCGGAAATATTATCGAGGGTTAAAAAGGACATCGAGAATAAGAGGGATTAAGGGGACATAGAGGGATTAAGCAGGATATAGGGGGAATTAGAAGGACAACGAGTGATTCAAATAAACATATGTATATAATGATTCAAATAAAAAGAAGAAAAACTCAATTCTCAATTTAACTTTTTTGTGTTTAAAAGTTTACTCATTAGGAATGTTCTAACTGTTCGTAAGACAACGAAACAGACCAATTCTCGTAAGCACATAATCATAGAAGTTAAAAATGGAAGAAGCAAAAAAATTTCATTTAATACCTAAGATTATTTTTTTTTGTCTGAATTCCCATTGGGTGAAGGGGTTAATCACAGAAGGTAAATCCAAATATTTGGTTCTTTTGATCACTCATAATCAAACAAAATCTCCTAATATGCCTCATCTTCTTTATTCCCTCAAATTCCTTTATCCGACCTTAATCCAATGATAAATATCTTTTAACTCCCCCTCGATCGATCCAGAATCCCTTTTATCACTCTACTATATTTATCACTCTACTATATCCTAATCACAATTATTTTTAATCAACGACAAAATGGTTCAGTCGTTTAACCGAAAATTTCGATTCGATTCGTTTAACCTTCGGTATGTTTTTTGTTCAATTTCGTTTAACCGAAGGATTTGATGAAATTTGCAATCCTACTTAGAACAAGTAAAAAATTTAAGGTGTAAATTTCATCTTTTAAATTTCATCTTCCTTTAACCTAATAAATAGTCAATTTTGTTAAAAATGTTCTATTGAAATTAATAATCAAAATAAAAATAAAAAATTAATTTTTTAGCAGCATAAAAATAATTGAAAAGTTTAGAAAAATATTTTGAAAATTAAAGTTAAAAATTAAATTGGTGAATACTTAGTTAAAAACAATTTTTGGTTTTTATGTAATATCGAGTATTTTTGATGATTATATTTAAAATAAATAAAGTAAAAAAATATTTTTAGTGGTTATCTAGCTGTTGATTATATTTTTGTCAACATTCTGGACGTCAGAATTATCAATGTCATCTTTAATACACCCAACCATTTAAAAATATTTTTTAACCAAGAAAAATATTTTCGTCAACAAATTTCTTATAAATTATTCAATTTATGAATTTAAACCCATTCATCTCAACTTTCCAAAATCACTCTTTTCCACCCTTCAGACGAAGTACCAAATCAATAACCATAGTATTACTCTTAGCAACGTTGTAATATTGCAGTGTTTCTATTTAAAAAAGTTTATTAAGATAATTATAAAAGTTTCTAGGCAAGATTGGGGTTTAAATAGAAAAATCAGGTACATAAAATTTGTTTATTAAGGTCCCACTCAGAGATGTTTCGAAACAAAAAAATCTTCGAAAATCGGAAATCGAAAATCGAAAAAAATCCAAAAACATCGAAATCGAAAATCGAAAATATTTTTCAAAATCTTCGAAATCGAAAATCGAAAATCGAAAGAAAAATAACCTCGAAAATCGAAAATCGAAAAACGAAAATCGAAAAAAAATTTTTTAATAAAAAAAATAAAAAAATAAATTTTTATGTTACAAGTTGGAACTTTTGCTTGAACTCTAAGGAATTTGGGATTCCAAGGAAATCACGGATATCCAAACCCAAAATTTTGCATATCAGATTGAGATCCTGGCTCCAGAGCCGGTGATTTTCTAGCGGCTTCTTGTTATCTCCAGACTCCGAGTGTAAAGATTAATATTTAATCCTGAGATCTGTGTGGGTTAAGAGGGATAACGGAGGATTTGAGTAAACTCATAAGGTGGTACCTGGCATAGGGTTCCGGCAAGGGGCCTGCTCTCTCCAACTTGCCTGCTCCATCCATCTGGCCTGATCCCTCCAAATGGCCTGCTCCCTCCAATCCCACCTTAATTCAAGCAAATACTCCAATATACCGGAGCCGAAGCATAATATTGTTAATAGATCAGGGTTTCCTCCAATTAGCGCCGCAGGCGAAAATTTTGAGAATTTTGAAAGGCTAAGAACCAAAAATCTTTCTTTTTTGCGCCGGAGGCGAAAATTTTGATGATCCTTAAGGCAAAAATCTTTATTTTTCAGCGCCGCAGGCAAAAATTTTGAGAATTTTGGAAGGCCAAGAAGCCAAAAATCTTCCTTTTTCTGCGCCGCAGGCGAAAATTTTTTTAAGTTTATGATGGCCAATAAGCCAAAAATCCTCCACTTTGGCGCCAAAAATTCAAATTTTTCAAAAATTCGGAAATCGAAAATCGAAAATATCACAAAATTTCGAAAATCGGAAATCGAAAATCGAAAGGAAAAAAACCTCGAAAATCGAAAAACGAAAATCGAAAATCGAAATTTCGAAACATCTCTGGTCCCACTATGTTACAAAAAGACTTACTATCGTCTTCTAGCTGTTTGCCTCCATACGTCTAGAAATAATTAAAAATAATTTTTTTAAATTTTACTAGTTATATCTAGTGATCGGAGTTTCGTACCATATTGCCGACTGTAATACCGAGAAATACCAAAAATACCGATAATTTTTTATCAGTACCGTATTTCGTCCCGTAGTATCGTTACGAAATACCGTTAAATACCAAAAATAAGGTCATAGTGTGTCATTTTTCTGGGAAGTCTTTATCTCTGGAGAGTTTGGATAAGAAAAATTATTGAAGAATAACTAGGAATCTGATTAAAGCTCCAACAATGATCATATTTGGAGACTTAATCAGATGGAAACCGACTGTAAACACACAAACATAAACAGGAAAAACACAAAAATATATTAAAATTATTCTCTTACTAAACGTTGTTGTTCAACAGGTGTATTATTTGCTTGTTCAATTCTTCGTTTTAATTCCGGAACTGTAATATTTGCCTTAAATTTTAAATATAAGATCGGGAATTTTCCAATCTAAACCCTGAATAAAGATACAAGAAAAATCTAGTCTAAAAACTAACAATAAGTTGAATAGAATAATGGAGGGGCCAAGAACCTAGCTCACCTCCTGAAGAAAATAGATCTTTCAAGGACTGGAATAAATTAGTTGCATAAATTCACTTATAAATTTACTTAATCCAAAAAATTTTGATATAATAAAACTTTTACCTCAATATCATTAATAGTAATTTTGACGTTATTCAAATCCTTAATAATAACATTGATTTTGTAGCTTTCCATTGGCTGAAAAAATAAAAATTCTTTTTACTGATTAAAACACTATTTATATTTTCATTAAACTTGAAATTAAATAATAAAGTCCTAATTTATTTAACAGTAAAATCGGACACTTTATCGATATAGTGCAGATTTTTACAATAGGTAAAAATTCGAAGGAGTAAAGTACGACGATCGGGTTAGAAGCGGTGATGAAGGATGGGAGGTGTGCGAAAAAAAGGAAAAGAAAATTTTGACGGTTTAAAAAAAGATTTTCTTTCCATTACTAATTAATTATCCAATTTTATCATTAACTTACAGCCGGATCTTGTATAGTCATATTACTTGTACTTTGAGTCAATTCATTATCAGAATCGCCATCATCGTTATCGGCTTGTTCAACATGAAGCGGTTTAATATCATCCAAAGTAGCATGAACTCGGCATCGAGGACATTGTTGACACTAAAAATGGAATTATTTTAATTTTGAATATTTTAAGTAGACTTAATGATTTTACAAAAATTGGACTGCTAAATAAGGCAGTCATTCCCTCAATATTATTTTCAGATTAAAAATAAATTTCCTCACCCCTTCAGAAATCCAATTTGTAATACACTTTACATGGTATTGATGATTACGATTACAAGTCCTTAAAGTACAAACATTTTCACGAAGTAAACGTAAATTGCAAATATTACAACGTCCAAACTTGAAATTAGCCATTTTTATCTAAATAAATTATTTAACTATATTTTTTTATTTAATAAACAAATATAGTTAAAACCACTCTATAAGATACACATTTATTTAAATTAATTTTTCTAATTTTCAATTTATTTTTTTCCTTAATTTCACTTTATTTACCATAGAATTTATAAATAAAAAAATTTAAATAAAAAAAGTAACTTAAATGACAATTAAATTGTTACTAATTTTTCAGCTTTAAAGGTGTATTTTTGATAGTTTTTTTAATCCTTAAATTTTTGAAGGGGATAGAAAACAATCGGAAAGTTTTAAATTAAATTTATTTGTTAGTTGCATGCGGGGATTGGAAGGTATTTCCAAAAATATCGGCCTCACGTTACTTTAATTAAATTAAAAAGTTGGGAACTTATTTGTTAGTTAAAAATGAAAGTTTAAATTATTAAATGAGAATGTTTCTAAAAGTTTATAAATACTTTATAATTTACTCCTCCCATTTGTGACCTGTCCTCCTCTATTTTTGCTTTATTTGTTCATTTTTACCCAAAGCATATATTTGAAAATATAATGTTTTATTAGACAAAGATAACCTTTTACATTAATACTTAATGTCTGGAATTTTAACCTTTATAATAAAACGATACTTAAATGTTTATGTAGGGCAATATAATATTCAAAAAAGAGAAAAATTAAATTGTAGATTTAATTTAAATTTGAGCCTTTTTTGTGTTAAAAGTTAGTTTTTGGGGATTATTTTAACTCTCCATAAATTTTTAATTCAGTTCGCAGTGTGGAGAATTAAACTTCGAATTTCAAAACTCCGTCCAGACAAAACTACAACACACAAAACCCCGTCTTACCAAAATTTCGTTTCAATGGGTTGGGGGTAATGATGTTTGTTTTGGAGGAACCCTATTGACACTACATATGTGTATCGCCCCTTTGTATCAATGACACTTACTCAAAATCGAGCATTTTGAGTGTAGGTATAGAGAGACACCCACAAATTTTCGTTTTTTTCTATAAATAAGAAATTTCAAAGAAAAAACTTAAATTTGGTTTTTTAATTTTGAAAAACCGGGTCCGGCTCAGCCGGCAATTAAGTAAAAAATGTGTATTTTCTCTTTGAACGAAATTTTGTCTGGTCGAAGTTTTCCCCTGACATAGACCATTTTTTTCTAGAGGCCAGTTCTCGCATGAGACCAGTTCTTGCATCTTACTCTATCAATTCCCAATTTGATGATGAAATAATCATATTTAAAAACTAGTCCGGTTGTAGAGCCAAAATTATTATAGCCTAATAAAATTTTTATTTTTAATTCTGTATGTCTATTGTTTTTGAAATTTTCTAGAAATGGTATATTACAAACTTGGTCGTTGTACTGTTTGCCAATTTCGTTTAAAAGTTGAAAATGTTTATAATTTAAGAAATTGTAATCACACATTCCATAAAGAATGTATTGAAAAATGGATTACTGAAGGGGTGAGGAAATTACAGATTTTTTAAAGTTTGTTTTTAACATTTTTCAGTCAAACATTTGTCCTCGTTGCCGAGAATCTGCTACTTTAAATGATATTAAACAACTTTTTTTGGAAGACGCAGATGATAGTTCTGACGATTCTAGTGATGAGTTAATTCAAAGTTCAAGTGATTGGTCTACACAAAATTCTAATGTAAGTTGACAATAAAATTTGGGGTTAATTCACTTAATAGAAAATTCATTGAAATTTGAGATTATTCTCGACTTTTTCAGTCGAGTGGAAGCAATTATCTCCGTTCATAATCTATAACAGAGACCTGTGCAAGACGGTCGGGGGGATACCGTTCCGCATTTTGCGGGATACCGCTCCCGTAATCCCGCACTTTTTCGATCCGCATCCATTTTTAAAATTTACTCCCGCATGTGGATCTCGCAAACGTTTACTAGCCCCATAAATAATTTTTAATAAATTTTAGTTTTCTATTAGAGAATTCTAAATATTTTTTCCTTTGATAAAAAATTATTTTTAATTAAAATATAAAGATTAAAATTTAATTAATTAAATTTAAAAGGCAAATGATTTAATAAATAAATTGAACAATTTGAATTGTAAATATGTGGTTAGTTTGTAATTAAAATAATTAAAATTCTAATTTTTTAAAAGAATTTTGTTAAAATTAAAAATAAATGGATTATTATAAACAATTGTTGTTTCAACAAATGTAGCGAAAATACAGACGACCTTTCTAATAATTGTATTAAAGGAAATGGATTTGTAAAATTAATTAATGATGAAGATATTAAATATATTAATTGTGTGAAGAAGGATGTTTTGGATGGAAGTATTGGGATTTTTTGAGATTTTTTTTGTTAAAAATATATTTTTAGGTTATGATAAAAGAGTTGTTGTTTCTGCAGAAAATTCATTCACCAGACCACAAAATTCTTCTAATTATTCTTTATTTTATTTTGAAATTAAATGTATTTTTGAGGGAGAATTTGTAAATAATAATGAAAAATGGATGGTTATTGGCCTTAAAAATTGTAATACAAATTCGAGAATTAAATATATTGCTAAAAATAATTCGATTTCGAATGAGAAAAATGAAGAATTTAAGCTTTGCCAGACGCTTTTTTGGAAGAATTATTATACTTTTGGTTGTGGAATAGTTTATCCTGAAACTAATAAATTGAATGAAGAATTTCCTTATATTTTCTTTACACAAAATGGAAAGCAAATTGGTAATAAATATTTAACAGAAACTTGACATGGATACGGATAATATCCGGTACACACGAGAGGATATGACTTGAAAGCGGTCGAAAATCCGTGTGTGTCCATCAGGACTGTCCGCAATTGCGGACTGCGTAGATTTCATGGTTTTTTGGACTATGTACGGATTGCGACTGCTGAAATTTTTTTCACTCCCCCGGGGACAGCCCAGGCGTCCATGTCCAATTCTGATATTTAATTAAAATTATTATAAATATTTGTTTTTAAAGGTAAAGGAATATTATTGAAGGAGAATTCTGACTCGTATAAGCCTTATGTTCTCCTGAGTTGTTGTTCTGTTGAAGCAAATTTTGGAAACAATTTGGAGACGAAGCCATTTAGATATGACATTTCAAAACATTCAATTACAGAATTTTATTGAAAAATTTTTTTTGATTAATTTATTTGTTTCTTAATTTATTTGTCTTGATTTATAATTAAAATGATCAATTTTAATTCTTTTGAATTTTAAATAAATTATATATTTTTTTAAATTTATTAAAAAAATTGTACACATCAATACATATTACTATTTTTTTATTTTTATTTTCAAATCACTTTACTTTTCCTTTACTTGTTCAATTGAAACAAGAAAAAATCCCTCGATATCCCTCTAACACAACGATACTGCTATTTTAAAAATAAAATATCACTCTGTATCAGAGCTCCACATTAAAGTTATAACTAAATACGTATTTAGTGTTATACCGTATTAGTGAAATACGGTAAATGCCTTGGGTAAAAAAGAGCAAATAGGTAAATTCTTATACATAACTTATTTTAAATAAGTACATATTTGTATTTACTTCTTTCCAGCAAAAGTAAAGGAGGTCAGGTCATAAATAGAAAAAGGTTCAATTTTTTCATTCACATTGCTGTTCTTTACATTGCAAAAATTTGCCTCATTTTTTAAATAAAATTCTATTAAAACTTCAATTATTCTCATTTTTATCTAATTTATTTAATTTATGTATCTTTTATTTTTGGAATTTTTTAAATTAATTTTTTAGAATCTAAAAATGGTTTATTACAAATTTGGTCGTTGCACTGTTTGCCAATTTCGTTTAAAAGTTGAAAATGTTTATACTTTAAAAAATTGTAATCACACATTCCATAAAGAATGTATTACTAGTTGGATTACTGAAGGGGTGAGGGAAAGAATTTATTTTTTAAATTAATAATTTCTCAGTCACAAGATTGTCCTCGTTGTCGAGTTTCTGCTACTTTGGATGATATTAAGCAACTTTTTGTTGAGGAAGCAGGTGATAGTTCCGACGATTCTGGTGATGAGTTAATTGAATGTTCAAGTAATATGATTACAAAAAATCCGAATGTAAGCTAATAACATGGTGGTTAATTCACTGGATTTTTTGATTATTCTTAGTAAAGAGATAACTGATGGTTGTTAAAATAACGGGATATAAATTTTAAAAATAAAATTTGTTGGCCTTATCCTTTCAAAATTCCAAATTTCTGACTGCGACGTTCTAATATGAACTACGGATAATTTTTTTTTGGCTTTTCAGCGCGAATTTTTAAAGTTTTTCCGTTTTATAAGATAATCTCACTTTATCTGCTGAGTGCTAATATAGAATTCTCATAAGCTTACAAAACAGTGTGGGGTATATGTACATACATATATTAATTAATTTAATTTAGACAAATAATTTATTTGATAAAAATATGACTGATTTAACAATTAAATTAAATAATTTGCCTAATAAATTTGCGGTTAGTTTAGATAATTGAATAAATAAAAAAATAATTTTTTAAGAATTTTGTTGAAATCAAGAATAAATGGGGAGAATTGTATTTTTTTAGGTGTTGTAAAAATAATTGTATAAATACAGACAACCCTGTTGGGAAATGTATTGAAGGAAGTGGATTTGTAAATTTAATTGATGATGAAAATATTAAATATATTAGTACTTTAAAGAATAAAAGTAAATTATTTTTTTAATTTTTATTCTTTTTTTGTAAATATATTTAGGTTTTGATCGACTTCCTTGGGTTTATCCAGAAAATTCATTTAACAAACCGCAAAGCTGTTTAAATTATTCTTTATATTATTTGGAAGTTAAATGTTTATTTGAAAGATTAGATGGTAAGGAAAATTGGATGGTTTTTGGACTTGAAGATTGTAGTACAACAGATTGTATTAGAATTATTCCAGAGCACGCTATGATTCATGAGAATTTTCATTCAACATTTTCTTGGGATAATAATGATATTTTTGGGTGTGGAATAGTCTATCCACCAACAAATAAATTAAATGAAGAATTTCCATATATTTTCTTTACAAAAAATGGAAAACAAATTGGTAATAAATATTTAATTAAAAATAATTTTATAAAAAAATAATTTTTAGGTAAAGCTATATTATTAAAGGAAAATTACGACACATGTAGGCCATTTCTCATACTTAAATGTTGTTCAATTGAAACAAATTTTGGAAATAATTTGAAGACTACCCCATTTAAATATGATGTTTCAACCCATTTGGTTGTTAAAGAATTTTATTGAAGCAATTTTGATTAATTTGCTTATTGAGTTACTTTTATGTACTATTTTAATTATCAAATTTTAAATGTCTGAATTTGTTAAATAAATAAAAACACAAAAATCGTTCTTTAATACTTTAAAATCCTATCATTGATTAAAACAAACATTTATGAATACAATGAAAAAATAAAAATAGTTAGGACTACTTATATTTCATTTTAGAGTCGAGATTTCGATATCATAAAAATTAACGTAAAGCAGGGTTTTTCATCTCTTATTTTATTTTGCCACAATAAATTTTGGGGTTGACATACTTTTTTTTCAAATATTTTATGGACTCGGCACCTTTTATTACCCTATATACGACATTCTTAGCATTAATTTAGAGGGGTGTGGCATAACGGAAAAGTACCTCGTATTGTGTTCAGAACACTCGATTACCTACTGGTAAACTCAAAACTACCGAAAAAATAATTTATGTTCATTTTTTCTAAGGACGAACTAACAGATTACCTAATTTTTTAGTTAAAATTTTTGTTGTTTCTGCAGAAAATTTATTTAAAAGACAACAAAGCTTTCTTAATTATTCTTTATATTATTTTGAGATTAAATGTAAATTTAAACGATAATTAAATAACGCCGAAACAAATTTTGGAAATGATTTGGAGACAAAAACTTTTAATTATGACATTTTTAAATATTCAATTATTAAAGAATTTTATTGAAATTATAATATTTAGTAGAGTAATTTTGTTTTTAAGTTTCTTTGGCTTTTGACTAAATTTTTATAGACCAGTCTTCTATAAAATTCCAAATCTAATTAATTATTAACATTTTTGTTTTGACATTAAAAAAATTATTTTTTCAACAAAAACAAAAGAGATGTCGCTATTTTTAAGAGCAAATGAAAAATGTGGATCTAACGAAGACCAATTTTCTATAAACAAATCAAAATATTTTTTTATTTCTCCTTTAAAATTAAAATTTATTTTTTGTTTTTATTTTATATAAATTTTTGTGTGATTAAATAATTAATTTTTGACCTGGCATTTTTATTCTTACTTTAAAAGTTTTTAAGAAAGTAACCCTTGCAAAATATATGACGAAAATTTAAAAAAATATTTTAAAAGTCTTAGAATTATAATAGAATTAATTAAAGAAAATGAGAGAGTAAGAAAGGGAGGAGTAAATAAAAGAGTTTAGCAAAAGTTTAGCCATTGGGAAGGATTCGAACCTCGACCTCCTCGTAGTTATTGCTAAGCCGCTCATTTCTTATATGAGCTTTATAACTGAGCTACTTGAGCATCGAAATGCTTTCTCTTTTATTCTTTTAGATAACCCCCGCCTAAGCGTTTTAAATGCTCTAGGTGAATCATACTTACATAAACATATTTTCTAATTAATTATTCAACATTTAACTTTCAAATAATTGCTATTTTCTCTCATAATTTTGTTTTATATTTTTATTTTTATATAAAATAAAATTCTTTTTTTCTTTAAAATATTTTTATTTTTAAAAATTCTTTCCAAAATGGCTAATGAAGGATCATTAAATTCTGTTTGGACTTTGGTTGAAAAGCAAAGCAATGATTTAATTAAACTTCAAAATAATTTTAACAATTTACAAATTAAATTTATTGAAGAGAAGGAAAAGAATTTTAATTTAGAAAATAAATTAAAAGTTTGTTGAATTTAAAAATATTTTTAAATAAAATTTAGAAAATTCAATTTAATCATCAAAAGGAAATTAAGGAGATTAAACAAAATTTTCAAAAATTAATTGAAGAAAATTATAAAAAATTAAAGGCTGAGAATGGTTATTATTTAAAGAAGAAAGATGTGAAAATTAATTTTTTGGAAAAAGAAATTAAAAAGGTAAATAAATAGAAATATTATTTTGATTTTTTTTTCTTTTAAAGATTGGGGATTTAACAATTAAATTAAATAATTTGAATTGTAAATGTGTGGTTAGTTTGTAATAAATTTAAAATTATTAGATAATTTTTTAAAAGAATTTTGTTAAATTTAAAAATAAATGGAGTAGAATTAGTGGTGGTGGATACAATTGTTGTGAAAATAATTGTAGTATGAAGAAACCTGTTGGAAATTGTATTAAAGGAAATGGATTTGGAAATTTAATTAATGATGAAAATATTAAATATATTAATTGTTTGGAGGGGAAAGGAGGTAAATTAATTTAAAATTTTTTATAAATATTTTTTTAGGTTTTGATAAAATCGTTGAAGTTTCTGCAGAAAATTCATTCAAAAAACCACAAAATTGTCTCAATTATTCTTTATATTATTTTGAAATTAAATGTAAATTTGAAGGAGAGTTAGTAAATAGTGGAAAAATATTGATGAATATTGGCCTTATAAATTTAACTTTAAATAAATATATTTGTTACAAAGCAAAGTTTGCTACAATTTATAACGAGAAAGATGAAGAATCTAAACTTTCAACACTTTCCTTCAATAATAATGATATTTTTGGGTGTGGATTAGTTTATCCTCCAAGTAACAAAATAAATTATAAATTTCCATATATTTTCTTTACACAAAACGGAAAACAAATTGGTAAAAGAATTAAGTAAAAAGATTTTATGAAAATTATTTTTAAAGGCAAAGGTATTCTGTCAAGTAAAAATTCCAACTCATACAAACCTTATGTTTGGTTTAAATGTTGTTCAGTTGAAGCTAATTTTGGAAATGATTTGGAGATTAAACCATTTAAATATGATTATTCAAAACATTTAATTTTGGAAGAATTTTATTGAAAATTTTTTGATTAATTTTGTTTTAATTCTACTCGCTTTGATTTACGAATTTATTTCTGAATTTATTAAATAAAGTATCCAATTGAAAGGCTATCAAACTAAATTTGAAAAATATTTTCCCAATATAGAATTAAACAGAAATTTTCTTCTAGAAAAATATTTTTTAAGTAAAATATTTTTAAGATAATTAACTTTTTATAAAAATTTCAAATGTGATTGAAGATTAGTATATTAAATAAGTAACTAATAAAAAAATATAATTATTAACCATTTTATTTTGACCTAGAAAAAATTATTTATTCAAGAAAAAATGGCAAAACTATCGTCCCCTTTCGAGAGAAAATAAAACATTTTTTAAATTTATTCCTTTAAAATTTTACACAAATTTTTAATATTTATATAAATTTTTGATCAATAAAAAATAGACTTTTTATCCTTTTACCCCGTCATTCTTTTCCTAAAGTTTTAAAAAGTTTACAAAAAAAGTTTTACAAAAAAAACTTTGCGAAGAATAAAAAAAAGAAAATAAATTTATTTTAAAGTTTAAGCATTATAATCCTATATATAATTTATGAATGGAAGGAAATCTGTGTTTGTCACACGGCTTTTATAGTAAAATGATTTGGGGAGTGAGGTAATGAGGGTTTTTATAGTAAAATGATTTGGGGAATGAGGAAACGGGGGCTTTCATAGTAAAATGATTTGTGGAGTGAGGAAATGGGGGTTTTATAGTAAAATGATTTGGGGATTGAGACTCCAAAATTTTAGATGCAGTTTTTGATGCTCTTTCGAATAAGCTATAACTTATGAGGAGAGTCCCTAAACTCATCAAGTTACTTCGCATTAAAATCTCACAAAGTAAGCTTATGATGAGGGTTCTTAGGCTCATCGAAACAAAATTGCCCCATGGTTTTAGATAAAGTTTCGATGCTCTTTCCAATAAGCTATAGTTTATGAGGAGGGTCCCTAAACTCAACAAGTTACTTCGCATTGAAGACTCACAAAGTAAAATTACATTCTATATGTCCGTCTATTTTATCTTTTGAGAAAATGATGTAAACAAAATTGCCCCAAGGTTTTAGATGCAGTTTTTGGCCCTATCCTAAAAAGAGGGCGCCTTGATTTTTTCATCATTTTTCCAACCTTAATATATAAATAATGGTCAGTCTTTTCTTCCTCGTTCAATTCCACTCTTTTTACCTTTGGCATATTCAATTGAGAGGACAGAAAAGCACATACACTACAGACAAAACACGGACGGACACACACAAACTTGTTTTGTCTGTCCGTGTTCGCCCGTGCTCATCCGTGTTCGTCCGTGATTTGTCTGTCCGTCTTCGTCTGTGTTTTGTCCGTCCGTGATTGTCTGTCCTTGAGTATATTTTTCTGTCCTCTCATTTGAATATGCCACGGGTAAAAAGAGTGGAATTGCACGAAGAAGAAAAGACTGACCATTATTTATATATTAAGGTTGGAAAAAAATGATGAAAAAATCAAGGCGCCCTCTTTTTAAGATAGGGTCCAGTTTTTGATGCTTTTTTGAATAAGCTATAGTTTATGAGGAGGGGTCCTAAACTCATCAAGTTAATTTGCACGAAGCTCTTCAGACCATTTATTTTTTGATGTTTATAAAGTATATAGTTGTATAAGATTAAGTATGATTTGTAAAAATCTATTTTTTCTTTTGAGAAAGTTTGTTGTGTTAGTTTGTTGTTGTTCATGTTTGTGTTAGAAAAGTGTCAATGCGTTAGAAGAGTTCAGGATTGTTCAGAGACGTGTTTTTACAATGGGCACATAAATTGTTCAGTGTTAGGTTAAAGAAGAGTTTCGGAAAAGGGAAAGAGAAAAGGTCTGCTATGGCTCTGTTGATATGTTTTTGCTAGCGAAGGAGCTCGCCCGAAGGGCGAGCCCCTTCGCTAGTAGAATTAAATAAAAGAAATCAACTAACAAAAGAGGGGGTAAAAAGTAAAAACATCTTTTACTATCTTATTTTACAATCTTATGTATTAATTATTCAACATTTATAACTTTTAAATAATTTTATTTTCTCTCATAATTTTGTTTTTTAATTTTATTTTTATTTAAATATACTATGTCAGTAGAAAATTTTAATTTCAAGTTGCCATAATTGTTATACTTTTTTGGAAAAATTATGCTTTAAGACTTTGTATAACTTTATTTTCTTTTTCAGTCAAAAATCTTTATATAAAAATGTATTTCCTTCCACCAGAAGTTCAACTAGATATATTAAAACACCTTAATTTCACTCAATTATTATCAATCCAACAAACAAATATTTATTTCAAAAATTTCATTAATCAATGCGAAAGTCTATTGGCACGGAAAGAAGAAGATCAAATCGGATTTGTGATTTTTTACAAATTAATTCTGCTAATTTGTACTTTTTTTAGTCTTCCGTCAATGAGTTATATTTAAATGAGTATAAACTTTACAAGCCAGATCCGAAACTTTATGAATTTAAATTGAGTGAACAGCTCGAGGAAAAGGTTAAAAATTAATGATTTTTATTTTAAAATAAAATAATTTTAGTGGAAATGTGCTATAGATAAATCGATTCCAATGTTTTTAAGCTGCAATGATGATGATAGGATGAATATTGTTGATGTTTCCTTGTTTGAGAGTAATCCTTCTTCCGATTGGGGTCAGTTATTTTTAAATATATCCCGAAATATTTTCACCCTTTTTTCATTACTTTTGTTTCCTTTTGCTTTATGAAAGGGTTAAAAATGAACGGTAAAATTTCTTAAAAATTTTGAAAATTAAAATAAAATTTTGAAATAAAATTTTTTTAACATATTTTAAAAATCATCTAAAACGATCTACCTCTAATCCCTCAATATCATTGTTAATCCCCAAACTCTTCTAAATTACTATACAAAGGGGCGGTTGGTGGTTAAATGACTAGGTAACCTAACCACAAGGTCATGGTTACCTATATGTTACCTATACTACAGGCCTAGAAGTATCAAATTTTTCAGGAAAATAATTTCCGGAAAATGTTCCGGAAATTTGGTTTCCGGAATATTCTCGAAAAATAACTTTGAAAAAATCCGGAAAATGGCTTTTGGAGTAGTACAGCTTTTCCGGAAACCATTTTCCGGCCCGAAAACCATCTTCCGGAAACCATTTTCCGGAAACCATTTTCCGGCCCGAAAACCATCTTCCGGAAACCATTTTCCGGAAACCATTTTCCGGCCCGAAAACCATCTTCCGGAAACCATTTTCCGGAAACCATTTTCCGGCCCGAAAACCATCTTCCGGAAACCATTTTCCGGAAACCATTTTCCGGCCCGAAAACCATCTTCCGGAAACCATTTTCCGGAAACCATTTTCCGTAAACCATTTCCGGATTTTCCGGGAACAAGAAGAAAATAGCAAATAGGAAATAGCAATAGAAGAAAATAGCAAATAATTTACTGAAAATCCGGAAAATGTGTTCTGTAAAGATTGTATTCGTAAAATCCGGAAAAATTATCTCCGGAAAATCCAGGAAACAGTTTCCAGCAGCATTTGTTCATTATTTGGGTACTCAACTGGCCAGTTCCATCTTTTCGGGTAAATAATAAATGTGTTAAACTTTGAATTTATTTTATTTGAAATTGAACATTTTAATGATTTCACTAATATTTGAATGTATCCTTTATTTTCTGTCGCCAGTAGTAGTATATAATCTGCAGAAAATTCTAAATGCTTTTTTTCTTTGGATGAAATTATTTTTTTAATTTTTTAATCATCAAAATTTTATTTAGGATTACTGAAGTTCAATTTGCCAAATTATCCAAAAAATGTTGAAGAAATGAAAATTGCTCGTTATCTTTTTCGACAAATTTTTAAATGCTTCTTTAGAAATGCTACATTAGATTCGGTGATGTATAAGCGCACTTGAAAAAAATCTATTTAATCAAAAATACTTAAATTGTAAACATGGTGAAATTATTCAAATTATTTCACAGAATTTAAAATTTTCAAAGATACGTTTAATTTTTGTTGCAAACAAGTATTCTTTGGATTTTCGTCTTTCAAACATAAGGAAAAATCTACGGTAATATGCATTTATCCGCCCGCATTTTCCTTTTCTTGTCAAATAAAAATAACTGTCAGACGATATGTATGTATTTCAGAATAAGTAATGTGTCATTAATTTAATTGAGACTATGTCGTAACTAAACAGCTTCAGCAATTAGAACCTATCCCAACGTTGAGTGTGTACTTCTATTAGAAATAAGTTCACTGTATTCTCAAAATTCTTTTTTAGGAATAGAGAGATCTTTTTACCCAGAATTATGCTACACATGGCCAATACCTGACCATAGGCCCTAACACGAAGAGCTGTGTACTTATCGTCATAGAGTATTATTTGTGACTTAAGCAATTTGGTCCACTAAAGATTTTCTATAAGCATTTTCTATAAACGAATATTGTGTGACCCTTATTTGTATTTGACTATTTTGTTATATATATATTTATGAGAAAGGAATAGGAAAGGGAAATGCGTCCAGATAAACGCATAGTACCAAATCTACATACATAAATTCCAACAAATATAAAAATTGATACTGAAAAAAATGTTATAAACATGAAAATCCAAAAATGCGCAAATAAGTAATATTTGGTTAATCAAATCTCGAGCTAATAATTTTTTGAAGTACGCTTATACTTTTGAGCCGCGCTCTTGTATACTCAACCCAAAAATGATTGAACTATTATTTGAAGAGAATAAAACAAATATGGACTTGAATATTCACTCTCAATTTGCCATCTATTCATTGTCTGAAAGTACAGATAATGAGAAAATTAAATATTTTTTAACATTTGCATTGAATCATCTGATCTCAAATGAACTTAGGGTTAAAATACCTCATCCTTATATCAATATAGACAAGAATACGGACATTTTATTTGAAATTTTGACAAATGGAGGCAATCAATTTTCTAAGGTTTCGTATTGGTATCCGTATGACCTGCCAACTTCTCATAAATTGCCGAAGATTTACAATACTATTATAGAGGTATGTTTCAAGGATTTTACGGGATGGTCGGTTTTGAAAATCTCTAGTCGGGTTTTGAAGATTTCCTGGGGCGGGTTTTGGGTAAGCTAAAAGCTATTGCGGTTTAAGTTTTTAAAAAAGTCAAATTAAGATTAAAAATATCTAATTTTAGCATATAGAAACATCAAAGGACATTTCTAAAATGGTCAAAGAAATTGAGTTACGCGATACTCCTGGGCGTATTATTTTAAGTGCTAGAGCAGAAAATATCGAAATTAAATTTAAAAACATCTACTATAATTGGAAATTTACAAAGTATCAACTTTCCAATAAATACAATCCAAAATTAAAGTTTTTAATTTGTAATGAGGAAAAATATTTTGGCACTGATGTTGAAATTAAAAAAATTATTTTATAGATTTTTATTTGATTTATCGCGTTGGTTTAAATGTTAGCTTTGTTTTTCTTATTTGATAAAAATGATTTTTATTTTTTTTTCAAAAATTAGTTGAGATTTACAAATATTTTTTAATTGTTTTAAAAACATTCCCCAAATATTTTCCAGGCATTTCCCAAAATATTTAATGAAGGTTTTATTTAAATTGGTAATCCTGCAGAATCCGGATTATTTCGAAAAAAATTTAAGGTGTTTTTAAGGTGTCTCCCAGAGCCTGCAGGATTACCTTTAAATTCAAATAAAACAAGAAATAATAATAGAGACAAAACAATTTAAATAAGACATTTCAAAACATTTAATTCTCAAAGAATTTTATTTAAAATTTTATTATTAAAAACACATCTTATCATTTTATTCAAATATTTTGTGGGACATTTAATTAATTCGAGTAACAATAAAAAATCGTTCATTTATTTTGATTTTTAAATAAAAATTTGATTTTTTGAATTTATTATTTTTTTAGATTATACATAGTAGTTAAATACAAAATTTGATGTAGAAAAAATTATTATAAATCAAAAGGAAAATATTTACAAAAATAGTGTGTGACTAGAAAAAAATAATAATGAGATCATTAACTTCCCTTAATTATATGTGGTATTTAAATAGAAAATAGTAAATTTATAAAATTATCAAAAAAATAAAATATTTTTAAATTTTGTTTTGTGTAATAGAAATTTAAAAAATTAGAGGAATTCTTTGAATTTTTAGTTAAATTATTGTGAAAAAATAAAAACTTTTTAATAGAATAATTTTAAATCTGGAATATATTTAGTATTTAGATTAACAAGAAAAATCTTTTATTAAAAATAAAAATAAAGCTTTAATTTAAAATTTTCTGTACATTTCTCCCTCAAAACCCATTTCATCTATTTTCAATTTTATTTTTTCTCATTTAAAATGCTTGAATATTATGCCATTCAGAAATATTTTCATAATTATATCCATTTTTATTAGTATATCCATTGCCTTGAAAAGCAGCCACAAATTGGGGTGATTCTGCATCAATTGTGAATTGACCGATTGGTTCGTTTCGTTTTACTCCTTTAAATAGATAATTATTTGTTTTTAAACAGATCTTTGATTTTTTTAGATTTTTGTAAAAAAAATTTTTTTAATATTGAAATTCTGGTTTAATAAAAATTTTGGAAATTTTTTCCCATTTTACTATTAATTTAATTTTAAATTTTGATTTTTTAATTTCCATTATAATTCCTAAAAAATAGTTATTCCATAATATCGGCCCTCCTCTTCTATCTGCTAACTCCTACTCACCATCATGATTAAACAAAACAACTTGGAAAGACAACCCTTTAGGTATTCCATCACTTCCAATCCCAACACTTTCAGGCAATACAAAATTTAACCAATCATCTTGTTTAAATAAAGGTGTTAATGTTCTTTTTTGAACACGAGTTTTGTGTTTTGCTATTCGTTTAGTTCCATTAATTAATGCATAAATTTTTGCATATGGATCTTTAAAAGAAAGGAATGAATAAATAGTTTAATTTTTCTCTTTCTTACCAGGAAGTCCCAAAGTCGCATCTTTAGGTAAATCAGCCATTTCCTTCAATGCAAACTGTACTTGACGTGTTTTTGCTTCAAAATCCAAAGAAACAAGTGCTTTACCTCTATTATTATTATTAAAATTATTTTCTTCTTCATTTTCTTCTTTAAATTGTTGCCGTGCCTCCCATTTAAGAGAAATATTACAAGGTTCTCCTCCTAATGATAAATCGGCAGAAGAGAGAGAATATAGAGCCTTTAAAAAATTTTTAATTAAATTTACGCACGACCCCCGTTCGTGTGTAACGAACGGGGTCACCCCCATTCCCGAAAGATTTTCTCTTTCCCCGACTCGAAACAATTCGTAAAACCGTACCCCGACATACCCGCCCCCGAGCGTTAGGGGTGAAACCCTAGTTAAATTTCGGTATTTTTTACAAATCTTGTGGACAGACGGAAATGTTTCATGGATATTTCCTTCTATTCAATACCAAAAAAATATTTAATATTCCTATTACCTCCCCCAAAACAGTATCTCCATTATATCTATCAAAAGCCAAAGCAGCCAAATGTAATTGACAATTATTTAAAGTTTCTGCCCCCAATCCATACATTGTAAAAGCCTCGTCAAAAATAGGTTCTGTTGTGTCTCGAAGAATTCTGGTCTTTACTCGGTGTTGGCCGTCTGGGAGAAGACGAAGTTTTATATATGGATTTAGTGGAGTTGAATCAGAAAATTTGGGAAGGCCGTTACAGGCGAGAACTGTGATCTAATAGAAAAAATAAAAATAATTTTTTTCAAATTATCTCTGAGTATTTTTAAATGTTTTTTATTAAAAATTAATATTTTTATTCACTTGTAAAGCCAAATTATTCGCATCATAAGCCAACTGTAAAGATACAGAGCCCCTTCCTCTTTCTTTATCAACAACCAATTCTGGAGGGAAATTCCCCCCATTATTGGCAGAACCGAATCCAAGGTGTTGCTGCCCGGTGGGGAAGCTTCGACGTTTTTCTGTTCCGTTAAACGAAATTGTTGTTGTTGGGGGTGGGGGTGCTGAAACACGCCCGCCATTATTTCCATAAGGGATAAAATTGATGCCGGTAAATGGACTGCCTTTAAAAGACGGAATTTAGAATAATTAGAATATTATTTCTAAAAACATTCTGATTTCATAAACACAAGAACAATGTTTTTGCAAAACCAAAACACGTAGAACACATAAAACAAAAAATTTATTTCTGGAAACATTAAGTAATCAAAAGGAAAAATACTAGGTAATAGAGATCGAGATTTTTGAAAAGCCTGGGCCTGTTCCTGGGCTCTGGATTTGATTTATTGGCCTATTTTCCTGTAGTCTAGGAAAAACACAGGCCCAGGAAAAACCCAGGAAAGTCAAAAAATGTCTGGGCCTTGACTCTGGGTACAGGAAAAACCCAGGCCTTGGTCCAGGCACAGCTCGCTCTCTGCTAGGTAATTTCTGAAAAAAGTTCAGAGCAACACTAAAACAAACTGGAATAAAATAAAAATGTTCATAGAAAAATCAAAACAAGCAAAACATGTTTTTCTGGAAGTTTAAAAATAAACAGAAAAAGCAAAAACACTTTACTAGAAAAATAAAATACACACTTCCGGAAGCAGTTGAAGAAGAAAACACAAAAAAACATAAAATACAAACAACAAATTAACGCAATAAAAATAAAATACAATCATTTCCGGAAAATACGTAATAAATTAAATAAGAAAAACACATTATTCTCAAACAATCTCTTTCCAATTTACCTTGTGTATTTGTTCCACCCAATAAATATTGTTGTTGATGTTGTTGATGAGGATGATTGTGTCCGTATGGGGACATTGGAGAAAGGGAATGTGCGGATGAATAGGTAGATGATGAAGAGGACAAAGAGTAGTCTGAACCGCCGGGGCTAGAACATTTACGTAAATTCTGAAAAATAAAAACAATTTTTTTTTGTTTTGTTTTTAAGTTTTGTGTTTTTAAATTAATTTTGTATTTGATGTTTTTGTAAATTAAGTTTATTTATTTATGTGTTTTGTTTGTTTATAGGTTGTGTTTTTAGATCTTATGAAGTGTTTTGTTTTATTTTTATGTTTTGTGTTTTTGTTTTAAATCAATGTTGTATTTGATGTTTTTGTAAATGTAAATTGAGTTTGTTTATTTGTGTTTGGTTTGTTTGTAGGTTGTGTTTTTATGAGTGTGTTATGTTTTGTTTCTAAATAAGCGTGTTTCATAAGTTTTGATGTTTAGATTTTATTCTGATTTTTATTTGTTTTGTTTTTTGTTTTATGTTTTTAAATGTTTTTGTGTTTTCTTGTTTTGTTTGTGTTTCTAAACAAGTTTAGATTTTATTCTGATTTTTAAATGAATAAAATACAAATTTATTTCTTCAACAAAACATGCCTGGTTAGAACATCTCAAATATTGTGGTGGAGGTAATGGTGGAGGTATCGCTTGACTTGCAGAATGGTGACGCTGCCCATAAGCAGATGCTGAGGAAAATTTGTGAATTAATGGAGAACGGGAAGTGCTAGCTGAAGAAGATGCACGTCGACGTTTTCGGTGTTGAATAGCAGCAAAAAATGCCAAAAGGACAATGAAAACGCAGAAACCGGCGCCTACAGCCAACATTTGGGAACCTAAAAATTTTTGAATTTTTTTAAAATTTTTTAATTTTAAAGACAGAAAAAACAATTTTTATTTTTTTACCAAAGGAAATAGCATTTCTTCCACTCGGCCCGATAGGAGGTGAACGTATTGGAGATGAAGGGCCTCTGTCATTACGAAAAAATAGAGCTTCTTCCCCTTCTTCCATTTAATATATGAGGGGATATTTAATCTTTAAATTATTTTAAAATTAAAAATTAAATTTTTAAAGAATACGCAAATAAAATAATTGTTTTAATTCATCAAAATTAAAAATAAATAAATTATTAATAATAGAAGGAAATAATTAACAGATTAAAATTTAAGGAAAAAAATTATATAATTAAAACAAATTTAAAAAATAATATGTACGTATTTCCTGTTTAATATAATTTAAATGAAATAATCCTTTATATTTTTAAAGAGGAAATTTAATTTTTTTCTTAATTTTTGTAAATATTTACATATTTCCTTCTCGAGAAGAAATTAAATAAATTTTTAAAATTTAAAAAAGCTGAAAATTATTTTATAAATTTAAGGAGTAACGTCTAGTCAAAAATTTAAAAAAAATTTGAGACAAACCCCTTCATAAATGTTTAATAATTTTAAAAAAATAAAATAATTTTTTGTTTGTTTGAAGCAATAATGAGTTGGTTGATGTGGACGCTTATAAAATAGTAAGAAAATTTAGAAACTTGAAATTTTGTTCTGATATCCCCAAAAGTGTTAATTAACTTAAATAAAAATTTCAGAATTTTTGGGTAATTATTTAAGAAGTTAAAAACAATAAAAACGCAAAAACCCATCGCCTATAGCCAATAAATTCGATTCTGGCTAGTTTTTTGACTATACTTAAGAAATATTTAACAAAAATTCTGAACTTTTTAATACAGTTAGATAACACGATCAAAAATATAAATAAAATTTAATGACGATAAGTTATTATTTAACTTTTTAATAAAGCAACAACGTGTTAAATGTGTCCTCGCAAATGCCCTAAAGTACTCAAGGCAAAAAAAAAAATTTTTAACAAAATAATTTTAAATAAACAAGTACTTTTAAGAGAGTTAACCATAAAAAATACGTTTTTAGATGAAAAAATATGAAAAAAGGTTGTTTAAAATAAATTTACATAAATATAAATAATCTTGACTTTGTACCCTTAGAAACAAGAAAATAATATTTAATGGAATAAAAAATATTTGTTTGTTAAATTGACGAAAAAAAATAAAAATATTTGAAAAATAAGTAAAAATAAATATAATTTTTAAAATTAATAAAAAGGGTAACTGGAAGGGTACATTTTAATTAGAGACAGTCTACTCCAAGACATTAAACTAGGCTTATGAAATTCAGATCTAGATAATTTTGGTATGATTCGTCAAATCTTGCCGAGCTAAATCGGGTGGTAACAAGAAGGATTCCTATGCCATTTTTACGTTTAGTTATGGCTTTGGGGTAAACTAGTGGACATAATTTCCAATAGGGCATAATGACAGCCAATCTTCTCTATAAATTTTCTAAGTTTTTGGTTAAAAATACATTAAATTATTTAAAAACTTAATAAATTAAACACCAAAAATTAAAAATTAAATATTTTTAGAATAAAAAGTTAAGAAAATAAAAATACAAAATATTATTTCCAAAAATGGCAAAATTAAATTAAAATAAATTTCATTATTTTCCCTTTTTATATATAAAATGTCCTAATGATTCAATTTTAAAGAGGAAATTAAACAAAATACTTTAAAAGAGGAGCTGAAAATAAGTTTAGATATATGTCAGGCATGTTTGGGCGCATAAATAATTTGGCGCGGGAGCTTATATAATTATCAGAAGTTAATCTAAAAATCTAAAAATCTGAAAATTTGCTTGAATTTGCTTGAATAAATTTAAAATTGTTTTCTAATTATTCGAAAAATTTCAGAATTTTTGGTCAATTATTTCAAAAGTTATGAGCAAAAATATATCACAATCTGGTTTTAGTTCCAGAATTTTTTGATCATGACTTTCGAAATATTTATCAAAAAATCTGTGATTTTATTAGATAACCCTATAAAAATATTTGTTTAAGTTCTCATTATCAGGTACTTTTAGATGTCAACGCCCACCCATTACCGCGCCCACCCGTCTAGTCTCATTTTAAATAAAATGATGGAAATTTGTATAAAAATGTGAAAAAGACGTAAATGCCAAGGATTATATACAGTGGTGGAAAAAAGTATGGAAGCAAGAGCTTAAAAAGTAAACTTCGTTAAATTCCTCGACGTACGAACCCTAAATCATTTTTTGTCTACTATAAATTTTAAAGTCCTATCGATTACCTCTAAAATGAGTATAAATAGAAACCACTTTTATCGAGTATTTATCTTTTTATAATTGGCTAAAGTAAACAATGTAAATTTTGCGCGGAAAAAAGTATGGAAGCAAAAAAATTTTACGTTCTAAAACAAGTCGAAAAAATTTTAAAAATTTTTTATAAACATTTCCATTGATATTGAATGGAATTATAGAAAAAAAGAAGTCTGTACTTGCTTTCTTCATCGAGATCTCAAATCTCAAAAATCACTGGGAAATCGGGGTACAGTACTTTAAAAATTATTTTAGCTCCCTGAGACTTGTATAAAAAATTTCTTTTAGACCTATCTGAAAGCCCTTAAAATCTGCTACAAAATATGGTTGGTTTCATGTTTGTACAAAAATTTGTCTAGGAGATAAGGAGGGAAACATTTCATTATGAGCCGAAATCACTCAAAATACCCTATAAAATGCTTATTTTAAGTTTTAAGTATTTCGTCCCTCCTTATCTCCTAGACAAATTTTTGTACAAATATGAAACCAACCATATTTTGTAGCAGATTTTAAGGGCTTTCAGATAGGTCTAAAAGAAATTTTTTATACAAGTCTCAGGGAGCTAAAATAATTTTTAAAGTACTGTACCCCGATTTCCCAGTGATTTTTGAGATTTGAGATCTCGATGAAGAAAGCAAGTACAGACTTCTTTTTTTCTATAATTCCATTCAATATCAATGGAAATGTTTATAAAAAATTTTTAAAATTTTTTCGACTTGTTTTAGAACGTAAAATTTTTTTGCTTCCATACTTTTTTCCGCGCAAAATTTACATTGTTTACTTTAGCCAATTATAAAAAGATAAATACTCGATAAAAGTGGTTTCTATTTATACTCATTTTAGAGGTAATCGATAGGACTTTAAAATTTATAGTAGACAAAAAATGATTTAGGGTTCGTACGTCGAGGAATTTAACGAAGTTTACTTTTTAAGCTCTTGCTTCCATACTTTTTTCCACCACTGTATATGTATATAAATATTTATTTTTTATGTCAATGTCGAGAGTAAATTGCATTTTAGATGGCCAAAGAATTTAAAATAAAATATAAATGCGCAGAGAGAAAGAAGAAAATTCTAAATAAGCGCAATTGCCTTGGCAACGAAAAATAAAATAAAGAACGTCAATAAAGAGCTAGTTAAAATATGCTTTTGAAAATAAAAAAAAACTCCTAATTATTTATCAAAAAAGCAGAAAAATTCTTTAATTAGGAAATTTTTGTAGATTTAAATTATTAATTTAAAGACAAAAAAATTTTGATTATTTAATTATAAAATAAAGGGAAAAACTAAAAATTAAATTTGATGTTAGATAATTTAGCAAGAATTAAGAAGAAAATGTTCCTCCTAAAGGAAAAATAAGGCGTGGTAACGCTGATTTGTAAATTTATAAAATAGCTAAAATATAACGTAGAAATTTGAAATTTTGTATAGATACTCTAATAATTTTATCTAAATTGTCTAAAAATTTCAAATTTTGTTTTTATTTCAGAAGTTATAGGCAAAAAAAGTCGAAAAATGGTCCAAAAATTTAGACAAAAATTTTTTGAAAAATAATATTTTTGCCCATAACTTCTGAAATGATTAATTAAAAATTCTGTAATTTTTAGACAGTTTAGATAACACTATCAAATACAGATTTCCAAAATTTCTTGTCCCTGAGTCCTTTTCTGACTTTTTTATAAGTGCGCAACCAAGTCTTTACCACGCCCTACAACAGAATGTTCTGGCAAAGAAATTTTTATTTTACTCAAAAAAGCCAAAGAATAAAAAGCCTTTTAAAGCTTAAATTGTATTTCACAAAAAATAATTAAAAATTGTATTTATAAAAGAAAATGGGTGGCTTTTTAAATTAGTTATGTTAAAAAAATTATTTTCTTAGAATTTTGCAAGGTGTTGAGAGAAAGAATTATTAATTCAAAGAATGTTTAAAATAAAGGCATGAAATTATAATTAATTTATAAATATTCTAAATTAATAATTTAAAGAAAAATCAGAAAATGAAAAAAAGGGTAGAATAAAATAAATAATTTTTAAATTAATTTTCAAAATTAAATAATTGGGGGAAGGATTTTTCTCTCTATAAATTCAAAACTATATACATATCAGGGATCTAGTCGACATAAAAATTTAATTCCCGATTTTCGAGAATCAGGAATCCCTCCTTCCTGTCCTCCAAATTCTTCCTTGTTCTTCCTTAGATCTTTCTAATTTTTCACCATCTTCTAACCAAAAAATTCTGCAGGCAAACATTTTTGATTCTAATGTATCCAGGTCGGCTAGAACCCTGATACATATTATTTAAGAACAGAATTCCGTCAAACAGAAATTTTTGGTTATTCAGCTTTTACAGTTCTAAATATTCTAAATTGTTCCCGACGCTTAATACCGTAAAATTAATTTAAAAAAAAATTTATTTTTAAACATAATTTAAAAATAATTTAATAAAAAAATAAGTCACAAGTTTACATTTAATTAAAAGTAATTTAAGGGAAAAAATTATAGAAAATATTAAATTAATTTAATATTTTTCAAAGAATTCATTAAAAAAATAAAAAAAATAATAAAATTAAAAAATAAATTAAATTGGCGTAAAAAAGCTTTAAATAAATAAAAATTAAATAATAAATTTTAATTTAAAAATATGTAAATCTAAGGGAATTTATTTGAAAGTACTCTTAATTTTAAAAATTTAAAATATTAAGGAAACAAAATTATTTTTTATTTATCCATTTTATTGCTCGAAGCCTACCTTTAGGCACTTAATAATAAAAAATATTTTTTTCTGGAAATTTTATAAAAATATTTTTTAAAAATATT